TCATTATTTTTTTACTCCATTAAGTGATAGTCATTAAAGATGATTTATTGACCTACTTTATTAATTTTTAGACTTCATAAGAAAATCTAGAGATTGTCCACATCATCCTTGTCTAATGAGATCCTTTGAGATCATAGACATTATGCAATAATCCTTCTAAATGCACAAAATTTTAGTGATCATTATTACAAGGTTGGAACTTTATCTTTCCTACTTTAAATTTATTTTTTACTTAATCGAGTGATAACTTATGTGATTTCAAGTTTAGAAATTCTTCTTAATTCAAATATGATTCTTTTGACTTTACATTTCTTAATTGATTAATTAAATTGTCTGTAATGATTTATGTAAGAATCGATGGTTGAAATTCTGTTTCTAAATGTTATAGATGTAGTGACATCATCCTGATATCCTCACACTTATTTTCTTTTTTTATAAATTTTAAATATATTTTATCTTCATTATTTAGTCTAAAAATTATATAAAATTATATTTTCTGTAGAATATTCTGAAATATTATATCCTTTGATCGACTTAAAATTTTATCATATTTTAGAATCTCTTATCTAATTATAATTAATTAATTAATTCTAAAATATTTCTAAAAATGTAAAAAATAATATTTTTAATTCTATAAATTTTAAATTTGTGTGATTAATTATACAAAGATTAAATCACATCACCTCCCTCTGTAGCCCTAGAGGATTCTCATTTTTTCATTGATCTATTTTTTTAGTTATCATCATATCTAGAGATTTTCTATCTCTACTAGTGAATTCTAGCATCATTATGGACTCAAGGAACTATTTATAATCAAGTGGACTCAAGATCAACCTCTTGTAGACTCCAATGGCAATTCTCTTTGTTCTATGGATTTAAGATGGAATTTTCAATAAAATCACATTACTTGTGGATTCAAGGTCGTTATTTTATTTTTAAAATATATAAGGAAAGATGAAACGTGATCAAATCATCAATTCTTCAAATTTATGTTGTATCAAGTAGTATCAAAACAAGGTCAACATTTCAAATTTTATTTTAGAAGATGTCATGAGGTAAAGACATACAAGTCAATGAAAGCTAAAGTTATGAGATATGCCTTGTTTCAAGATAAGAGTTTACTAATTGTCATAATCATATGGAAAAAAAAATTGAAAATTTGAATAACATATTGAAAGAAATTTTGACAAGACTATATGCAAGTGAAGTCCATCCTCATGGTAAAACTAGTTAAAAATAAAAATGATTTTTGACAATCTACCTAGAAAAAACTTTCAAATGAGATAGAAAGTTTAAGTAGATAAAATTATGATGATTGCACAGGTTTTCGAATGAAAATTTATTTGCTCAATTTTAATGGACATCTAAAAATTGAGAACTTTTAAATTAGATTTCAAAAGTTAAGAGATTTTTTGAATACATCAAGATTTATGACAAAAGTTACTTATAAACTCAAAAGTGGAGCCTCTATGTAGTGGGATCAACTTCAATCCACTGATGGAAGTCCAAGAAAATATCAAGTTCAAAATTGAGATAAAATAACGAAATTATTAAAATCTAAATATTTTTTTCTTCATGATTATGAACAATTTTAATATCAATAATATTCAAATTATAAATAGGGAAATAAAAACTATGGTAGAGTATGTTGAAGAATTTTACGCATTGTCTTCTAGAGTTGGAGTTACTAAATCTAAATCTTATGTGATATATAGATTTAAAAGTGCATTTAGATGGGATATTAAGGAAAGGTCATCTTACAATCATTTTTTAAGTTAAATAATATTATTATGGCTTTTGAACATGTTGAATTGTTATTGGAGAAAGGAAAAGCTAAATCACGAAATTTTCAACTTGGAAAGAAATGACTACAATAGGGACAAAAACAAGTGCATCTATTCCATCTAGATAAAATTCTGTACAATAAATTTTTTATGTCTAACTCTATTTCCAAATGTTACAGATGTAGTGAAGATGGGCACAAATCTGATGTTTGTCCAAAATATGGTATAGTGAATGATACAGAAATAATTGATGGAGATGAAGATCTTAAAGTGTAAAATCAAGATGAAGCTCATGAAAATATTGTTGATGGTGATGAGCATGAAAATTATTCTTGTTCTCTAGTAGTTAGGAGGTTGATGTACACACCAAAGAAGGAAGAACATCAAACTTTGATGTTTATCAATAGTCAAACTAGTATCAATATAATACATGCAAAATGGATGTATTTGATTCAAATATTTACCTTTGTCATCAAGCATAAATCAGACAAAATCAATAGAGTTGTGATGCACTTAACAAAAAATCAGCACTACTAATTATTGTGCATTGAGATTACATGTTTTAAATATCTAAAAGAGTTATATTCTGAAGATTAAAACATTGCTCAAATTTAGAATGATTAAATGTAGAATAAAGCAATCAATGGATTTCACATGCAATAAAATTATCTTTTTCGTAGGAATCAACTATACATTTTACAAACATCATTACGTAAAATGTTGATTTGAGAATTACATATATGAGGACTTGGAGTAAATTTGGGGTATGAAAAAATCTTACAAATAATATAAGAATAATAGTATTAGCCTCAGTTGAAGAAAGAAGTTCAAAAATTTGTGCAAAGATGTCAAATTTGTCAAATTAACAAAAGGCATTCTCAAAATATGTGTCTATATTCTCTACTACCAATTCTAGATGTGTAGTGAGTGGACATTTCAATGGATTTCATTTTGAGATTGTCATATACTTAGGAGAGGATCAGTCTTTATTTTCTATGATTGTGGATCAGTTGTCAAAGATGACACATTTCATTGCATATAAGAAAAAGAATGATGTTGTACAAATGGCACGAGATAATTCATTTGCATAGAGTTCCAAAGTACACCATAGATCTAGATTCTAAATTTATCTCAGATTTCTTGAGTACTTTGTGAAACATATTTGATTCATATTTAAAATTCAGCTCTACTAGTCATCCACAAGGTAATGGTCAAATAGAGGTGTTCAACAAGAAACTTGGAAATTTAATTCACTCTTGCTAAAAGTAATGAGATTTTACTCTTGCTCAAGCTGAATTTACCTATAATTCTATGGTAAATCGCTCCACAAATCAGTCTCCATTTTCTATTGTGTATTTTATTCCTCCAAAATTTCTTCTAGTTTTGGTAGATTGACCTAAATTACTTGGAACCAACATTACAACAAACATTATGGTGGAACATATTAAGATAGTCCATGAAAATGTCAAGAAGCATCTTTCTATGAATTATGTAAATTATAAGGGGAGAGTTGATCAGAAATGAAGAAGAAAAAATCTTCAAGTAAGGGATCTAATTATGGTTTATTCGAGGAAAGAGAGGTTACCAACAAGAAACTACAGCAAGCTCAATCCAAAAAAGTATGGGCCATTCAAGGTGCTTCAAAAAAATTAATAGCAATGCATATGTCCTTGACTTATCAAACACAATAGAGATAACAAAGACTCAATGGTGAGTTCTTTTGAAGCAAGAGAGACTGATTCAACCCAATTTATATTCAATTCAAGTGGACCAGAGGCCCGAGATGCATGAAGACCCAATTCAGCCCAATTTAGTTCAAACTAACCTAGTAAGAGATTTAGACAATTGTTAAATATGTCAAAATCTCAATTCCCACATTTCTCTTTATTTTCCATATTCTTTTTTAAAATTGAAAATTGAAAATTTCCCCTCAAACCTCTGTAGAGGTGTTTCCTTTTTTGTAGGTTAGTTAAAACTACTCTTCAGCCTATAAATATGCCCCCCCCCCCCCCTCCCTCGTAGCTCAGAAGCATTCTCATTTTTCCATCAATCTATTTTTTGAGTTACCTTCCTCTTTGAAGGTTCTCTATTTCTATTGGTGGATTCCAACATCCCTATAGACTTAAGGAGCTATTTATGATTATGTGAACTCGGGGTCAATTTCTTGTGGACCCAAGAGATGAAATATCTTTATTACGTAGATGCAAGGCAAGGAGCTTTCAATAAAATCATTTCCCTTGTGAAAAACTGAAATATGATCAAATCATTAGTTCTTCAAATTTCTGCTACATCACAAAATTACATCAAAAACATATTACGTGTCGTCCTTTCAGTGGTTGCCAGAGAATGAGAGCTTCCACGAGTGCAAAGAAAATTGTTGAAAACCGAGGCTAAAAGGATTGTACTTCACAATGGGCTGTTGAGTAAGGGAGGGGTTGGTATTCTAAAATAAGTCTTTCTCATGGCATGGATGGCATAAATGAGTAATGAAAGATCCATGGCGGCCCTAGAAGTCCACACCAACACCGTCTAAGCCTGCAACCCACTTGATCCTGATTCCCCAACAGATGCTGGTGGTGCATGGAGCGCCGCCTGGCTTTCTGATACAGCTGCTACATGAGGCACAGACCCTTGAGGCAGACCTGTTCCATTTGCCTTGGAACTCAGTAGCTCATGGACAACATGAAAGGCAATCTGCAGACATGGGTTTCGCTTCGGCTGCATCTCTCAATGGCTTTTAGAAAACGAGCTCTACCCTTCGTGCGGAGCTCATTTTCTATCCACTTCAACACCGTCTATCCTCCAGCAGTTGTTTAACGCAGGAGTGCCATGGCCTCTGCTTGTGCTGAGAAAATGACCCATCGATCGCATTTGACAGTCGTCAACTCTACTAAATATGACGGAGCTGGTCGCAAGGAGCTGTTGTCAGGTGGAAGAGGGGATGGGGGTCTCCCCGCCGCCACTTCCAGACACAGTGGAATGAGTTGAGACGACAGAAAAATAAATACCTCCGGCATTTAGCCGTGAACCTCTCTTCTCGGTAACTGTACATCATGGCCCCCTCACGTTCCAACAGGAACTGACCCTCCTCATACTTGTGACTGAGGATATGATGTAGTCAACAAGGAATATACAGACCACCCCCCCCTCCCTTTCCCTTTTAGGAAAAGCTGAATTCCTGAATTGAGGGGCATATAGATATAAATAGCATGCCGTTCACTTTGCGCTTCTCTTGCCCCACCATGTCCTCTTGCTGGCCTTCTCAGTTTCTGGGTTCACGTGCTTCTGGAGCGCCACCTTCGTCTCATGCAGCTTCGCCTTGTATTCCTTCTTCCAGGCCACAAACTGGAGCTTCAGCTTCCTGAGCTCCTCTGTCGGGCTGACGCCACCATCCGCCTGCCTGGATTTCACCTCAACTAGACAGCGGGCGTCGTCCTCAAAATCCTGCTTCTTCTGCTCGAACTCCCTCGTGAGATGAGGAACAGCGCTTGAGATGCCATTAGAATCACTTGGCAGCTGCCTGGTGTTGGAAGGGCGAGAGATCTTCGGAGGGGTGCCCTCAGGGGTCCGAGTATCAATGGAGATCGTATCTTCGGAGTCGTAGAGATGAGGGCCTGGCGACGCATCCACCTTCTCAGGTTGGGATGCCGCATCATCAGTGGTGAGACTCCTCCGAGCCGCAGCTAGACTTACCTGGCGCACACACCATTAAGCTTGAGTCACTCTACTTACAAGTTGGTACATGCCAAAATATGTGAATAAATAATATCGATGGCCTCAAGAGAAGAGACGGTCAATTCTGCTTTCGGGTCTTCAAAAACTAATCCTCAGTCATGATCTGGGGGGTGGGTATCTTGAAGAAATTTGTTATCTCCATGTTTTCGGAACAGTTGAGTCAAAACCAGTGGTGGGAGACTGCAATGGCGTATGATAAAAACGGGGGGGAGAATGGTTATAAATGGCAGGATCACGCCCCATCTTCCAAACTTAGGATTCAAGGAAAATAGTAAACTTCATGCTTAGAAAAAATAACTAGGCTAGAGTTTACCCAAAAAAGATAAATTCCAGAGCGAATAACTTATTCAAAAAGGTGATCTCATGCTGATCACAATGATTTCCGACGGAGAAACTAACAAAACACAGAGTTGAACCCAGTTTTATGACGACGAAAGAAGGAAATTAGCAATCGTATCGAAGAGTCATAAAGTGGGCCATTTCTGAAGAAGATCACCTGCAACGATATCAATTGTTTCTGCCACATTTCTTCCATGGACCTCATTTTTGCCTCATACTCTGACCATCTCCCCTCGTACTGCCTTAGTTGTCTGCGCAACAAGACATTCTCCTCTTCCTTCTCTTGCAGAGCTTTTTCCACCATAAAAATACGCCTTTGAAGTTCTTCCAGGCCTGGTATGTGGTGCTGAGGAAATATTCGTGATGAAAGGTTAAAACGAGCGGGGGGTGGGAGGAGAAGATCTCATTCATCAGGAGACAAAGGATATAACATTAGAACCTCTAAAACAAGGTTAGGCTCTTCTCTCGACTTCATCCAACTTTTATTATTCTATGATTTACGGCCAAGCTGAAAACCAGAACGTCCATAACTAAAGCCGATTATTAAGTTTACCGCGTATGATTGCCTTGTTATTTCTGGGGACATCCGCTAGTCTGGCAACCTGTGGGCAGGCATGCATATGTATGATTCATGGACTATTACAGAGTGACAAATATCTGATAAGTAATTTGAAGAATAAAGCACAGAAAACTCTAATCACCACATTTTTCACTCATTCCTCTCTCAAACCTCCAAGTACTTCCCCTTCATGAGAGATGATGCAACAATCTCCGCTCCAAAAAATAAAAAAATCAAAATTATCCATCAATCACATGGCTCAGACACAGCCAGTCATCTAACAACGGTGCATCTAAGAAAGTGTGTTTAATTAAAAAGTCACTAAAGCACCAGAGCCAGTGATACCCATTTCCGTGCATAATTTCATCTTGATCTTCCGAAAATTTTCTGCACCAGAACCAGCTCATTCATCACAAAATTTGCTGAATCTTCCCTGGCCAGTTAAGGGAACGATCCACTAAGCTTAAAATAAGAAATCAATAGCATCGCCTGAAAAGAACAAAGATTGCCAAAACCAGCATAAAGTACACTCATTTGCCAACTTAGGTGAGTCATTCCCAGGCGGAATACCCCTTGAAGACTAATAGGGAGGGATTTTAGAAGCCTGCACCCCCCCTCCCCTTTCTTTTACATGCTTCTCTCCTCTGACGCACTTTCTCAAAGCTCCTTCCAATCTCTATTCTCAGCCAGCTGACCACCACTAGTTACCCCAAGAAGAAGCAGCCATTTTACCTGGCACAGCAAACAACCCGGAGAAAGAAAAGCTTCCTTCCCTTTTCCTATTTCTGTCATTTTCCTCTCTATCATTTTTTCCCTTTTTGGCCCAATTGGCTATTGTTGGAGGTCAAAGCTGATCCACCGAGCTGATCTTTCTGCAGTTCGCCTTTTTTTACTCCTCCTAGATCGATAATGCCGGACTGGAACAGGGATACTGACTAACCACTCGGATAGTTTTTAGTGGTACTGATTTCTTTCTCACTGCCTTTATACTATAAAAATGAAATTTCTAACCACCAACAGTCATTTAAAAGGCAGTAACCCTCAAACATCATCCTCTGTAATGATAAAATATTGCATATTAAACAAAATACCTCCATTTTTTCTGAAGCCTTAGGTAAGGAGTTCTCAATGTCCTCATGCACTGATGATCGTGAATCCCTAAGAACATAGAAGTGTTTCCTAGCTATGCTCCCACGAAGAGCTGCATCGAAGAAGATAAATATAATCAAAAGGGTGTATCTAACACATAAAAGTAAGAAATAGGAATATAAGAACATTTACACCACCTGACTGCAAAGTTTTTGCAGCTCTCTGATGTTGGTTCAGTATCCTCTGGGCAATCCACCTCTTCACATGCTTCTGCAGAAAACAAGCTGCTTTCCATCTCTTCACCACAAACTTCAACTCGTTTCTTGCGTTTTGACCTCTAACAACTGTACGAGGCACATTTTAACAGACCAACCATCAAAAATATATATAAAGCAACCGGTTATTCCAAAATTAGAAGCTTCAGTCGATTGATATGAACTGAAGGCATTCAATCATTCAAAAGATGAAAACGAAAGAATATCCTAATCGTTCAATTATGGACAGGAAGTGACAGAGAAAAATCTAAATGTTCCATGTGGAAGGGGGGTACAGTTAAATGAAACGAACAATAAATGCATGAGGATGCCCAGTAACATTATCATTCGTAAACGTTCATCAAATAAATTGGGTTCCGATTATTAATAAAGTTAATGAAGCATCAAGTCACAAAATTTACGCATTACATGATTGCAGCATAGTCGTTGCATTCTTGAGCTCCTTAAATTTATGGCGTGCTTGGAAACCACGAAAACACCTCTGTACCCCCAGAATCCCCTTCAGAGTTCGATTCCTGGCGTCTTCTAATATAGCAATCTGCAAGTATCAAATAATGCGTCAGTGTAGCAAAAGTTACAGAAAATACACTTGTTTAGAGAATCGAGAATTATGTTCCAGAAAATTTCTATATAGCTCATTTTGTCCCTTGGATCCTTTCATTCACACGAAGATAATGCATTACTACACATGATCATGATAAAATCGCCCAAAAACAAAGGGATTGTCTGCAAAATGATAAAATACATTTTTTTTCTTCAACCTTGGTTTTATTTATACGTCTTCTTCATTTGATGGCTTTACAAAACACTGAAGATTCTTCTGGGGAAAGTGCTGCTGAGATTGAAGGTAGCAGGCTGTGTAGCGGAAGAAGAGGAAGAAGAAGACGTTGATTTTAAGTCCGAATTAGGGACTAATGACATAATTTACAGCACCGAAAAATTCAAACAAAAACGTTGATTTTAAGTTAACAGCAGATAATCCAAAAATAATCCGAACACAATAAATATCACTCATATACTCATCAACACTACTAGATCAAAGATGAAGTGCATCCTAATGTCTCCAAGGCATATATACCCTCTGTTTGGCACATCAGTCGGCATCACTATGACTCTCATGATGAATGCCATCATAACAAACCTCACACCAATAAATTGAGCAACGGTAAAGGCAGTGAGAGCCAGATTAAGTAATCACTTTCGTTAAATGTCAAGGAAGTAAGTTCGGGGATATTCTCCATATACAAAGAAATTGAAAGCAATTGAGGGCCTGGAGACGAGGGAAACAGTTTGATGAAGAAAAAAAATCATCGTCAATGAACTCAATATACTTTTCAAAGAGCTCACCTAATTCGAGTATCAATAAACATTTATGATAAGAATACAAGAGAAGATCCATAAATTAACGACGGCTTGTTCAACTCATGGTAAGCACAAGTAGATTCTACGTTAACAGCCAGCGAATTCCGAATCTATCAGCATGCTGCAGTTTCTTCAGAAAAACCCTCAACTTCAGGAATACTAACCCATAATTTTTCTTGAAATTAGATATTAGAGGGGTCAAATATGAGCCATTACCTGTCCCGTGCGAAAGAACAGCTTCGTAAATCCGACTTGATACATGTCTGGCAAGACATTGAAATGTTGAAGGATGGCAACTGAAACGCTGAGTGGATCCTGAGATGCAGCATTTTCTGAGAGAAGAAATCCGTACCTGAAGATTGTAGTTATGCTTTACCATATCAGCAACCAAAGTATGAATACCACACTCACCAATGTAATGGAAACAGAAGACAAGACCTTTTTGCAAAATTCTGATGTGTCATTCGAGTTGGATAGCCAGCCCTTGATATTCTCACAACTTCAAGAACTCCACAGCACCTTAACTGTTGTAAGACAATATCGTTTTCATACAAACCTGGCAACTGCTTGTCATTTGGTTTGATGCATCGAATGAAGTGGGGTGTGGTGTTCTCCAAACGTTGCATGAGTCTGAATAACTGAGTCTGAAAGTAAAACATAACCATCAAATAAGACGCTTTCACAATGAGAGTCTCCAAATAGTTCTTTAGCAGAACATTGCAAAACAAGGTCTACACACAGATCAAGATTTAAAACATAAACAGGATGAGGGAGAAAAGGAAGCAGAGGACCAAGCGAAGAGAAACGCCCACAGGTAATTTGTATGCTCCAGCAAATACCCACAAACCGCACGTCGTGTTAAAGAAAAAAGTTCCAGGTATTTGACATGGGCATGGGGGGGAAGGTTAAAAACTGAGATTTCAGGTGACGTCCCAAGTATCTATATTATTTTCTTTCCTGTGAACATATAAGGAGGATAATTATGTTCATTAGCACAGTAATTACAGGTACCAATCAACATTAACGTCGTATATTTATGGTGCTCACAAGGACTTTAACACGTGGAAAGATCATAATAAGATGTAAACCTTTCTAAGAATCTACAGGCGTTCAAGTACTAATAGAAATTGAAAGACACTTCAAAGATCATGTTACTGAATCTAGGAGATCTTGATCCTCCTACAGGAATCCCCAAGTAGAAAAATGGATCCCCAGCTAGGAAAGAAGAAAATAATAAGAATTGCTCCCATCGTCAAGACTTCTGTTATCTAGACAAGCCATGCCACATCAAGGCTAAACAAATGCTTGGTTAGCCTTTATCAGACGTGCTTTGGGACCATTTGCAGTCCCCCAAGGGCATCATATGAACTGGTGCAAAAGTATCTTAATTTTTCACTCATAAATTATTCTCACGAGACTTATTAGGCCTTCTCTTGTCTCGTGGTAGTCTTAACCAGTAACTTGGCAGCACCAAAGTGGCCATTGATTGAATAACTTCATCTTATCTTTGTCACCCATTGCATGCTGGAGTAAGGCTTAATAATGGTGTCCATTTGATATTATATGAATAAACGAAATAGATCCCTAAAATAATGAGATACGTAGAGCGTCAGATGATGGTGATATACTTTTGATACAGGTCAACAGCGATGAAAACTGCAACTTGAATCAAATGACCTGTCACATGGACTCAAAAATCTGTGATGAAAGTCCTTTATACAGTCATTCTTATCCTACGCAAACTGGAAAGAACATTTTGGTGCGTCAAAGGCACCTCCATTAATAGAAACCGCAATGCATTAGGGAGTATATGGCAGATTACTCCGATACCAAGTCCCGAAAAAATTGCCTTTATGACATTGGTAATAAGCAAAGGGAGGTCAGAGCGGGCTTAATGGACCATGGGGATGGAACAAGTCTCTCTATTTTTCACATTCTTGGGAGCAGAGCATGCACCCTGTAACAGGAAAAATTAACTCGCAGCGTAATGAGCCTGTGAGACACCAATACCTTGAACTTCATGCACACGCCCTGCTTTTGTGTATCAGTTCCATTTGACCTCCCAAAAGGGCTCGAAAGCTTCTGAGACTGACCAAGCAAATTTGATGCTAACAACTTGGGGAGCTGGAAACTGCTTGATAAGAGTAGCTCAATAGAATGAGAATGAAGTGGATCTCTGTTTTTCTCCAAGAATCCACTTGTGTTGTAGGATACCTGATAGGACCATAACCGCAGAACAAATGGGAACTAGATTACTTGAATGAAAACATCAGACAAATAAGGCAAAATTTAATTTTGCGCTCAAAAACCTTTCGATAGTTCCAATTACGAACCAACACAAGGGTATTTTCAACAGAAAATTGTCCTTTCTTATTACAAAAGGTGTCCAATATGATTCCATTTTTATAGAAATAAACTGTTTCTCCTTTCCATACTTCAGCCCGAACAATGCACTCGATATTTTTCCATGCCAATTCTCCATAATGGAGAATTATGATAACTACATGTCCAGGATTATTTCCTAGCTCTTAATTTAATTTATTACATGACCGATATATCGTTATAAATCCACATGATGAAATAAAACTCAAAAATTATAACAATCATATGAAACGATATACCCACAAACCTATTCAAAGTAAAATGATCGTAAATATTATAGTCATCACAGACTGAACTTTTATACATAAAATGAGATGCAAGTTAGCTGTTACATCACGAAAATTGCATGTCCACAAGCCTACTCGAAATAAATTGCCAACAAACCTCTCCAGCATAATGACAGACTCTGAAAGCACCATCTCTTTCACCTTTGAAACACGAGTTCCCATTCAAGTGTTCCCTAAGTTTATCAGCGAAGGTTAAGTCTGTTGCTTTTGGGAAAGTAGACTCTTCATCTAATAAAGACAGCAACCCCAGTGGTCTCTGCAGGGCAAAGGAAAACCTTGCTCATCATCTCAAAATAGGAGAAAAATACAATGTACTGTAAGCAATATCACGAGCATAAGTTGATCGTATTAGCAGAATAAAATAATCATTAGATAGTGATGAAGAGATCAATCTTGCAGGTGAAAAAAGGTCTAATACTTCTGATATGGAGGACAAATACTTAATCAAGTACGCATTTGCCAGTGTAGGTAAGCGGAACACAGCTTTGGAACAAAAGCGGACGGCCTATGCTTCACCAACCACTTTTAGTTTTCTCCAGCATAAAAACTACCTAATGGTAAGAGCGATAAAATGGCAACAAGTCCCAAATTGTTGTCGTGACTCCAGGGGTCTTGGTGATCTCTGTGCTATAGCTGCAAAACTCTAAAATACAGAAATGAAAGGCAGATTTGGCCTTAAACTGAGAAGCAAACAATCAGCTCTAATATTGTGAATAACTACACAATATCCTGAAACTAGTAATTAGAGTCAGAGGAGATGAATGGCTGACAGGTAATGTTTCTTCTAGAACGTGGGAATACATAAAGTCATTCGAATGTAAAGTGGAAAAGACGACTAATAGACATACAATGTACATGGATAGCACTTTGTTAGACCCCAGCCAGACAAACCGACAGAGCATCCTGCATAGACAATCTGCTATTTGCCTTCTGATGACAATTCCACAGCCATCAAATCCATTACAATTGGTGCTTACAAAGCATGAGTATGTCAATTTAACGAAATTAAATGGCATGTTTATTTTTATTGGGTACTGAAACAGTCATGATATTGATGACAACAGACGCAGAATAAATCGGCCAAAAAATAATTTGCACATGCTGGCCAAGAGTTTTATTGAAAAATTTTGCACTGAATTGCAAAAAAATAAAAGAACAAAAAATTCACAACTACAAAACTGATGTGGAACCAATGTTTACAACAGCTCATCTCTGTAGCCAAAAAGGAAACTGTAACAAAGCCTGAAGTTGCACCTTCTCAAAGAGATTCAGACATTCAGTGTTGTCAATAAAATTTACTCTTGTCCAGTCAATTCCATCAAGGGTATATTCCTGAACAAGGAAAAAGACACCAAACAATCGTCTAAGAATTAGATTGCAGCACAGTGAAGTAAGAAAATGCAAAAATAAATTAAATTAAGCATCCGAGTGTAAAGTAATTTGAGGCCGCCAACCAGAGAAGGAAATAAATCTTGTTATGGGAAAATATGGACGAAATTGTAGCATATGGGTGGTAGTATAACTTAGGGCTGCTGCAAGCATCTACCATCTAAGGCATACAACTTTCTCGCATTCTGTCCAACATGTGAACTATGCATATACCAGACTACGTTGAAGCTGCTTTGGATAAACTGGACTATCAATTCAGGTTAAGAAATCAGGGTAGGACCAATGTGAATCCCCGAGCATCCTGGTAAGCTTCATATGTTTCTGAAATCAACTGTGTCATTAGAATGTTGTACATCCAACGACACTCCAACAATTTTCGTTAACTTTGATAAAAAAACTAAAAGCAACCAGAACCAAGATTGAAATGAAGCATATTCAGCATTGACAAAGATTGGATATGGATCGATTCCGAGACTGATATTCACCTCAATCACATTCTTAGAAATTTGGAGAATGTAAGCAAGAACTTCAATGATGTAGAGCTGAACGTTTTCATTTTTCTAGTTATTGAATGAAGGAAGGTGATTCAGAAAGGTTTCTGAAAAAAGATACCGAGTCTTGTTTAAAACAAGATATCAAACACATCCAACAACCTATGAGGATATTTTATTTCTCCAACAGTCAGCCTTGAGAGCACAATTATGTGAGGACTTTTACCTCCTGCTCAAGCTTGAACAGATGTCGATTGAAGTGTTGTTGAAGTCTTTCATTAGCATAGTTTATGCAAAACTGTTCAAAGCTATTTTTCTGAAAAAGAATTGAGCAACAGTATATAAAGACAATATTCAGGTAGAAAGGTAGTTTTCATCGCATATTAGTGCCATTAATACTGACATAGAATGATTCAAACCCATAAATGTCAAGAATACTAATAGATCTGCCCGTATGCGATTTGCCTACTTCAAGAGACTTATTGATTTGTTCAATGAGCCACTCAAACAAGCTAACGTATATTGATTTAGCCAATGCATCCCTAGCGTCAATAGCCTGCATGACAACAATCATCAATCAGAAAGACCAAAATGGACTGTTAAAGACGAGCAGTCAATAGATTAATAAACAGAGGCTGTTTGGTTGTTTAATACCTGCGCTAAGGTCATCTTTCGGATAATAGTGTCTTTCCCAGCTCGAATCCTGCAAGTTGATACAGCCAGTATCAAGTTCTGAACACTGCAGCCCAGTAATTTAGCTGAATTACTTAAACCTGTGGTCAAATTACAGCCACAATAATGCATTAACGTCTCATTTTATCACCAAAATCAAAAGTCTTTTAAAACCTAAGCAAAATGAGATTTTTTCCATCATTTAATAATCCATTTACATTTTTCACTCCAGGCGAGAGAAGAATGAAAGGAACTTCTCCAAGTTATTTATGCTGTTATGCGTTACTGGTTTCTGGAAGAGTCAATTTCTTTACAGTCACAAGAACCCATAATTTTTATTAATTGTATTCCTCATTATAGAGTTGTCCGTGCTACTAATGTCATAATTTAAATTATGTTGCTTGTTTAGCAAGAAAATCCTCGATCAATTTGCCAAGGTAATAAATCTATTAGAGAGAAAGCCATACCGAATGATTTAATAATTAATAATAAAATTAAAAGGCAAGAACTTTTTATTTAAAAATACTGTTGAGTAGGCAATCATATTGCATCAAATAATTTGGGAAGTACATAAAATCTGAATCAAATTGAAAAATAAAATACACAAAGGTCAGAAGAGACATAAATAAAGAAGCTGAGTTGATGCCAGCTACACCGAGTTCCAGACAGAACAAAAAGATCAACAAAACTATAAAGCCAGTGTTTAGGCAATTCAAAAATTGACAGACATCAACAAATTATTCCGTTCAGGAAAAAAAACATGAACTATCAGGCAATGAAATAGCCATATCTGTGCAATGATCCCTTTGTAAACCACCAAGAAAAATGTCCATGCTCTCTTCCTTCTTCAGTAGTCTTCCATTTTAAAATATGAGACCTTATCGTCTACGGGAGAATTTTTTAAGAAACCAGGTGAAAACCCAGAGGATAAAAGGCAATCAATGAAGATAATCGGACTTTCCTACTTTATGTCATGAATTAGTAGAAAAAGGGAATCCAGCACAATATGAAATTAATTTTTCATTACAATGGACAGCTAAGTATTCTAGTTTATTCATAAAACGCATTAAAGGGGGAAAACCCCAACATCCTTCATGTCAACACAAAAAAGACAAACTATCAGGAGCCCATAATCATGAACAAATTTACATGACGAATTGACGAGTCCAACATGCACACTAGTTACGCATCAGTATGAAGATGTTCATGGAAACCCTCAGGAAAACGTCATTCATTAAAATGAAAAGCAGCAAGCTTTCATACAAAAAGAGGTGTATAACACGGAATCCCTTAGTACCTTCATTTGGCTCAACTTCTACATGGTTTTCGTTGTCAACCACTGAAAAGGAAACGTTCCCAAGCCACAGTACCGCAGCGAGCATTGCAAACACTTTTTCTTGATCTTCCTTTGGAATTTGAACAACATCTAGAGCTTCCTAAGGAGGAGGAAAAGAAGGAAAGTTAAGTGGCAACATGCTGAATGTAGGCACAAAGAAAGTCCAGAAAGATGGCCCGCAAATCATGCTCGTCAGTGTGGCAAAATGTGGTTAGACAATACCAGCAGCAAGTGAAACCTTTTTGCATCATTGACATCATCTATGGTCAAACAGAGGCTTTGCTTCAGATACTCGTACTCATTCGCTGCTTTCAAGTTAAGCCGTTCTGAGAATAACCACATATTGTAAAATATCTCATAATCATATACCATCTTAAATCTTAACGACAACACATATTTCACCAACACATAATATCCATGTATTAGACGTTAAAAGCACTCGGGAATACAATTTTCCAATTATGAATCGATACAATGTTGTTATTTATGAGCAGACACTGAGAAACACTGACGTCACAGTTACACCATAATGACAATATACCTGACGTCAAGATTCAGAATGCACACATTGAAACACTGAGAAAGACCATATTTACTTGTTCTGAGGCTCTGAAATCAAAGATAAGGGGAGAACTTGAATGACAACACCATATTCACCGATAAAGCACTTAAAAAAATATGGCGCCATGTATATATATACATTGCTATATAGATATGCGCGTCTGAATTTACGTACACACACACGTGTGTGTGAGTGTGTGTGTGTATATATATATATATATCAATGGCAATAAAATTTTAGGTGGAAGACTTGCTGGCTGCTTGGCTGCCAAAAAAAAAAGTGTCTACTGGGCAGATGTGTACCATCATGTACAACACAGAATCTGCATATGGCAGCCCCCCAGGTCTTTAGGGAATTTGTGCTGCAGTATGTGATCATACGTTTTTCCATATGAGATTAGGTGTGGATCCTATATATGCACTAATTTCTCGTAGATCCAATAAACGCAGCAAAGTCACAAATCCAAAACAATACATAAAACATTCAGCTACGACCAGATGGTTCGGCAACAAGAGAAAAAAAACATGAAAAAGAAAAACCACACAGACCAACCTTTAAGAAACGGAGGGGCTCCTGCACAGAGTTGGTAAAAGATGTGATAAGATCTTTCATTCATTGCACGTTGGACAACTCTCGACTATGCAAACACAGCACAAGAATTGTCAAGATCAATCAAAAACAAATCATGGAAATAGTATCTTATGAAATAAGAGTACCTTCTCAAGTAAAACTGCTCAGCATATGAATTTTGACAATAAGACACCACATAAAAAGCAAATCAGCTTCTCTATAAAAGATTAACAATCAAAGATCTGTGAATATAAAAAGCATTAAAATGTGCTTACAGGTTTGAATCTTAGCGCCGCATATCTTTCCAGAAGAGCTAAAATGGATTTCAATTAGTTTTCCCTGCATTAAATGTAATATAATAAAATAAATCTAAGATATTTGTGTAAGATTTCCAAAAGGAAGGGTAAGGCCGCCACAAAGAGAAAATAAGATGTAAGCAGGCATTTCTGGATGCTCACAAATGTGACTCAAAGGAAAAAAAATTCAGACTCACAAATCTGCTAGAGTTGTGATTTCTGGATGTTTTTGCATTTCCAAATGCTTCCAATATAAAATTTGCCTGCAAAACTTCATACTCTATACCATTTCCGCCCCCAAGTGCAGCCAAGTATTGCATGGCGATTTTTGCTGTTTCAGTTTTTCCTGCTCCACTTTCACCACTGTGTAGAAGACAGAGGCCAGCAACAAAACAGAATGGGTTACTGAGAAACAAATTTCAGAGTTGCACTTCAACTGAAAAATAAATAAGAATATCACTTCACCAATAATTGAAGATTTAATTTACCTTATGATAATAGATTGATTAATTTCGTCTGCAAAATACAGAGAGGGGTGATGTGAATACCATTTGGGGAAATAGATCCACCATGTGCATCATATAAAGAGATCATGTGATGTAAATGTACAAGAAATGAATAATCTGCACACACTACGTGATCATAACTCGAAAATATTTGTATCCCAAGTATATGAATACTTTTACCTCTCATCATTTCGTTGTAGGCATTGTCTGCTACTGCATAGACATGGGGGCTATCAGTGGTTTTCTGCCGATAAGCTGAAAGAATATCATTACCATAAAGAGAAACCTCCTTGAAGGGATTTACTGCAACCAAAACTGGCCCAGCTTTGGTCTACAGACAGGAAAATGGAGAAAGTCAATAGTGACTTAGCAAACTGAAGAGAAACTAAAGACTATGCGACAATTTAATTCCAAATGCATACGTAAATTTTATCAGAGGAATATCTGCATCGAAGGTTGTGAAGAACGGATGGCTCATTGAGATAACTGAGCTGCAATAAATCATCCACCCCATCAAGAAGATGTGGATTTGCAGGTAAAATGTTTTCCGTTGGTACTGCTGAAACCTGGGCACAATAACAGGTAAGGCACTTAAATTTCGTACTATCCTAAGCTTCTAATAATGGCGGCACATGAGGTTTTAATGTAGAACAAGCCTACCCTGCCGTCTGATAGAGAAATATGTGCATCTTCGGCTGAGAATGATTTAACCTGTCCTCGCTCCCAATTGGCATTTGGAAGACGATACCAGACACACAGTTCCTGTAAAGTACACCCAAGCATTATAGAAAGAAGGAATTACACTGAACTGAAATGTATGCTAGCTAGCACATCTGTCGTCATTTTTTAATAAGATATCAGCACTTTTAAGCATCAAAGTGTAGCAATCATCGCACAAAGCAGAAAAGAAAAGAGAAGAATCCCGAAAATGATGAGATTACAACAGAAGAACAATAAACTAAAATATAAGATGGACAGATAATCGCAATGAATACCTAGGAAATAAGGGCAGCATGTCTTGAACATTCTAGCAGGAGTTGCCATTTATAAAAATCAAAGCATCTCTCCAGCCCATATCAAGCATCTATTTTTCATGTTACAATGATGAATTGTCAGGGAATGAATTTAATTCTTTAGCCAACCTCTTGTGAAAGAAAATATGACTAGCAAAGAATTCTGAAAGAATTTCTTGAGCAAAAAAGGGGCCCAATTAGCAACGCACACAAAGCGTTTCCCATTTACCTTAATCTGAACCTTCAACAGACGCTCTCAAACATTACATTTCTTCCACACTTCTCCCACGAACAAACTTACGATTGTTTCCCCATCAAAATTTTATAGTTAAGAAATTAGGAGCCTGCTTCGACCGAAAATAATCATAATTTTATAATAAATCTTTTCTGCTCAACTTTGACAGTTCAAAGCGTTTGAAGCTGTCACAACCCCGAATCTGGTTCTGCTTTCCAATCAGGCACCAAATATTGCCTCCATCACTTGTACTTTCCACTTCTAGACGATTACCAGCACAGTATCATCAGTCACACAAAAAAATAAAAAATATCGATTCCTGTTAATAGAGAGCACTACGTTATCATCGGATCACTATTTGGCACTACTGGCAGCGAAGTGGCACGACATTGGCACTTGATCTCTAAACCACCCCCACCATCATCGCATAAAATAAAAAAAGTCTTTGAGCCCCCCTCACCTTTGACGAACTTGGAAAATAATTCCTCAGTGTTCATATTCCCTTCTCCAATTCAACTGATGATATTATTCGGCAATTGGGCAGAGAAACCATCAATTCAACGGACCCATAAGAAATAAGTAAAAAGGAAGACATTGTTAATGATCCGGTATAGAACAAAGGCACGATCCTGGCATCTTTATGGAAACGGTTTCATCATTCAATAAATCGAGCATTGAAATTGAGCAAATAAGAACAATCATGCACAGAAAAAAATCATAACTTCTTCACATCAGAAGACATAATTAAATATCCGTAAGCAGAGGGAACAAAAACTAACCTCCCATTTAAAATAAAAAATAAAAAAGGAAAGTGAAAATTTTACCTCTTTCAAAGCAGAACCGATGGTGCTGCCATTTGACCTAGACTGATCCAAAGTAGCTGGTGGGGACGCAACAGGAGTAGCAGAAGCAGTAGGAGCATCCGACTCACTTCCTTCTGCCATGTTTCCCCCGCTACTCCCCAACTCCGGCGCATAGGGAGACTCTCCTGGTTCCTCCGCCGTCGACAGCCGCCTCCTTCTGCTTCCAAATATCCCGCTCCTGAATCCCACCTCCTTCCCCTGTCCTCGAGGTCGCTCCACTTCCGCCTCCGCCTCCTCTGGCTCATCCCCCGGTAGGTACGTCGGCACATTGCAGGAGACTTTAAAATCGACTGGTAGAGACCTCCTCGCCGTGGGCAAGCGACCCCGCTTCACTGGACGGGTCGGCAGAGCCGGCGGCGCGTCCTTGGGCTGCTCGTCCCTCTGGCGGATGGAATCCAGCATCTGCTCTAGTGAACTCCGAGCGGGCGCCCACGTCGACGCCATGGTTGCAGAGCAGATGATGAAGCAGGGCAGGAGGAAGGGAGGAGAAGAGTTGTAACCCTAGGACGGAGAATGCGGTCGGCCAGATTCGCTGGAGCGGACGTCCTCGTAGAGGAATGGACGACGGGCGCCAGCTTACGCGCCAACACAGACCCCAATTCCTCGCTACGCCGAGTTAAGGGGAAAAAGGAAAGCCTTCCCCACCGGAGATCCGATGATGCTCACTCGAATCAGAAGGAAGGGGAGAGATGAACAGCCGCATTCGGCACTCCCCACCCGCGAAACCATGATCCGCAGCAGACCCAGAATCGAACTCCCGAACGACCAAAATTTGCCCGCTCCCTAATCCGCCGCCTCCATGGGAGAAGGAAGCCCGGAAGAACCCACGGAGCATAAACCGAGTCACACGGCAGAACTGCTCCGCCAACCTGCCAGCATGACCTGCCTTCTTCTCGCCATGGAAACAGGATTGATTGGAGGCTCTCTATTCGGCTTCCTCCGGGGGCATTCTGCGCGAAAACCACTGCCCCCCCCCCCACCGGACCCAGACTAGCCCAAGCAAACCCTCTTCCTTGTTCTCAACTCCGACCTTCTGCAACAAACACAAGGTGAAAAGTTCAGCGAGGGAGAGACAGAGGCCTAGAGAGGGAGAGGGGCTAGAGAGAGAGAGAGAGAGCGAGGCTAGGATTGCTTTGGGTATCCAAAATTCAAATTGTTGGGGAAGCGTGTGTGGAACCCACCGCAAGGACGTCGGCCCATCTCTCCAAACCCTCGCTTCTTCTTCCTCCCATCTTATCATCTTCCCTCCGCCTCTCTCTGTCTCTCTCTGTCTCTCTCTCTTCCTCTCCTGTCTTTTCCCTCCAAACTCGGAAAGACAAGCACGGTGGGGGCCTAGATGGCAAATCTTTGCCCTCATGTTTCACCGATATTGTGCTAATGCCATCAACGCCGCGTAAGTTTTCCCCCAGCTCACTTCATCTTCGAGGTTATTTCTGTCCATTCAGGTCCCTTCCCTCTCCGAGCCTCACTGAAATCAGGTTTCGGGCCATCATGAGCAAGAGTCTCAGCCTCGGCACGGCCCGGTACGTACAGCCGAGAGTGGTGGGGATGGAGTCAGGGGCGTATTCATAAATAACATAAAACATATGGGCAAAGAGTGCCTGATTTTCCTCCCTTCAAATATTAGAAAAAAACCCGATGGCCCCCGAGAGGGCAGAGAGAGAGAGAGAGAGAGGATGCACACGTGGGAGTATCCACCAGCGGACGGGCCCCATCCCAGCCATGGGAGGGACTAAACTGAAAATTGACAAGGAAGTCACCTGGATATTTATTTATCAAACTTTATTGAATTATCCCCCGAATTAGTGATAAAATTCGACAGAAACGTAAACTCATGAAAGAAATAGACAGAGACAGAGGGACAGAGAGACGTAGAGCGAGAGAGAGAGTGAGGTAGACAGAGATGACGGAGAGACAGGAGACAGAGGTAGAGAGAGAGAGAGACAGAGACAGAGAGGTGGAGAGAGAGAGAGAGACAGAGAGACAGAGAGCAATGATACAAGGTTAGTAGTCTCTTTGGATGCGTGAGAGAGACCCACCCACTTTCTAGCACGTGGGTCTCTCTCTCTCTCTCTCACTACGTACTATCATCACGACTGGTGCTAGTATTGATTGAACATGGGGAAAAAGGCCCCAACAAACGCACACCGACCCGATAATTTAATCCCCGGGCACATTCTACTCTAACCTAACCCACCTGCGGAAAAGGGAGGGGGGGGGGGGATCCAGCTGTTCCAACATGCCGGCCTGGCCCAAATATGCCTCGAAGGAAAAAGAGCCCATTATGCCCCGCCCCGCTTGACATTTTGGGCCGACATTTCCTTCCTTCAGCCATGCTAAGGCGTGGGCCCATTAACGACCCATGTAAACACATGCTTGTACAGATTTGTTCTGGCGGGGCAAAACACAGCATACCTTTGATTAATGCCCTTCATTTTAGGAGCAAAACCCAGAAAATATGAGTCTCTCTCTCTCTCTCTACACACAATAAAACCACTGAATATACTGAATATTTATATTCAAAGGATCTGGGTTCCAGAGATTGATAATCTGGGTTGGCCTAGATCAGATCTGTCGGACCAGATCCGGCCAAGTCAGCAAATGGAGGCCATTCAGCTCAGGAATCCGTCTGGCAACCAGCTCACCCCGCCGGCGGCAGCTGGGCGGCGGCGGGCTTCCTCTTCCTCCCCAAGATGGAAGCTTTCTCCAGCCTCGACCCCCCCACCCGCCACTTCCTGAACGACGCAATTGACCATTGAGCTGCCTTGAACACTGCAACGACGACGACGACGACGACGACAACAGCAAGTGGGAAGATCATGTCCCCCATAAGATTTCCCATTTTGGGCAGCATATCAATCTATCTATTTTTCCCCCAAAATAGTAAATAATGAATGAATAAAAGGGGAGGTGGATGATGATAATCTCACGCTGGGTCTCCTCCTGGGTGAGGCGAGGCAGGTACTTGGGGGAGGTGGAGACAGGGGCGCTGTGGGACTTGCTGAGGATCTCCTTGTAGCGGCTTGTGAAGGTGTAGAGGAGGAAGGGCCCGATGCTCTTGTCGCCGACTCTGCGGGGAACCAACCAGGAGGAGGAATCAGGCGGAGAAATCGTGCAGCGTGAAGCTCGGAGCAGCTCTTCCGGACTGAGGGCATCCCTCCAATCACAGTCAATGATAAATCAGGAGCTACTTCTCAGAATTTATTCACCAGGACAGACAGAGCCAGAGTGGCCGATGAAGATGGCCCCTCTGTATATTGGGTGGGGGGCTTGGAAATAGCAGCCACATTCATCAGGAAGGATCCCGCTGTCCCACACAAGCCTCAAAAGTCCAAGGGAACTAATCGTCTCAATCCATGAGCACAGACGCCTAAGAAAAGCAGCCCCGGCTGGTTTTAGAGAGAAAATATTCTAGAAGAGTAGAGAGAGAGAGAGAGAGAGAGAGAGAGAGATTGGCAGGAAATAAACCACTTTCTAGCGGTCCCCCAGCCACGGCAGCCAGTCTATTATGCACCAACAAACTCTCCTAGTTCTCAGCATGTAGGATCCCATGATGTTGACAGTGAGAAAAAGGGGATGATGATGCATGGATTCTTCTCCCCCTTTTTCTACATATTTTGGCCGGAAGAGAGAGAAAGGAGATAATCGGAGCTACTCACAGGGGAAAGATCTTGCAGCCCAGTTCATAAAAGTAAGGGCATCGACTCCTCAGATCCACACACGCTGCATCCGCTTGAACTTCCTTCCTCGTTCTGCAGCGCAAGAATTCATGATCAGAACAACGAAAGCCAGGGAGACAGAGATGAGGAAAGGAGCCCCCCTCCTCCACTCCACTTCAGCTTCGTCCTCCTGTCGGAAAGAGGCGGCTGTGGTTCTCAAACAGAGATAGATGGCACCACAGAACAACAGCTTCATCCATATTCCCACCAAAATATATTTCCTGGCTCCATTAGTCACTCGGTAAAAAGGCCACCACCTTACGTGGGGATCTTGCAAACGCAGACCTTGCTGCATCATCCATACCTCTGGCTGAAACAGGGAGGGACACCGATGGCTACTGCTTGTCGTAAGTGAAGTTCGTGAGCAAGCCACAATGGTAGATCTACTTTCGCGCCGGCTTCAACCTGGGCAGCAGAAAGAGGATGGAGCATGAGAAATTTATCAGGAAGCTAAGCTATGGTGTTTTGAGCAGGATTTCAGAGCAGCCATACACAGTTCGATTCCGAGCCAGGATCCAGCAACCCAACCCCGTTCGCTCTGACCTGAAAGATTGATGTAATAGGCTGCAAGACCGTGATCCATTAGATAGATGGAGTCCTAGAAAAGGTAAATTTTCGAAACATAAGATCGATGCGACGGAAAAGAGCAAAGTTTCCACCTCTTCCTCCATGAGAATGTCGTCTATGTTGTAGTAGTTGGCCATAACTTCTGTGCCAGCATTAGCCAATCGCCCCTCCTCTTCCTTCGAATCGCCAGGGGGAGATGTCGGATGGCCGCTGCTATGATCCCACGTCGCCCCATGCGTTCAGCGCCATTGGAGTTTCTCGGGAGCTTTCACACACCAGCCGCGAGTCGCCATGGACAGGAGCAAGGAATAATGAGGTCGGCTCAATTGTGCGATGGGGAGAAGACGGCCGCAATGAACCTCAGACAAGAACGAGAGACAGAACCAATCTAGCGAAATGCGAAGAACTGCATGATAACATCCTCACTCGTTCCACAAAGCAGCCACAGAATCGAGTTCGGGGTGATCCGGCTAGTCCATGCTGTCTAGCTAGAAAACGACGCGCCTCAAGCATTACGAGAGAGAGAGAAAGAGAGAGAGAGAGAGGACCGTGGTATCTGGTCTGGAGTTGAAATGAGCTTTGCAGGATCCTGAATTGGATTATGGATTTGGCAAAGGATGAGCCTCTTATCTAGGGTTTGACGAGAACAGGGAAGGTGAATGACCAGCCCAGCCAGCATCGGGCGGGGAGATCAACCTGATCCGCGAAATCCACGATTGAGAGACGCAAAAAAAAATCCAGACATCGGTCGACGAATCTCCAAATGAGAAACAAAGGCAATTGACCCTACCAGAAATACGCCGAAACCTGAAATCGCATCCGCTCGAGCGGCAGATCACCCCCGGCTGCAAGATGCAGATGGAAAGGTTGTGGGATATGAGCCGCTCCCGTAGCCTGGGCCTTCCCGGCGGCGATCCAGGAGGCGGCCAAGGCGGAAGAAAGGGGATCGGCGCTCGGTATCCGGTGGCTGAGGGGCTCGCGCTGCGCTTAAAGCAGGATAAGAAAGAGCCCAGTTTTGCTTGGAAATGTTCGAAAACTTCGCGCCCTTTCCCACTGGTACTAGAAGACTCCCAGAGATAGACACAGGGAGACAGAGAGAGAGAGAGAGAGAGAGAGAGTGGGGGGTGTGGGGCCCACTTCTTTTAGGCATCACGAGCTTCGAAGCTATATGGCCGGAAAAATGAAATCTGAGTCTACACATTCGTTATGGACTGGCCCATAACTTCCATTTTCTCTCTCTCTCTCTCTCTCTCTCTCTTGAAATTACTCGTGTTACGTGACTGCACATCCCTCTCTATTAAGATGGGCAGTATTTTAGTGTACATCGCTCTTCTCTCTCTCTCAATATTACATGTTGTTGTCCATCTCTCTCTCCATATCTCACGCTGAATCTGTCTTTCTCTTCAAATTACTCGTGCAGCATTGCATCTCTCTCCCTCTCTCTCTCTCTCTCTCCAGAAAAAGAAGAAGAAGAGCAAGAAAAAGAAGTATAAATAGAATAAGAAGCATAATCAGAATCAGAATCAGCAGAAGAAGAATAACAACTTCACAGTCTTCCGCAACACTTTACATCGAGTCAAATCAAATCGAATAACACGACCCACCACACTCAGGTCACACCGGAGACGTCTCTCTCTCTCTCTTTATCTATCTGCGGCGGCTGATCATCTCAGAGCAGAGAAGCGCTTGAAGGACTCCTGGCGCTGGAGCCGGATATCGTCGTTGAACTTCTTGATGAAGGCCTCCACGCGACGGTTCAGCTCCTCCTGCCCCGTCGACGGCTCCCTCCGCAGCCGCAGGCCGCCCCCCCGCGGTGGCGACGAGGACCCCCACTCCGCGCCACCGCCGCTTCCGCCGTCCGCCTTCTTCAGGCGCCTCGCCAGCGGCATCCCCCGTCCTTCCGTGATGGCCTTCCAGGTGCTCTCCAGCGTCTCGTTCTTCTTCGGCTTCGCCACCCCCAGCGGCCTCCCTGCACCAAAAACGCCACCGCCGGTAACGCCGCCGCCGCCGCCGCCACTGCCGGGAGAAAGAAGGAAGAGGAGGAGGAGGAGCTGTTTCCTTACCTTCGTGGCTCGCCTTGGCGCCTCTCCGAGCAGAGAATCGCATCGAAACTAGCGGCTTCTCCTCCTCCTCCGTCGCGGCGGAGGCGGTGGCGCCGCCGAGCTCCTCCGCCGGTCCGCCGCCGGGCAAGAAGGCCGCCGGGAGATGGGCATCCAGGGGGAGCTTCAACGGCTCCGCCGGCGGCACCGGCTGGTGGGGGTGGTAGGAGGAGGAGACGGCGATGAAAATGATGATGAGGTTGACGATGCAGTAAAGGTACGGCGGCGCCAGCCAGCCGAGCGCCGCCACGTAAATCTGCGGCATGAAGACGACCACCGCCGGCCAGTACAGCCGCAGCACCACTGCGGTAGAGACCACCCCCGTTGACACCAGCAGAACCTTCCCCGACAGAACCATCCTCTCTCCCCCCCTCTCTCTCTCTATCTCTTCTCTCTTCCCTTTTCTCTCTCTCTTCTCCCTCTCTCTCTCTCTCTCTCTCTCTATCTCTTCTCTCTGTCTGGGTCTCCAACAGGCACACACAGTGACCCCGTCCCACCTCCACAGCTTCCAAAAGTTTCTCTTTTTTTCCTCTTTCGGCGGGGGGGGGGGGGGCGTCCGCGGCCGGCAGAGAAACGACGGTGTCCGTCAGATTGGAATCGAGCAGATTCCACGGAAAATGGACGATGAGATTGAATCCACGTGTCGATCTCTGGTTGCCTGGAGGCATCCTTCCCGATCGCCGCCGCCCAAACGCCGTCGGCCGTCCATATGCCAAAATTAGATTACGATTTTCCGATAAATAAGAAGATTTTGTGGGCTTGACAAAAAAATTCGCCCGTCTTATCCCACCAGAGATTAACTTTTGGGAGAGGATGATAGCCTAGAATTTTCCTAATAACCCGCTCATAGTTTTTCTAATTATCTTCTCGCTTGAATAAACATATATTTGCGATAAAGATCCAGCGCTCCCTCGCTTTATCTGAATTATTGAAACTTTTTAATCACAATTAACTCTTTCTAATATACAATACGCATAAAAAAAATTGAAAAATAGGCGTGCCGCCAAGCGAGGAAAGGTGGTCAGGCCCACAGCTTTCGGTCGTGGCCCTAGAAATATGATGGCGGGTCCCACACCCAAAGAACAGAGTCAAATCTTGGGGCTTTTACGAACAGTCAACGGGGAGAGAGAAAGAGAGAGAATGGCTTTTACGAACAAGAAGAAGCAGGAACATCTCAGATGGCATAGAACAGACCCCTCACCACACACAGAGACGGCGTCGTCATCACCATTTATTCAGCAAGACCTCGAATCGAATCGTGTGGAGGGGCTCTGATCTTCCGAGATGAACGGTGGAGATCTGCCCATGATATCAATGTTTGAGATGGAGCGACCCGAATAAAAACTCGACTGTAAATAATACCCACATTCATATATCCCAATCGGCAAACTTCCCCCACCCTCTCTCCTCCTCTTCATTGTTTCGAGAACATCCCCTGGGTCAACGACGAGAAGTCAAAGTCTCCCGCGGATCGGCTTGGGGTGGCGGCGGCAGTGAGGGAAGCTGCCGCAGGCCTGGCGCCGGCGCCGCCGCTGCCGGACGCTCCGCTGCCAATGGGCGCCGCCAGTCCAACAGCGTACATGCTGCAAAAGCCGTCCGGTCAGACCCACGAAAGAAAAAACTCGGCAAAAAATTAAGAAATTAATCAACAGAAATGCATAATTTATTTCGGATGAAGAACAACTTGCTTAAAATGAGATGGATCTGTTCGGGAGTTTTTTTTTTTTTTTTTTTTCCATCTAAATTCAGAAGATTCCACAGGCTAGCTAGCATGAAATGCAAGTTTTCCAATAAGCCTACATTTTTTTTCGGAGCACTCGTAGCGAACATTTTTATTTTTTAATGGATCTCCAAAATTTGGATTTGCTTATGGATTTAATCAATTCATTTGTCAAAACAGGGCCCATTTTTTTATAAATAAATAAATAAATTAAAAGAGTTGAGATTTGATCGGAGCAAGATTCATGATGCGGCACCTCAAACTTGCCAAAGAGCCGAAGATGAGAGCAACGAATCATGAAAAAACGGCCGAAAAAAAAAAAAAAAAGGAAAATTACCCGGGTGGGATAGAGAGGCCGAAGTTTCCTGCTGGGGATGACGACAGCCGGTAGCTTCCGACCTGCAATGGCGGGAGCACGGAGTAGTTAGTTATGGGGATCTGAAGGACCCGTTGACAGAAGAAAACAGACTGGCATCTCAATGAAATCCGGCATCTCCACCTGGGCAAGGCCGGTCAGCTCATTTTTGGCGGCCGTGGGGATCTGGTGGTAGCCCATGGTTGACCAGGCCTGCTGCATCTGTGGGGCTCCAGTGGGACCGGGGGCGCTGTTCTGACCAGGGGGGCGGACCACACCTGTCACCCCGGGGGCCCCACCAAAGGGCTTACCAGCTGCCGTTGCTGCGGCCATGAGAAGAGCCTGCTGTTGAGCGAGGACGGACATCTGCTGTTGGTGGGCAGCGTACGGAGACACCATGCTTGACTGCACGGGAGAAAGGCAGTTTTATTTTAGCTGAGACGACAAGAACAATACGATCTAGAACGTACCTTCTCGAAGAGGCTCATGATATCATTCTTCACGTCCTTTTGCGGCCTAGATGCGGCTGCTGCTGCTGCTGCTGCTGATGATGATGATGATGATGAACCCATGGCCGGCATCAAAGGCGGGTCTTTGAAGATGTCTTCTTCTGCCCTGGGTGCACCCTGAACCTTGACAACTTCCTCTTGCTTTCCAGCGCCGGGTTTCTGCACCGCGGTCACCGTCTCTGCGGCTGAAAGATTGGTGGCACGCGGACAAAAAAAGGGACACAACAGATATTACCCACAAGAAGGCAAAAGAGAACAAGAGATCGAGTGGGAGGGCGGAAAATCGAATAAAAGGTTCAAATAGGTCGTAAATAATTGAAAACAAATGAGCAGTTAAAAAAGCTGCATACATTGGAAACCCGCCCAGGAATTATCATTATGCTTAGAAGACTCCGAGCCGTTCTCAGTAGGCCCTTCGACCGTAAGCATCCTGAAGAGGTCAGTGGCGAAGTCAACCTTTGTAGGTGGAGCGGCGGTGACGGTAGCAGGAGCTGCCTGTAGAGGTTTGGCCTGGGATGAGGCGACCTCAGGTTTAGAATTAGAAGGCACCTGCGCCATGCCCAACATATTTCAGTCTATACCAGCTGAGAGAGCTCAAATGGAAAAAAAAGAAAAAAAGAAAAAACGAAAAAGAAGCACAGTTAACTTGAGGACCGGAGCATTTCTACCTTCATTTTCTATGTTTTCTTGGAAACTGTCCCTTTATTCTTTTTCTGAATATACATAGTGGAATACTGAATGGATAAACACATCTATGATTCACAGTAATGAGGAATACATCTTCTAATTATCTCATGAAGAAAAAAAAAAAAAAGAGAACGGTTAAACTCGTGAAGAGGAAAATTCTCCAGAGATTTTCACTATAGAAAAAAATAATAATCATCAAAATGAGCATTCGCTATAGAAACAAAATAATAATCGAGCACAAGCCAGTCAAGGTATTCCATTTGATAGGCACTTTCGTCAAGTTGCACTACCCAAAGTGTGTCTAGGGTAAAGATTAAGACCAAGTGAAAAAAGTTATCCCAAAATGTGAACATAGTTAATTTTAGACAATATGACTAATATTGGGTTGCAATCGGAGTATAAATGTCTGACTTGAGACTAATTTATGGTGGAATGGTCCAGAAACAGACATTCAACTCAGATAGGCAGGTTCAAGGCCGAATCAGCCCGGTTAGCCTAGGCCAAATGACTGTATATAGAGGGCTCAAACACCAGCAGATACCAAACTACAATACGATCTATAATGGGCTCATGTCTACAATGAAACCCAGGAAACGGCTGTTATGAAAGAAAACCGATCTGAAAATATTTTATAGATGAAATGCATCAAAGAAACTAAATAATGAGTTTGTCCACCCAATCAAGATACCTTGGGAACTTCAGGAGAACTCTTCTTTCTTGTATGTGTTGGAATTCTGTTCCTCTCCTCAGATGGACGCTCTTTACCATTGGGCAGTTCCTGTACACCTTTATCACTGAGTTTCTTACTATATTCGGCTCGCTCTACCCGGGCCTCTGGTGGTGATTTTGACTTTCTATCCCTTGGAACCCACCTTTTCTCTTCGTACCTATGGGTTACATTTTCAGTTAATGAAAGGGATATAAAGAATTCAGGGTGAGAAATTTTACAACAAAAAAAATCCTCAAAGAAACATACTTTGCACGTATAAAATTTTCAATGCCAACTCTATCATAGTTTGGAGGCAATTCAGCTTCCCAGTAGGTGTTGGACTTCTCATTTCCCATTGCTGCCCACAATCACAGACAAATTAGGCAGAAATTTTCAGAATCATAACCAGAGCCTATTCATAAACGTACAACAAATTAAGCGATCTTTAGTCAAAATGATAGCATGATGTATACTTACACTGGATGAATGCAACCTGCTCTGGGAGCCATGTGTCTAGTGTGGCAGAACGAACCTAAAACAAGTAGGAAGTTAACAAGGAAAATTGAAATAAGACAGACAGGAAAATTGTTGTGCAAACCGGAGAAATTTTAACAATTAATTCTGAGACAGATATGGTTCATCTCTTGAAAAGTTCTTGTCTTGAAAGCTGGGCAAAGATGCCCACTGCCAATCAAAGGACTCAAACCATGTAATTTCAGACAGATATAAATAAGCAGTAAACCACCCTCTTTAAAAAAAGAGAGAAAAAAAGAAAAGAAGAAGGTTTGAGGTCAGTAGACTCGTTTAACTGATATTTTCGGGTATCTCTGATGCCAATCAGTTGGGACAAGGGGTCTAGCCAGTTTGAGTCAACTTTAGCCCTCGGCAATTGGATTACTTAAATGTATTGTTTGCAAGGGTAAGTCCAATAAAATCACTACAATATCCACTGATTTATTAATCTTTCTCATGAAACTCCTAAGTTACCATTTCTTTTAAGAAATCTTCCCGACCTTATCATCAGAGGCCCATATACTTACGAAAAAACCTGTCTGTGTCCGTCTTACATGTCCCTGTACTATACAGTGATGCTGAATTTTCTCTAATCGTAAACCAACTACATGGTTGTTTAATGGTGGAAGTTAAATTACATGCTGAGTAGTGACACCAGTTAATTTAGCGCTCGCTCATCAAGAGCCTAGCCTTGAATCCTTTTGAAAAAAAAATATTGAACTCGGAAATCCTACTTAGGATATCAAATATTGGCTTCTAAAAACCAAGTTTACACGAGCACATCACCTGAATCAGCCTATATTGTGAAATATGCTTTTTGAGAGGAGATTTCCACAGACTGATAGGTGTGGCAGAATTGGTTCCCTGCTATTTGAGTGCCAAGAAATCTGTTTGACTTTTGGGCCAGAGAAGATTCGGCATACCCTTTTTCAAGGGCAAGACCAAAAGAAAATTGAGCCCAAGCCAGAACTTCTAACAGCACAAAAATCTAATGGTAAAGGATAAACAATAGTTTTATATCATGCATGAATTCTCTAATATCAGGCTAAATTTGACGATGTAAAGACCAGGCGTAATAAATCGTGCATGCTGATCTTTGTCAAATCAATTTAGTTGGTTAAGGTCTAAGTGGCTGTTAGATAAATGAACTAAGTCAACCACGCTCAAATGCCAATTTCATTTAAGCTTGTCCGTAGCACTAAAATAGCTAGCTTATACAGGATTGGGTCTGTTTTCCTCGTGGGATTGGCCTTTATAAAATTTTGATAAAGCGTGACAGAAGATATAGTATTGAACAAATAGGTTCAATGGAAAATTTATGGCAGCAAACCGTTTAAAGAAAACTTGAGAGGTATGATGGCTAAGCCAAATCATATGAGACAGACTACGCTAGATGGAGATAGAAAACATGCCAGAGCATATTAATTATAGACAACGCAGGATACCGCACAATATAAGTATATTTATGACGTCAATGCTTTATATATCTTCTCATTTAGTCGATCTAGAAAAAAGAACAATGGAGTTACAGTAAATGAGGACCTTCTGATGATTAGCACTATTAATTCAAAAGTAATAAACGACTAGAAAAAAATTTCCATGAGAAATAAAATATCACCTTAGAAATATGTACACCAAGACTTCTATGGATGCCAGAACACTGCATGCATATGAAGATCCCTAAATTCACACTAGCCCATCGTGGACCCCTGCAGAAAGATCACTCATTGTTGAACATAATCTATGAGTATGAAGAAATGGCAAACCAAGTTGAAGAATATTATCAAATAAGAATCGAGCATTTTTCACCTTCTGTAGTCAATATGAAGAGCAGAGCTACGAAAATGGAATATTTTACGGAAGCAGCAAAGGAATAGGTAAATGTAATAAATGTATTTCATTTTCTTTCCCCAATTAAGTGGTGATTATAATAATTTTGTTTTCAAGAAGGAACCAAGTACAATTAAAAATTCGCTAAATTAAAGCTGACGCCAAGATCATGTCCTTACTTGCTTTTGCAGTCTGCACATTCTCTGTTTTCCGGCAACTTAAGAAGCCCATCCAGTATCTGAAAAGGATTTGATTAAAGTGAAAAAAATATTTTTTTTGACAAAAAGATAAAAAAGATGATACAGAAGAATGATCTCGTTCAATAATGACCAAAAACTATTTTTAAAGAAAATAGAAACGTAGGCTATCATGCAGAAGAGAGAGAGTTTTGAAAATTTCATACCTTTTGTGTATCTGGGAATTTAGATTTCTTTGAATGATATTTAAAGAAAAATAGTATGCATTGCAGATATGTCTATGAAACATTTTCAACCGCCTCAAAGCATTGATTCAAAGAAGACTGGATCTCCCCATGCTAGGCTAGACCGCCTGTCTGGTCTGAAGGCCATCACCGAGCTTGGGTTTCATGGAACAACTAAGGCTAAGTGGTAAGATTAACTTTTCGCGTTAATCTACCAACTGACGTTTCGATCTCCGTTTCTCTGAATCCGCTCTACTCTCCACAACTGTGCTACAAAAAGATGGCATGGACTTCATCACTGAAAGCCTTTTCCCAACTTGTGGATGGAGACAAAATCCTAGAGAATCTAAATTGGCAGGAAAAGGATGTGTGGGTCAGAAAAGATGTGGTTGAGCAGGTTGGGATAGGAGGGGGTGAAAACTGGGAGAAATGGGAACACGAGAAGAAAGGAAGAAAAGGTTAAGGTATTATCTGCATTCCATAATGGCCATCTAAAAGAAAAGGCTTCCACTATGGATGATTTACATTGATCCTTCCAAGTGTGGGTAATAAAAAATGGCAAAGTCGATCTAAAATTTCCAATTGACGATGGAAAATTTCCATCATAAATTTCCAAGCCTCTAAAATTACAAAAAGACGACATGTCCCTAAGTTAGCAGCCGAAATTTGGCCGTCGACAGGAGTAGAATAAGGAAACGACAAAGAAAACGAGAGGCAAAAAGCCAACCCATCATCAGGCGGAGCATCCCGGCGTGAAATTCTAGGTTAAAGGAAATCCCATGATAAGTGGACTCAAGATGCTGCATCTCCAGAGATAGATTGCGGATCCAAGGGTTAGCCTCGCGACAAACAAAACCCCACCTAACGAAGCTGCGTGCTCCTCGATTCACCAACTAATGTAAATCTCTCGGAAACTCAAATGAAATGCAAAATTGAGAGGAAAAAAAACATCGGATCTCAAATACTCACAACCCCTGCATCGCCTATTCGCCAAATTGGGATATAAAACAATTTCTCTTGTCCAGAAGACACGAATCCATCGCAAAAAGATCAAAAGGGGAACAACAACAAGATCTCGGTGCGGGATTCGGACAAGGGATGAGGGACCTTCTTGTGCCGGGCATTGAGCTCCTTCGAAACCGACGCCTTCTCGTTCATCGCTCCCTCGCCAGCCTCTTCAACCCCCCGCCGTCTCTTCCAGCCCGGAGCTGCCAAAATCCCCCCACCAGGGCAGAGATAGGGAACCAGAGAGAAACTTGGAGAGGACGATGGAGCCCCTCCCCCTCCTCTCCCCTTCTCCGTCTCCCCTCCAAACCTCCACAGAGAGAGCGAAGAACAGAGAGGTAGAGAGAGAGAGAGAGAGAGAGAGAGAGAGAGAGAGAGGGAAGAAAAAGATGGGGAGCCGAACGGAAGCAGGACTCTCCCTTCTTTGACTCTCATTCATTATTTCTCTCATCTCCTTTTTTCCCCGAAAATAATTTCTAAATAAAACAATAACAGTAGTATAATAATAATATAATAATGAGATCTTATACTCGCCTTCGAAGAACGATGGTGAGCCGACACGTCGCCATTAAATTCCCCGGGCTTATTATTCAGTTTTTTTTATCTATTCCCAAAATAATGTAGATAACTACTTTTCAAGTAACGGGCCGAACGATTCTAAGCCCTCTAACAATACCAGCCTGGCCCGCCCTCCAGCCCGCCCTCCAGCCCGCCCTCCAGCCCGCCCGGCTTGCCTTGGCTTGTAACATGATCCAAGATCTGATCGGACGGCAGATCGTGATGAAATCTCCCAGATCCGATGGTCCCGGGTTAAACCGAAAATAAAAATATTACATAAACAAGTTTTATAGGAATTAAATTATTGAAATTGTTAATCCCACCACCGTCACAGGCTTCGCCGGTGGGAACGAACGGCCCAGATTGGGCGATGCAAATGAAGTCGTAGAAAAAATAACTTATTTACAAAAAGGGTAGAAAAGTTACTCACTACGTAAACAGGGATTCACTGAAAATATTCAAAATAAAGAAATTGTTCTGTTTTATACCCCCCCGCCCTCCCCCACTCGGTAAAAGGAGGTTTCATTGTACGAAATCAACTTTGGGAGCGACTGCAGGGGAAAAAGGCGGCCCAAAAAAGGATATGGACTGCTGGGCTAGGCCCATTTGTGTTAGTTATTGGAGAAGCCCAAAACAGGAATGAAGTCGGCTCAGTACCAGCGGCTGTGTCAGCAGGCAGGATCGTTAAGACCGATAATTAGTGTAGTTATTATTTTATCAGAGGAGAATTACAACGTGAAGCGTGCAATCGCGAGGCAGCACACCGCAAAGACAGTGGGCATCTGAATAATGAAGTAGCGAGACCTCTGTCGTCGAGTTTCCCGGACCTCCTCTGACGCCGCTGGGAAGAGCAGGCTGAGCGTCTCTTCCACACTGCCGCGGATTACCGGCGATGGAGCAAGGCATACCGGCGGTCGATCCCATCAGGAATCGCCTGACGATGCAGAATGAGGTATTCTGCTTCCGCATCTGGAGACTCTTATCCCACTCATGAGGTTTCCGAGATCGAGTCTTGCGCATCCAAATCGGTCCCCGCTAATTTTTATATTTTTTTTGGGAAATTATGAAGATCTTGAAGAGGGTGGAGGGGCTAGCGCAGAGGATGCAGAGACGGGCGGAGGAGGTGACAAGGGAGGTCCGTGATCTGGAAGACCGGGCCGGGGCCGCTGAACGGGATCTGAGCGGCGCAATCGGAGCTTTCCGCCGGCTTTCCGATACTCATTTCGTAGAAAATGCAAGTAATCCACCCTCCATCCGTAACCCGAACACTGTTTCTATTTATCATTTGATTAGGCTCACCTATTGCTATCCAATTCCGAGCGAATTGGCAATGAGTGGAGCAGTCTCGTCTTCTTAATCGCGATTTTAGCTTTTTCAGTGACCAATTCGTGACATTTTTCACTCTCTTTTATGATTGTATGAAGACGAGAGAGGTTCTATGAAAGGATGTTTTGAACAGAACTTTCTCTAAACCCAGAGAGCCGATGGTGAAGTTTCTTGGACTTTTCATATCCAAAGATATACATCTTGAGTTGCTGGATTAGGGAGCGACCGGGAAACGAAGTTTTAATTTTCTTCTGCCCTCTTTTGCCGGTTATAGAGTTCATATGTAAGGATGTACGAAAGACTACTAATCATGATGATGTGGTATTGAGATTTAATAACAAGCTGCAAAGGAGATGATTCAGTTACCCCGTTATTAACCTTGAGACGGTGGCACAAGGGGAGGATAACTGTCTCCAAATTTCGCTCAGTAGAACTAGAGGCATGGTAATTTCCAACAAAAACATGGTTTGTTATTAATTGATGTGAGAGAGCTACCGGGATGGCCCCAAAATTATTGTGCCTAGTACGTGATGTGCATCTCTGCCACATCAAGCTTCAAATTGGCTTATTTAATTTTTTAAAATTTTCTGTTCGAATCAGAAACAGTTAATTCAATTTTTATTCATGGGTTGTTTTGAGGATCTTATCGTTGAATGTGTGTAATCAACTTCACAATGTTTGGGGAAAAAAGCTTTATTTTGCGTACATTTTGGAAATGATTATAATATCTTGCTGATTATGTCAATTTTTTAATTAATGCGAAGCTAAATTTTCCAACTTTGTGGATGTGCGGATTCCATTTATGTATACCCAAATGGAAAAGTGATGTGGGGTTGGCTATTGTTCATAATACACCAATAAAAGTTGGATTTGGAGCCACAAAAGTTGTAGATTTATCTGTGAAACTTAAATCGTAGAGATTTACGTAATTAAAGTGACCATGTCAAGTCTGCTGCCAATTTCAAGAGTACGGGAATGGTTACCCATAGATAGCTTTAATGAGATGTTGCTTGGGGTCATGAAATTACCTATCACATGCAGCATGGAGTGGGTTCACAAGTATGATAAATTTTAGAAGAGTATGATAAAATTGACTGAGAATCATCCTGCCTTGTGTACCCCCTAGCTAGAGGTTGGGAAGCTCAATCCTCATAAGATGACTTGTTGATACATCGCCCATCTATGGACTGTTGGTTATGCAGCAATCGTGCTGTGTCCAGTATGGGCTACAACATCAGTCACAGCTCAAGCAGGCTACTGGGTAGCAGTTTCAGCAACATTTGCAGGGAGGATCCTCTTCCAGTTTGAGAAGATTTAGTACACAGCAGTTTAAGTAGGTTGATATGAGTCAAAATTTGGTTGTCTTCAGCCTTCTTCTCTTGTCTGTCTTTTTTTATCATTACTAAATTCACTACTGAATGTGTCTGTTTTACTTCTTGCTGATTGTTTCTCAGTGATTGTGTTTCTGTTTTCTCATTGCAGTTTCAGTCAAAGAATTTATCTTCGTTGGGACCTTTATTCGTTTGGTAATTAGATATTCCGTTTACTTTCTTGATTCAGGTTTCTCATTTATATGAACACAGATAAAACCAGAAGAAAAAGAGAATTCATGTCCAAGGGATTTTTCTAAAACTTCAGTTGGCGGGAGCATTCCTGCTCAGAGCTATGAAATGGACATATTACCACGGTACAAGGAGGCACTGTCGCTTGGATTGTGTTCCTTCAATGATCATAGGAGAAAAGATAAAAGATTTACTGCAAGGTCTACTTTCAATGTAATTGTTTTTCCTTGCTTCTAGTAATCTTCTTATCCAATTGCAATCTATAGTTGTAGCTTCTTCAATAACTATTATGATTTTCAGGGAAATTTTCTTTGAACAGCCCCAGGGAAATTTCTGGAAGCTGCCTTGGTTTTCTGTTGTAGTGTTCTATCTTGCAGAAGAAATAAGCATCGAAATTCTCTACCGCTTATAGAAGGGAAATAGAATTTAAAATCTTTCTCAACTTTCTGTTGTAGTATTCTCTCTTGCAGAAGAAATAAGCGTTGGAATTGTCTACTGCTCATAGAAGGAAAATGGACTTCAAATCTTTCTCATTTTTCGGTCCTTTACTAAATTTATTATAGCATTGATCTCAGCAATGTACTTGAAAACAGTTGGGATATAAGCTTGCTACCTCAATCGCCCTGTTCTCTCTTTATTAAGCTAAAAAATTCAATCTTAAAAACAGGAATTTTGCTTCTTCTTATTATATATGTATATGATTTTTAGGCTTCTTTGTCATTGTTTTCGTCTGGATCATGGATCCTTATCCAAGGCAACTCCACCTGAACGGAGAACAGAATAACTTAATTGCGGCTCATTAAGATAAAGCCTTACATTGGGCAGTGCCATCAGCATGCTTATTTTATAGAAAAGAAGAAACATTGCGGTATATCTTGCCATCTCTTGCATTAATGGCTGCTTAAAGAATCAATTTTATGTTGTTCAATGTTGCATTTAGAGTCATTTCCGGACCGTAGCACTGTGTTACTCAAAAAAATAATTTTGTAGTATCCATTTCTTTAAGTTTATTTGATAGATGTAAACATACAGTACATTAACAAAAGAGGATTTGTATAATATTCCTTAAAGCCGCCCCCCACTATGTCAGTACTGCTCGACATTGACATTGGCATCGTCACCTTCTAATGTATCTGATCTAATTTTTTATTTAATTTTAATTCTTCAAGCAATTGTTTTCCCGGTGCTTTCGTGTTTGCAGCCCTGGTCAATTCGTGGTCCTCTCCCGCATATCATTGGCTCTGAAGAATTCCTTCATGACAACAGCTGTGGTTTAATAGGTACTGCTCAGACTCGTGAGTGATGTTAGAAAATTTGTAACTTTTCATTATAATTTCTTCTTTTGATAGATTTTTAATAATCGTTCTTTAATCTACGAGGTGTTTCTCTTTAGTGCAGAAGATCTGGCTTTTGGGCCGTCACTTGATCTCAGTGACGCAGCAGAATCAAAGGGATTGTTTGCAGCTGATGCAGAGCCAGCTGACCTCTTCAATGCAAACCTCTTTGGGTTGGAGCAGGGCCCATCTGATGATGTATGCCAGAGTAACCATATTTCAGTCTAATTTCGTGTTCTTATTATGTATATATATCTGTGTATACAATCATTCTACCTCTGTACAACTCCCTCTCTCTCTCTCTCTCTCTCTCTCTCTCTCTCTCTCTCTCTCTCTACCACTATCTATCTCTTGATATATATATATATATGTGTGTGTGTGTGCAAACCAACTGTATGAGAAGGGGGTGCCCAGAAAAAAATAAAAAGAAAAAAGAAAAAAATGGTGATGCCTAGAGGGTATCATTGGTGGATTTAAAGTTACATTTTTTCTACTAAAATGGGGCCATAGAATGTTACCCTGAGCTCGTATGTTTGCATAACCTTGTCATATTTAAAGTAACCTCCTTTGATTGTGGCCACCATATTTATAAGGTAAAACTTCATCTAATGGGTTCCACCACATCTATCTGGCATTGTTTTTATGTCCATGCACAGAACGAAAGCGAGCCACTTGTCTCCACCGCATTGGACTTCAAGGCAATGCTCGAAGCCGCCCTCCGCAGTCCCTACAAATTCTGTACGTCACTCCTCCCCACCCTTCCTCTTCATTTCTTATTGCTGAATGCCTCCTCTATTTCCAGGGCAATTATGCTTTTTTTTTTTAAAATCTATAAAATTAATAAAGAAGAGGAAAAAAGGAAGAAGAAGAAAACAGTGTGATAGATTTGGTGCTGGGCCTGTTTAACCGGCGCAATCTCTTTCTACAAGTTGCTCCTGTCTAGCGAGAGAGAGAGAGAGAGAGAGAGAAAGCCGGGTACTTGATGATTGGGGGCATTATTTCTTTCCAAGTGTTGCAGATGAGGAGGAGAGCTCTTCGCACGACGTGGGCTCCTCTGACAGCACCTGGGCTGCTCATCCAGTTGAGTAAAATCTTGCTTGCTCTTTCCCCATGAGAACCATTCCCTTCTTCTTCTTCTCCTTCTCCTTCTTCTCTTGGAATATATGTCAAAAGGGATCGATTCATTGTGCAGGACCTCTCTGCGTTGACTTCCGGAGGTCTGTTTGACTCAGAGGAGACAGGGGACCGGGCTGAGGTGGAGGGCCCCGCTGGAGGCGACCCCGCCACGTCGACCATGCCTGTGGGGCCCACGAGAGGCGGCTCCCCCGATGCTGGTGAGGAGGATCTTCAGAGGAAGAAGAAGGATTCCGGAGAAGAGGGGGGATCTTCCGGGCACTCTCAGGGTATGTAGAGAGAGAGAGAGAGAGAGAGAGAGTCTGACCTCTCTGGGCTGATTGAGCTGTGGATTCCGGGGGATCTTTTCCATGCTCTGAGGCATAAAGCCAATTTCTTTTTTTCTCCTGCGGGATCCCTTGCTTTGAGAATAATTTTTCGGCCCTTTGTCAAGAACCTGGAACAGAGAGAAAAAGAGGAACCTCCCCTTAAAGAATTCAATTGCCCATCTTATGGGCTCAAAATATATCACCTTAAACCCTGAACCGTTCAGAGGAGGGGCGCTGTGCACGCTCTGTGGACATGTGGGGCCCACTTTCTCGTAGACACAAGCGTTAGCCCAGTAAGAAGCATGGGTAAGTGGGCTCGAGGTTAATTCTGGGCTCATTTTATTGGGCCCACCGCGATACTCGGCGGCCCGCCATTTAGAACTCAGCCGCCTGCCTGCTTCTCTCTCTACGGCAGGGCTCTCTTTCTTTCCTCTCTCTCTCTCTCTCTCTCTCTCTGAGAAGGAAAACCCTCGAAGTCCACTCGTTCATGGCTGCCGCCCGCGCCGCGTTGGCTGGGGCTGCTCGCCGCGCCGGCGTGAGCCTATCCGGCGCCTCCTTCACCGCGCCGCCGGCAAATGGCGCGAAGATGATCCCCCGGCGCGGTCTCGCCGGCGGAGGAGGTTCGTTCCCGGACAAAATCTCGCTCGCCCAAATTCCTCTCTGATCTTTCTATTTTTTGTGTATTGTTCTTCTTGCGGATGACCCTCTCTTGTGCATTTACCTACCGGGATCTGTTGGAAAATGTTCCCTTTTCCCTTGCCCGCACTTGTTTAGGCCTTTCAAGATTGGGATCTTTGTTTCATTATTTTTGTTTGGGTCTAAGTATCCTATTAGGACGCCTAGTTTCACTGTCGTCGATGTGGTGGTTTGTGGCACTTTTCTTCTTCCAAGTAATAACGCCGTAAATGTTTTCTAACTGAAGCACCATCAGCATCCTGCTTTGGATGTCATTCTCCTGCATTTATCTTGTAAAATGCCAGGTTGTCCCTTGGATTTGTGAATGGGACGGCTACTGAATATTTTTTCCTGATTTTTTTGGAAATACTTCCCGTAGTTGATAGCGTTATACGTTCCACTCTTTCAAGGCAACCCATAGATTGAATCATTCTACTGTAGTAATGAGAGAAACTCCTAGTTCATAATCCAACGGTTTGTGTTATTTTTCTTGGTAGATCGTTTTGGTGATAAGGTATATGAATTGGCAAAGAATGATCGTAATAAAATTGAACTGTTAGCCAATTTTACTTTAAAAATGGTGCTGATCTGCTCTTATCTGGGTATTCGTTTCGGTGCAAAGATTCAGATACATAAAGTTTGCTAAGTTTTCAGTCATCTTTTAACCATTTTGCTATCGAGACTGAGATTTCGTGGGATGGGAAGCAAACGTTTTGCAATTGGAAGTCCCTGATTTTGTGTTCTACAGAGGAAGAAAATACTATGTGTGAACCATCAGCTCGTCATTGAGCTCGGGTATCACTTGGTCAGCTTACTACCCTTTATTCGGATTCACATTTAGATCATTTGGGACTTATATTGGCTTGAATACTCTGTTAATGCCATTCAAAGATATTATCGCATTCATCCAAGATACGCCACCAATTGGGTGATCAGATAGTTCTGGCTGTCTGCATAATTTGGGTGTTCAGCTTCCAGATATACAAAATAGTTTTCAAGCTGTTCCGGGTGGTCGCTTATGTAAGAATGGCCGAAAAGGGACAAGGTATTTTCAGAGTCTAGGAAAAGAAGTTCTAACACTCTCAACTTTGCATCAGATGAGCATCATATTGGCGTTGCTTGTTTCCTTGAAAGCACTTCGTTAGGAATATCATTCAACAAGAGAAAAGTCTCCAATGTTATTATTAAAACAGATAAGATCAAATGCCATTTTAGTTATGAAAAAGAAATGGCAAACCAAGGGACATTCCACAAGGTCAATGGACTAATGCAGCATGGTAAGAATGACAAAACACTAAATTAAGTAATAGTGCTATGACGGTCTTTGTGAAGGCATAAAAAATTGTCTTCTTTGGTACAGTAGCACACATTACTATAAAACGACTACCTCCCTTTTCTGGAAGACGAATATAGACACTGATATTCCTTCTTCTCTAGTGTGTGAATTTTGGGTAAATTCCTTTGGTTCTAATTAATATTCAATACATATTTTATTTAAAAAATTCAGTTGAATATCTAGGCTTTGGATTGGTACATGTTTTGCTACCTAACCTTGTCAGGTAATAGATCATTTCTGTTGAGATTGCAGGGATTGGAGAAAAGCGGCTTGTCTGTAAGGGGTGAAAAATACCTTAATTGTTGCAGGGGTTGTGGATGGTCAAGATCATCATAAACTGCTGTAGGCTTCCGTAGTTGTTATAATGGGGTTTGAGATGCAAGAAACTGAATGTTTGTTAGTGGAGATGGAGGATTTATAGCCCAAGGTTTTTGGGACTGATATTGACTTGGAGCCTTGGAAAATACAAAAAAAAATGCTTTAGCGACATGCCAACACATACTCATTTGCCAAATGGCTGAATCATGTGCAATAGTCTAAAGTTGCACAAGTCAGAAAAGACTTATTCTCTCCGGTGATTTCTCCTGATGTGTTGGACATGAAGCTGTTGAGTTGTAGCTTAGACTTATATCCTTGAAAGAAAAGGCTAGTTGATTCTTCTGTAAAAAGATGATACCAGATGTAACACTTTTACAGAAAACAAGCGTGTAGGCAACGGTTATTCTGTTTTGCACTTCTGCCGTGATGATCAATTTTATTGCTTGTGTGAAAAGCTGAATTCTCGGATCCCTGCATCATCGATTTCTTTTATTTTGACCAAGTTTATGCTGCATGTCAAAAATGTTGGGGTCTTGTTGATTTTTATGCCCTTTGAGAGAATTTTAGGCATGGGAGGAGGCAATTAGTATTTAACTGAGTTGTGTTGAAGTCATGTGCTCATTTCCAGCAATAGTTTGCTTTTCTAAAATTTCATACCTAAGTTCTTTGGCACTCATCGTTGTTCGGAGTATTCGTTTTCATGTACTTCTGGTTGTATGCCGTATTTGTTGTTTGCTCTGCTTACCAGAATAAGAACATATTCTTTAATATAGTTGTTTTTTTTAAAACGCATCCTGTTGTTTTTGGATGTTTCCAATGTGTTGTTGTGCTTGAAACTAATTTAGTGCGAAATACATCCTTTTGGTTAATGTGGTTTGCAAGTTAAGATGTCCCTTTTTTTTTTTTTTTAAGGTAGAGAATTGACTTTATTTTTCGTTCTTTTCAAACTTATTGACAGATCATCATGGTCCACCAAAGATCAACTGCTGGCAAGATCCATTAAGCCCATCTCAATGGAAGGAAGAACATGTGAGTGTTCGCCCAGATTATATTTTAAGTGCATTCCGAGAAATCTGAACCGAAGAATGTAGAATTCATCTCGAGGGGTTTTGGATGCTGTTTTGTGACAGTCAAAATATTAATCTTCACTAAACTGGTGCAAAAAGAAACGTTCTATCTCCTGCGAATCTCCATATGTTCCGCCTAGCTGAGATAGCTGTTCTATATATCTAAAATTAGGGGCTCCTCTGAAGAAGGCAGCGATGGCTTCTTGTGGCTTGGCTTCTATTCATTGATAGCTTCTATGCTTCCTGAACTACATTAATTTGAATACTTTGCAGTTCGTGATAGTCTCTTTGACCGGCTGGGGCCTTCTCTTCTATGGAGGCTACAAGCTGGCCACCGGTGGCAAAAAGGAGAAGAAAGAAGAGGTACTTCCCTCCCCCTCCCCCTTCTCTATGCCTCTTCCTTGTTCCATGGCGATCACCGCTGGGCAGAAGTTCAGCCTGGAGCCCATTTCTGGTCCACTGGTTGGGGCTCTGGGCCCAGTGGTTGACTCTCACACTGAAGCCACCATATCTTTGGTATTTTGCTTCAGATACTGAGTACACCCAATTAATTGGCCGGATCTAAGCATTAATTAGTTGATTTCATGGGGGGTGAAAATCTCATTCATCCTGTAATTATGAAGTCGCTCAGTTGGAATATTTTGCTGGGTTAGTAATAATGAACCCAAATAAATTAAGATGAATTTAATAGGATGTCGACAGCCTCACTTATCCTGTAATGTAAAGGCCTTTTACTTTTGATATTTATGCATGGGTTTCTGGGTGAGTAACGACTTACCTAAAATTGATTTCAAGTAAGACAAAGAGCTCTTTAGTTGGAATATCTTGGCCTCTGGGTTTGGGTGAGTAGTATGTATTATTGGGTCGACCCAACCAACCAACCTTGGGCGAGAACCGGATTGAAGGATCTTCCATCCCTCGCCAAAACCTTAAACCTTAAACCCTAAACCATCCAATACTGAGACTTAACCCTTTGTTTCTGATTCTTTCGGTGACTTCAACACCTGTTCTTGGTGCCTCTTTTTTGTTTTTTTTTTTTTTTTTCTTTCAGGTTGCAGCAGCACCCCAGCCCGCCCACTAGGACGAAGAACTGCTGAGTCCATTCAAATTTCCCGAAATAAATGTGCCTAATCTCCCCATCACACCGACAGGCTGGTGAACCTTCTGTGGAGCTCGGGCATCTCCTCGATGATGCATTCGAACCGTTTGTGCTTGTCGTGGTGGTCTGTTCCTCAGTCAGATGATGCCTTGTTCTTCCACCAAGCAATCACACATGTTGTTTCGGAGACTTCCATTTTTATCAAACGTTTTCCAAAACTCTTGAATGCCGCCATAAACCCCTTTGAGATGATGTGATGCGATTCCATTATATCTCCCTCAATTGGGCTTGGCATCGTGGTGTGGCTTTTGACATTCTCTCGTCACACTGGCCCTACCTAGCTATAAAAGATCAAGCCTTCCAAAGCTGTGTGGTGTTGTAGGCTGGTTGAGAAAGGCCCCCTCCCCTCCCTCAGCAAGAAGACTCCAGGCAGGTAACACCACATTCTTGGCCGCCGATGCAGTCGGAGGACTCCCCGCAAGGAGTTCCAAGTGATCCAGCTTCCATCAAAGAGGGGCACCCCCCGCCCTCCCCCCACGCCCCCCTGCACTAGAAAATTTGGTCAGGCCCATGTACACAGATAGCCGTATGTATACTTAAAGAAGAGTGGGTAACAAATTCAGCAGCAGCTCGTTCATTTATGAACATGAAGAAAACTAAAACTTGGATCACACGCCCTCCAATGCTTTGTGATCCTAAGCATGGCCTCTGAAACCCAAGGCTTCGGCCAGAGTTATATCAATTGCTACACCGTGAGATGGTGGTGGGTGGGTTCACACCCCACATTCTCCCCGCTATCTGGGGCGGCCCTAATCCCACCCCGATGTCATGCCACCATACCTGCTGTTCTATTCTCTTGTTAACAAGGCAATCTCTTCTTCCAGTGACAAGTAGGGTTCTTGACCCACCCTGTTTGCTGAGGGTTTTTTTTTCTTCTTTTCCTATCCTAATTCCCCTCACCAGAGGCATCCTCCTTGTCGTCCCTTTCACCCCCCCCACCTTCCTCCTCTTCCTCCTCTTTCACCACCTCCTCCTCCTCCCAATACCTCTCCAACATCCGGGTGGCCGCATCGGAGACGCTGGCATGGGGGTGGAACTGCAGGTCCTCGATCTTGGCCAGGCCGTCGCAGTCCTCCACCTCCTGTGCGTAGATGTTGGTCCCATCACGGTTGCCCAGTTCCTTCTCGGCCTCCCCCACCTTCAGGATGTTCTCCAGGGCCTCCAGGCACACCGACACTGCATCCGGGTCTGGGCTCACCAGTAGATCGCACAATGGTCGGATGCATCCTTGATTTGCAATGAAGCTTGAAGGCGAAAACACATAGAGGAGGAAAAAAACAAAAAAAAAGAAGAAGAAAAAGAAGGAAAGTTATCAGAAATAAAGCATTTTAATTCAGAAATGGAAAAAGAAAAAGAGAGATGATGGTAATAGTGGTGGTGGAAAAGAAACAATTACTGGATTTGTTCGAATGTCCCCTCTGAAGTGGCGTTGAGTATCACCCATGCGACTTCCCTCTTGACATCAAATTCGGCTTGCTTGAGCAGAGAAACGAGAGGGGGGATGATGTTCGAATCGATGACTGTCTGTCACATACCGCTTTTCTGTTATTATTAAACATAAAAATACAACAAAAAGACGTATTGATCGTCGTACTAACTCTGTTTTTATCGGGGATTTTGTTCTTTTATTAAAATTTCGCGTCTAAAACCAGAAAAAAAAAAGAAAAAGAAAACACAAACACATACCCACTCAACATTAAAATTGTGTATTCCCCCCTCTACAATGTACCTGTTTAAACATCAAGTTCATTTAAGAATGAGAGAGGTCTTAGATGCGTTTACCTGGACCTGAGATTTATTCCCGGCAGCAATGTTGGAAATAATCCTGCAAGCAAATCTCCTGATGGTGCTTTCATGATGATGTGTGAGGAGTTGAAGCAGACAGGGGAGCACCCCATTATCGATGACAAGCTGGAAATAATAAAATAAACTAATAATGCGTAAATTACTAATACGATTCATAAAATAATAAAAACTATTTTAAGTCCACCAGTTTCCAAAACTGTCATATGCATGTACGAGTAACGCATACATTAAGTCCACTGGAATAATTCATTTTATGCACACAACAATAAATATACTCATGCGCCAAATACTTGTCCTTACACTTCTATCTTCCTACTCACATTTCTTCTCTCTTGAACCCATTTTCCTCTGATCCCTTTATTTAAAAATCTCGTCTCACCTTCTGTTCTCTCTCTCTCTCTCTCTCTCTCGTAAATATCTCTCATGCCATTCTTTCTGTGCAGTCACTCTATGGATGAAAGAGAGGGATGAAGAACCAGTCTTACGAAACGGGGATCAATAATATATAACGTAGTGATGTATAAAATTTGGAATTTGGGTTTCCAATCTCCATAAATAGATCATTTATACATAATTTCCCTAAAAACTATTAAACTTTACATCTAAAGGATAGCATCTAAAAATTATCCACCTATGCATAATTGAAATTAATTTTCCAATTTACTTCACTTGAATTTATTAAAAGACTAAATTATATCCATTTCACAAAATACTACCATATCCCATATGGTATTTTAAAAATTGAATTAATGCGTAAGTGCACACCAATCTTGGTGTAGATCTCCATGAAGCAGTTAGATGGATTTGCCATTCAGAAGCATAAACTAGGAGAGAACAAAGAGAAAATGATGATAAAAGAAGACAATGTAATTTCCATTGACGGAAGAGTTGGCAAAAAATTAAGAATTAAAAGCACAAGCAGATCAACAAGATAATACCAAATAAACTGGAAGAGTGTTTTGAGAATGTTTAAAGAATCAATGAAGAATAAAGAACTAATACGAATATTAACATATTTTTGACATAAAAATATAATTCGACATGCATTCGTCGTTAAAAAGTAAAGGTTAACAAATTTTTGTAACATAAGAAGTTAAAATCTTGGGGGAAATATATTTTTTCCTTGGAATGTACTATTAACTCAAGGCAGAAGTCTTCCTACAGAAGTAAATATAAAAAATACCTGTGCCTTCATGTCATCGCCAGCAGCAATATTTGTCACCGTCTTAAGAGCAACGATTTGAACTGAAAGAGTTGGATGCCTAGATAAATACAATTATTAATAACACTTTTATAATGTTTTTTTTATTATAAGACGAAATAGAATAAAGTCATCTTACATTAGCAGCTCCACAAGTCTTGCACAGATATTTGTGTCTATAAAATCTTGAATTTTGTAATTTTTTCCGTTGAAAAGATAAGCCAAAGCACAGCAGGCATTTTTCAGAATATCATCATCATTTGAATAGACAAGCCTTGGGAGCACTGAGAGAGCAGGCTTTATCTAACACAATAAACCAAATAGTAAAAATTTAAAGATGGTATCACGTTAGAGACCATAGAACAAACATGGAATCATTTAATGCTGAACTTCCACCACACTAGACCTGATCAAATTGCGGTGAAGGGTCACCTCGAAAGAGATTAGACATTGTCCATATAGCATTTCTCAGCATCGATAGCTTTGATTGCGGGTTCAGTAGAGAAAGCAATGGAATCAGAGCTCCATTGGCGAGGATGATATCCCTACAGCTGGATGAGTCTCCAGCAACGTTACCCAGAGCCCATACAGCCTGTTTTGTAGAATGATTGAAGTATATAAAATAAAATAAATTATTTTCCGAAGAAAAGGAGCAAATGCATTGCACAATCTCCAGTTAGAAAATTAAATAACAATTTACATAACCTGTTCTCGAACTTCTTCCATTGGAGAGCTCAGAAGTTGCACAAGGTTTGGAACAGCACCATGGTCAACCACGACCTGGGTCTGCTCTGATGTCCCTGAGGCCACATTTGTCAAAGTCCATGCTGCTTCAAACTAGAAAATTTAAGCAATCGCCGCAGCTGTGAAATCTTTGACATCTTATAAAATGCTTGTGACTGCTACTTTAAGTAGACGTACCTGCAGAGAGGGCTGATCTTTTCTTAAAAGAAACTGCACTAAACGTGGAACAACACCTGCCTTGATCACCAGGTCGATAGGAGGGTTTTCTTCTATAGAAATATAATACAAGTTTAGAATAAGGAAAGCTCCATATTACTAGATGTGGACGGTATGATACAATCTATACGAAAACGGGGAGACAAAGAAATACCTATTGCTATGATCATCCTAAAATATTTGGATGCATTCGCCTGCTCAACAAGATCTTCAGACCATAGTCGTTGTGCCATGTCAGTAACTCTTTCCAACTGACATAAGAGAAAAAAAACTAAAAATCGGGGTTTAAGATTAAAGTGATAAGCATATTTTTCAAAAAACTATTCAGTTATGAGCGTTTCCAAAGTCCAAAAAAAAAACAGATGAAAATAATTATTACAATGGTACACCAACCCCATGAATTAAATCAGCACAAAACAAGAGCAAATAATCACAAGAAGAAAATTAAAATATTCAACCTTCAAAGAAGCGAACAGAGGGATCTAATGGACTTTCGTAGTTAGATAGCACTCAACTAAATTTTCTTCAATTTTTAACATTATGTCGAGTAAATTTTTTTTTCCATTTGATTCTTTTTAAAGTGATTCTCAAGATCATTCCAGCTCAAAAGATTCTAAATCGGCTTTTGACTTTGTTGCCTTTCACCAGGGAAAAATTAAATTTATTTCTACATGTTGAGTTTGCCAATCTACCCTACAGGCGTGCGGCACCGTGTGCCCGAAGTTTATGGAGTATGATACTCTGTGAAAAATATAACTTCTAGAGAGCATTGTAATGAGATTCAAAAGTTATGACTGACAGCACAAATAGTTGGAATTTAAACTAATGGACAGAATGCTGATTTACCTCATCCAAATGGGAAGAATCGGGATAGACAAAACGACCAGTTTTCGATGAAGTGTTTTACGAAGTAGCTATTTGAGAGGAAGAAAAAATTAATGTAATATTTCTGAAGAAAAAGATATCGAAAACATTCAAACGCCACGAGGGAACCACATTAAATGCTGAATTCAATCACCGATACGTACATGAACTGCAGTAATAATTCAAAAAAAGTACAGGAGACCGCTTAAACCACCCAACCACCACTTTAATTCAAACAAGAATTCGTCCAAGAATCACAGGACCACGACTTGGAAAAAAAAAAACAGATAAAAAAAATTATTCCACTCCAAAATTGTCAGATACAAAAGACAAAAAGATAGACACCAAATCAGGTTTAAATAGAAAATGATAAGAATACCTCATCATGCATGAATTGCGGAGAAATCCCGACCGCATGCTGTCGGCAGACGTGAGGCCCCAGCATGTCAACACCCGCGGGGTATGAGGCCAATTCCCGCCTCTTCCGGGACAGGCTGTCAGCCCGCTTGTTCTTCCTGATCTCCACGAACCCTTCCTCTCTCCGCCGCCTGGCCTCCACCATGTCCACACTCTTCTTGTACTTCCCCGTCCGACCTTCCCCCCTGCCCTTCCGGCCGCCGCCGCCGCCCGGTCGGAGCGACATCCTTCTCCCTCGACTCCTCTCCTGCTCCTCCGTCCCCTCCGTCAAGGGGTTTGAAAAGAGGGAAGAAAAACGTTGGCTCCAGACCGACAAGAAATCCAGAAGCTTCCACCGACCACGGCCAACGGGCCGTCTCCGAACTGGTAAAAGCCCGTTAACTCGGTCTCCGGCCCGGCCCGACCCGCCTCTTCATAATATCTGTCAGTTTAACTCTATATAATTCCTTTAAAAGGGTAAAAAATATGTAAAACTTGATATTTCCTTTTAATTTGGGAAAATATTTATGATTAGTGATAAAATAATTAATATCAGTGATAAAATAATTTTTCAATAAAGCCCATCAAAGTTTTATTATTTCAAGCAAAATGATACCCTGACTACTACACTTGATCTCCTAGCCCGTCTCTGTAAGCGTAAAGAGTTTCTTCTTGATCATGGTGTGTTCTTCTCGGGGTTCTCTTCTTCATCTTCTTCTGCTTCTGCTTCTGCTTCTTCCATGTCTCCGCCTTCTCAAGGTCTCTGAAAGCCGCCCTCATCAGCGCCGGCGGCAGAGCCTCGCAGGCGGAGGACGCCGCCCCCCCCTCCCTTTCTCTCTTCCACGATCTCGTTGACTTCTACCTGCGTGGTTCTCCCTTCCTCGCCGATATTGTCTTCCACCTTCTCCCCTTCTCCCGCCATGATTGTCCTTCCGATCGTCTCCTCCCCTTCTGGTCGTCTTCCTCTGGTATTCTCAGAATTACCTTCGCCATTAGAGCGCGCTGACTCCTCCGGGCCGAGCTCCCGCGAAGTTTGATGATTTTCATGGGGATCCTCGGAAGCCGCCGCTTTGTGCGCCGGAGAGGTGGCGCCGCCGCCGCTGCCACTTCTCCTCCTCCCCTTGGCTCTCCTCCTGTGGGACCGCCGCCCTCGTTTTCTACCCTCCGATTCTTCTGAAGAGACCTTCGCCGGCTTGTCTTGCAAAACGCTAGCTTTCGCCGCCGCAGCGTCGGAGATTCCATCTTCCTCCTTCAAGCTTGGAAGCTCTCCATCCATGGCGGTACCCTCCAGCTGAAGATCAGCTTCTTTGATCAGGGATTCCTGACCCTGGATTCTCTCCTCTGAAACGTCCTTACCCTCGTCAACGTTGGTCTCCAGCGTCAACCAGGTCTCTCTCTTGGAATTTTCTCTCTCTGGGCCGTCGTTCTCTCCCCCGTCTTTAACCTCGTCTCCTTTACCCACGACCTCTCCCTTGCCGCGGTCTGGCAGAGTCCAGTCTTCCGAATGGATCCATGGTTCCTGATGCTCCGTCTTGCCGGAGTCAGCTTGCTGGCCTTGCTGCAGCTCCATCTCGCCGGCATTAGCTTGCTGCTGGTGCATTTCCATCTCTCCGGCGGGGGCTTGCTGTTGTTGCTGCTGCCACAGCTCCGTCTCACTCGCGGAAGCTTGCTCCTGCTGTTGCTCCGTACTGCCGGCGTCAGCTTGCTGCTCCTGGTGTTGTTCCGTCTCTCCGGCAGGAGCCTGCTGCTGGTGTTCCTCGATCTCGCCGGCGTCAGCTTGCTGCTGCTGCTGCTGTTGCTCCGTCTCGCCGGCGGGAGTTTGCTGCTGCTGCTGTTGCTCCGTCTCGCTGGCGTCAGCTTGCTGCTGCTGCTGCTGTTGCTCCGTATCGCCGGCGGGAGCTTGCTGCTGCTGCTGTTGCTCCGTCTCGCCGGCGGGAGCTTGCTGCTGCTTCTCTTCCTCCGTCTCGCCGGCGGGAGCTTGCTGCTGCTTCTCTTCCTCCGTCTCGCCGGCGGGAGCTTGCTGCTGCTTCTCTTCCTCCGTATCGCCGGCGGGAGCTTGCTGCTGCTGCTGCTCCTCCGTATGGTTGGTGGGAGTTTGTTGCTGCTGCTGCTCCTCCGTATGGTTGGTGGGAGTTTGTTGCTGCTGCTGCTCCTCCCTATCGCCGGCGGGAACTTGCTGCTGTTGCTGCTCCTCCGCATCGCCGGCAGGAACTTGCTGCTGCTGCTGCTCGTTCGTATCGCCGGCGGGAACTTGTGGCTGCTGCTGCTCGTTCGTATCGCCGGTGGGAACTTGTGGCTGCTCCTGCTCCTCCGTATCGCCGGCGGGAACTTGTGGCTGCTCCTCCTCCTCCGTATCGCCGGCGGGAGCTTGCTGCTGCTGCTGCTCCTCCGTCTCGCCGGAGTAAGCTTGCTGCTTCTGCTGCTGTACGAGTTCTCTGAGGGAAGTGAGCTCCATGTTGATCTTGATCGAGTCTTCTTCCATGGCGGAGAGCTTGCCCTGCTTCTCCTGGACCGCCGACGTAAGCTCGGCTTGCTTGGTCCTCAACTGGGCAGCTAGGGTTTCGGCCTTCATGAGCCTGTCGCGAAGCTGGGACTTCTGGGTTCTCAAGTAGATGACCTTCTCTTTGAGCTCGTCGATCTTCTCTATCATCTCCTTGGATCGGCCTTTCTCTCTCTGTGAAAACAACCAGGCAGAGAGGAGAGGGATAGAGACCAAAAGATGTTAATGAAAAATAGACTTTTCTTAGGCGAATGGCAAAATAAAAGCAAGGAAAATGGAAGACTATTTTGGGCCGGAAAAGGCATTTAGGCCCCGCCCTATTTTGATCGACTCTCTCTCTCTCTCTCGGACGGATGAAACGAATCTACAGGGCCCATTAAAATGTAGGACGGCCCATTAAATATGGACGGTTTACTTCCATGGGAAGTTTATAAAACATGACCCTCTTTTACCTTGTAAGAATGATAGCAATGCCATTTAAGAGACTTCGTTGAGGTTTTGTTGAAATATAGTCAACTGGGAAGAATCTTATTTCGATTATTATCAAATTTCCACGGTTTTATTAATCGATAAAATATAAAAATCGATGTATTTTCCGAGGCCAAAAAAAAAGTCGGGCGAAACCAAGCAAAATCTTCCGAAATCCCCATCGGGATCCTATTTTCTACCTTAAAAATCGATTTTTGTTTGGTTCGAGACGGAACCGAATGTGACTAAATGAAGAAAAAGCTCACGTTGACGAGTATGAGTTAGAGAGAGAGTAATGGACCGTTATAGGGTTACACAAAAAATCGGCTAAGTTGCATGAGTGGCACGAAGTATACTCATAGACGCAGAGAGCGACAGAGAGGGGGTGTGATAGAGAGTCATAGAGAGAGAAAGAGAGAGAATGGCAAGATTTTCATGCTCGAGTCGTATCAGGGTTACTAGATCTACAAAAGAACTCGGGTACTATACGTGAGTGAGCACGGGATGTATTGAGAGGGAGAGAGAGAGAGGCACGATTTCTGATGCTTGAGTCGTATCAGAGTGACTAGATCCACGAAAGAACTCGTCTACTCTGCGTGACTCGAGATCTATTGAAAGGGAGAGAGAGAGAGAGAAGATTTCTAATGCTCGAATCGTCCCAGAGTGACTCGAGCCAGTATGCGTGAGTGAGCACGAGATGTATTGCGAGGGAAAGGGAGAGAGAGAGAGTACCTCGAGGATCATGCGGAGTACGAGGAGCTGTTGATCGCGGTCCTGGAGGACGACGCCGAGGACGCGGCCCTCGCTGAGCTTGTTGACGATCAGGACGCCGAGGACGGCGCCGACGAGGGTGAGCAACACCAGCGTTCCTCCTGACCGCTTCCTGCCGGAGGAGTTGGCCATCCCGTTGCTCCTCAGAACCATCCCTTCTTCCTCCTCGTCCGCCCGGTTGTGGCGCCGAAGCGCCTGATGGAACTCCAGCTCTTCTCTTTCTCCCCCCCAACCCCTCTTCCTCTCTCTCTCTCCTTCCCCCTCTCTCTTGGTTGCATCCCTCGTAATATAATCATGTGTACTTATATCAGCAACAAGAAGAGAGAAAGGGAGAGAGAGAGAGAGCTCACCTCGATTTCCAAAGCTACATTAAGGCGCCTTCTTCGTCTTCGGGGCCCCCGAAGAAGGTTGGGGAGAGAAGTTGAGCTCTGTAAAGGGTGGGCGGAAGCTGGTGTTGGGCTCTTACTTCCATGTGGCTAGCTTAGAACAGAGTCGGATGAGCATCGAATCCACCGTGACCGGCCATTTTTATATTAGAGGACCTCACGCTTGACCTTACGGGGCGAAGATCAGGGCGCTCCCATTAATGGAGGAATCTCCCTCCATTAATGAAAGCCAGCCCCTCCAAGTCAAAACCCTTCCTCCCCAAGGATACAGTTCACCCGACCCAGTTTGAGCCTCCCTCTCTCTCTCTCTCTCTCTCGCTCTGTGAGAAGCGGCACAGAGCACCTGCAAATGAAGAAAATAAAAGTAAGTGCAGGTTTACTATGGCACGGCACGTCTGGGTGTCAAGTAGGCACAACAGCTGGCATAACGGGGCCAGCTCTTTTCGGAAAATGGACAGAAGATTGCCCCGGGATGAACCCATGAATTCATCTTCCCAAAAAACACTCCTTTACACCTTCGATTTTTTACCCATGGTTAAATCCCCATCTACGATAGATCTCATTCAAGAGAAACCAGCAGATAGCACTTCCTCGAGATGAAGGATCTTAGGGTTTTTGCTGAAGAACCCAAAATCTTTTCTCACGAGGTGATATAGGAAACCTAGTCCGTCAGCATCCTCTTGAACTTGGTTGATTCCTAGACGAGATTTTATGAGTTAACTTTCCGGAATCATCTGCACCTGTGGTCAGGTCAACGTAAATGGAGCGTTTAATGAAACAATTTATGAATTTAATGTCAAGCTAAGATTGTCTGCAAATAAAATTAATTGTTTATCTTAATAATACTCATTTAAAATTTAAACTTCTTGAATCTTAGGATCGACATAATCAGTAAAGACCTCATTTTTAAATGGGGATCTTGATGAGGAGGCTTGCATGGGTTACTCTGAAGTGCTTACAATTTTTTTAAACATGAATGACACCAAAACATTTACAACAACAAGATATGTACAAACCCTATCAAGTATAAATTATATCAACCTTTTTATTTGAGTCATACATTTTCTACATTGTGAGAAGACTAAGAGAATGTAGTAATAAGTATTATAAAAAAATGAAATATATAGTGTTATTTTATTTAAATCATACATTTTCTATATTTTTAGTATATTAAGGAATGTAATAATATTTATTTTAAAATAATTAAAATAGACAATAACCTTTTAGTTCAATCATATATTTTCTATATTATGGGTAGATTGAGCAATTACAAGAATATGTCAAGTAACAACAATTATATAGTATTAAGTAGAGTCTTCAAATATAAATTGTTCATTGTCGACTTCGTGTTGTCATAGTTGAGGTGGGCAGCTTGGGTACTTGCTGTAGACATTCTTCCCTAAAGTGGTGCCATCATGCAGCCACTCTCCAATGAGGGTTGTCTTCAGTGTTCTCACTAGTAGTGAGCTCTTGGCCCCAATAGAGGTCCTCCTACAGCCACTGCCGAAGGGACTCCACTAGCTTTGAGAATACAAAGTAGGTGTATTGGCCTCTTTGCTTGGTGCTGGTGAGGTTGTAAAGGATGAGCTTGAGGCTGTAGGGGGATGGAGGTGGAGACAATGGAAGTAGTGGTCTAATAGATCCCCTTTCTCATTTCTCATTGAGAGAAATTGATATAAAGGTGGACTCATGAGTAAGACCATATGTTTAGAGGGAATTGGAATTCCATTAACATGATCATGAGGTCAAGAGTACAAATAACACTCAAAGAGATGGAGAGAGAGAGCGAGAGAGAGAGCGAGAGAGAGAGAGAGAGAGAGAGAGTCTCTTTCTCTCTCTCTCTCAACAAACTGATTCGAGATGGTTAAACTCCAAACTACTTTGCTCATAAATACAACTTAATGTCCTCGTTTCACTTTGTGATTACCATCTTTTTAATAAGTGATGTGCACTTGTCGTTGTGTCTAAATGCACATTATCTAATAATATTTATAACTAAGTTTTTATATATAGAAGTAAGTCTCAAGTCGAATACAAGGAGATTGATTAATTCATTGTGAAAACTAATTTAGTTTATATATAAAGTGATTTTAATATTTTTATTAATATTTAACAGAAATAATAAAATTAAAGATAAAGGTGAGAAGAATAAAGGAAAGAAAATAGAGAAAAAAGAGGAAAAGAGAGAGATAAGAGAGAGAAAAGAGAGGAGAAAATCTTATGTGAGATAGAGAGAGAAGGAGAGAGAGGGAGATCAATCGATGGAGAGAAACAGAAGAGATTTCACGAGAGATAGAGAGAGAAGAAGAGGTATCACGAGAGAGGGAGAGAGAGAAATAAGATGATAATAAAGATAAAGAAAAATACACTCAACCCATTTTCATGGTGACTATTACTCTTAGACGAATGTGTGTTCGAGAATTCACACACGACATCAAGTCAGTTGTGAATATCTCCAATTTATTTTAACCATTGAATGCTCATTAATCAGTCTTTAATGTCGTTGATTTTGCATTTAGAAATAGAAGAATAACCGTTATTTATACTTTCCCCCAAGTCTTTCACCTTGTCTATAAGGTAAATTTTAAAAATTACATATAGATGTTTCTAGTTGATTTTCATATGTTCTCTTACTCAAGGAGGTCCTTCCATTTGACTAGGACTTCAATGTTGTATGGGCCCTATCAAACATCGATGATACCCACTAGTTCCATAGTCCATGTAAGATTGACACCTATCATTGGTGGCTTAATTTGATGTTGTAATGTGGATCTAGTAGCCTACTTGAATTTTGACACGTGAAAGATAAGGTAGATAACTATAGTTGAAGGGATGGCGAGCTCATAAACTCTTGGCCCTATTCATTCATTAATCACAAATAAATTGAAAAAGCATATGTGGATACCCTCTATATTGACACATAGTATGTTTTGACACACAATGAAATTTTATTTATGAATCATTCTTGATTGAGTTAAATCATAATATGCATCATAATAATTTTTATCATGAGATAAGTTTAATTGACAAATATTCAAATTATATAAATTGATAATGCTCTGTGCAATTCTATGACTAACAACGAATTCAAGAAATCACACCATTGATATATTATTTTGTATTGAAGTAATGCAATGCAATATTCATTGATTAAAAGACTGATATAAAAAGTGTCAAAATGTGTGACAAAAGTTTGACGAATATTTTAAAAAATTGAAGTTAATAGTAAGATTTAAACACAACACTTGAGCAATATGAAGAATAAAGTGATAGTGCAAAAAATATATAAAATATCAAAGACATACTATGACAATTCTAACAAAAAGTATGTTATTTGAAAGCAAGAAAAATGATGACTAAATCATTGAAATAAAAATATAGGCAAAATTTGAATTTGAAACACTATAATGACATACGAAAAATTAATCAAAGTATTCAATATAAGATATATGATTAGTGATTGTTGACACGAAAGAAGAGAACCCTAAAATTCATGCAATCTTAAGATAGAATACATAACTCTTATATAGAAAAAAGGAGAGATGAGAGAGATAGATAAATAATAGGCCATAGTGGGTTGAGAATCTAATACTACTATCAAACACTCCTTCTCAAGTTGGAGCATATAAGTCAAACATATCCAACTTGGTACATGTGGCGTCGTATGAGATGCCGGTTAGACTCTTCATGAAGACGTCCACAAGTTGATGAGATGATGTCATATCAGGAGTAGAGATACGTCCAGATATAACCTTATCTCGAATGTAGTGATAGTTGATCTCAATGTCCTTCATATGCTCATGAAAGGTGGGATTGTCGGCAATGAAGATAGTGGCTTGATTGTCGCAATGCATAAACATTGGAGAGGGAGAACCGATGTTGAGATCGTCAAGAAGTGATCGAAGCCATATCATTTCCCATGCTATCTCAACCATGACTCGATACTTAGATTCCGCACTAAAGTAAGAAACCACCCTTTAATTTTGAGACTGCCAAGTGACTAGGTTACTGCCGATGTATGTGCAATAACCCGTAGTAAACTTTCAGTCGCCCTTGTCACATGCATACCCGATGTCAGAGTAGGCTGCAATACGGAAATGAATGTGTCGCTGATAGATGAGCCCTTTCCTAAGGGATCACTTGATATAGGCGAGGACTCATAGAGTTCCCTCCTAATGAACTCGTCGAGGCTCCTACATAAACTGACTCAAGACACTAATCGTGTACACGATGTTCGGACGAGTGACGGTGAGATATATTAACTTGCCCAACAATCGCCGATACTAATTAGTATCTTTGAGTAGGAGAGATGAAGTGTTTCAAAATTACAGGTGAGCTTCTATAGGCGAAGTCTCCAGCTTGCATCCAAGAAGGCTTATTTCTTGAAGCATGTCGAGGGCATACTTCTACTAAGTAAAGGTAAGTTTTCCGTCTTGATACGTAAATTAAATCCCAAGAAAATATCATAGAGTCTCCAAGTCACAAATGTTGAGGTGCTGCTACATGTAAGTTTTGGTAGCAAAGATGCCGGCCTCATTACTTTCAGTCACAAGAATGTCGTTGACATTGACTGCAAAGATGATAAAATTACCCTCTATCTTTTTCGTGAGTACAGTGAGGTCTGCAGTGCAAGTGACGAAGCCGAAGGTGGTGAGTAAATCACTAAACTTAGCAAACCAAGTACATGGACTCTACTTGAGTTCATAAATGGCACACCACAAGAGACACACCTTCGATGACTCTCCCTAAGCAACATATTCAGGAGGTTACTCCATAAAGACATGCTCTGTGAGATCGCTATAGAGAAATGTGTTAGAAACATCTAATTGATGGAGAGACTATACTTGATTGAAGGAGAGAGAGAAGAGTACATAGAAGGAGTTAGAGTGAACGATAGGAGAGAATGTCTCAATGTAGTCAATCTCATATGCCTACGTGAAGCCTTGAGCAACTAGACAAGCTTTGTGACGAACAATAGAACTATCTGAGTGATACTTGATGGTAAACACTCACTTGCACATCACAATGTTGGCATCGGTCGGACAAAGAATCATATCCCAAGTTCCATAACTGACCAACACAACTACCTCTGAATCTATGATTGTCTTCCACATAGGCACATATACAACCTCAACATATGACTGTGGAAGCAACTCGGAGGTCACGGAGAGGGCAAAGGCACGAAAGGAGAGAGAAAGGTGGTCATAGGAGACAAACTGGGAGATGGGATGATGAGTACAGGTGTGTGTACTTTTGCAGAGGGTAATAGGGAGATGAAGGTCATTAGGTGGAGCAGCGACCAAAAGCACGGAGAGGATGGTAGGAGAGGAAGAGGAACCATGAGAGATATAGGCCGAAGAGAGGTGGGTGTGGGTAATAACCCCAAAGAGAGTAGACAGGAGGGAAGAGAAGAATGAGGATCTGTAAGAACCACTAAGGGAGGAAATCTAGTTGGAGGAGACGTAGCGGCCTGAGGAGAAGGAGTAAAAATAGGAGAGAAGAAAGGAAACTCCTCATGGAAAGTGACGTTGACCGAGGTCACATAGCGACGAGTATCGGGAAAGTAGACCCAATAACCTTTTTACATGCAAGAGTAGCCAACAAAGACCCTTTTAAAAGCACGAGGGGTGAGTTTAGAAAGAGAAGGAAACAAATCTTGAATGAACGCAGTGTATTCAAAAACCCGAAGGGGAAGAGAAAAAAGAAGAAAATCAGAGATGAAGCAATGGAGAAGAATAGCTCCCTCAAGAGGACCGGAGTGAAGTTGATTATGAAGATAAGTGATAGTTAGAAGGGCGTCAACCCAAAGATAGTGGGGGACATTCATCTCAAGAAGAAGTGTGCGAGTGATGTCAAAGAGCTGACGATGTTTGCGCTCAACAACACCATTCTGCTGCGAACTGTGAGGACAAGTGGTATAGTGGAGAATGTCACGATCATCACATAAAGTGTAAAAAGATATTTAGACAAACTCAAGAACGTTATCCCTACGAAAAATCTTAGGCGTAATAGTGTATTGGGTAGTCATCAACAAAAATAATGTAATAGCGATGGCCCGAGATGGAAGAAGTACGAAATAGATCCTATACATTGTAATAGAGAAGGTAAAATGAAGTGGAAGAAGGGATGTCATCACAACGAGGATAAAAAGTATGGTGATGTTTGCCCAACTAACAAAACTCGCACACAAATTTAGAGAGAGAAAGATACGATAAGATTTTTATAATGTAGAGAAACAAGGATGACTTAAATGACAATACTACAAAAGAAAAGAAGTAGCCATAAAGGTGACAAAAAGGGTCCAAAGGTCAGATGATGGTTCATCAAAAATAAGTTTGTAGACACCTTGCCTATTTTCACAGCCCAAACTAATCCTCCATTTAGTATACATATCCTTGAAAGTATAGTGAAAGGGAAAGAATGTGATGATATAAGAGATGGAACGAGTAATAGTATTGATGGAAAGAAGGTTAGTAGGAAAACTAAGAACGTAGAGAACTTGGGTGAGGTGAAGGGAGGGAGAAGCCGAGGTGGCACCATGACCTTTGACCGAACAGATCTGGTCATTAGCAATGGTGATATGGGGATGAGTTGGGGTAAGCTAATAAGAGGAGAGAATAGTGGAGATACTAGTCATGTGGGTGGAGGCCCTTGAATCAATAATCTATGACATCGAAGAGGAAGCAAGGAGAGCGTGTGTACCTAGTGTGGAGGAGGTCGGAAGTGAGGTGAGACTAACAAAAGTGGAAGCGTCAGTACTATTGGTGTGGCGAAGGATGTCATACTCTGCAAACATCAAGGTCACATGGAAGGTATGAGCTGGAACATGAGATGGAGTGGGGGACACTAGAGTCGGAAAAGTTATCGCTGACTATGCAGAAGTGGGCTTGTCTAACTACTTCCAACACTTGATAGCAAGATGATTTTGCTTCTCACAGTAGGGACATGAAGGAAAAGTGTTGCGCCCACGTCTGCGAGAAGTACAACCACCATCAAGACAAGAAGGAGGGGTATCATCTTGAGCCCGCAACAGAGCAATGGCAAGAACTGAAGAAGTAGAGGTGGTGCCTGGAGAGGAAGAAGAGGAGTGGATGGACATACCAATAATGACCCGAAGGGCTGCCGAAAAGATGGAGGCGAGATTAGGCACGTGATTCCCAGAGATAACAGCCCCTTAGATTTGAGATGTAATGGACAAATGAAGTCTACTATGATAAACCCTAGCATAAAACTCCTAGTGATAGCATTAGAGGGTCAAGAGGTCAGTAGTAGGAGGCTGATAGATATGAACCTCCTAGATGAGGGCTTGGAGGCGACCGTAGTGGCATGAAGAGAAAGTTCATCTTGTTTGCGAGAGAGAAGAGACTCGAAGATCTCCACAATACGACCAATGTTCGTCCGGTTGGTGTACATAGTCTCCATAGTCAGCCACAAGAGATGAGCCGTAGTGATGTGCGCCAATGGCTTGACAATATTGGGCTCGATGCTTTGAAGTATCCATGTGATGACAACCGAGTCGAGCTATGACCATGTTGCATACGAGGGGTCTCGAAGGTCGAGTGGGTCCTCCGAGAGGTGATGGAGGAGACTATGAGATCTAAGGAAGATCTCAAAGTCAGATGTCTACGATGCATAATTGTGGCCATTGTAGATATGTGTGGTTGAGTAAGTTGCATTGTAATGGAGTGGCGAGCTGAAGGAATTGCTAGAGAAAGGAGAACACTAGTTAGAAGAAGCTCAAAGGGCTTGAAGGCAAGCGATGGAGGGGGGTGAGATGACACCATGAGGCCGATGGGTCGAGATGGGGGGGCAGGTGGTGCGGGGAGTGGGTCAGGGCCTGACAAGCTGATCTAGAGGGATAGGTAGGCCAGAGGGGCAGGCAGAGCTAGCTGGGGCCGGCTGGGGCCGATTGGGACGCTGCGTTGGGCCGGTTGGGCTATGCTGGGCCTGCAGATCCGCGGGGGGCTGGTCTTGAGCGGGCTGGTATGGAAGAAAACCACCGACTAGCTCATCGGGAGACGGGCGAAACCCTAGCCGCCACGGTTGAATGGCGATAGCGCTCACAACAGCGATGGCGAGGACTAGGGCGTGACGGCGATGGCAAGGGCTGGGGCATGACGGCAAGGGAGCGACTGCAAGGGTGTGACGACAAGGGCATGACAGCGAGGGTGCGACAGCGAGGAGGGACCTTGACAGCAGCGGCGACACCCTCAGCACCTAAGAACGACGGCGCCCATAATGGCACAACAGCAAGGGCATGACGACGAGGAGGGCGGGCTGAAAGGAGAAGGAGAGTGACAGAGCCAGAAGAGGGAAGAGGAGGGAAGAGGCCGGCGAGAAGGAGAGTAGTGCACCAGAGATGGATGGCACACTAGAAAGGAGGAGGACGAGGAGGGATACCTAGGGCTCTGACATCATGTTGACACGAGAGGAGAGAACTATGGAATCTATGTAGTCTCAAGATAGAATACATGACTTCTATATAGGAGAGAGGAGAGATGAGAGAGAGATAAATAATGGGCCCTAGTGGGCCGAGAGTCCAATACCACTATCGAACAGTGATTAATTCAAGGTTTAAACTAAAGACCTTCAAGGCAATTAAGTTAGATTGCTCACACAAAGTAAAAAAAGAGATAGAGAAGTCGTCATCACATAATATGCACGGTGACATGTCAAAGACATGTAGAGAAAATGGCAAAATGGAAATGACCAAACTTCAACCTAATATCAAGTAAAAGATCAATCATTGAAGTTACATGTATCCCTAGATAGAAGCTTTGAAGACCATCTTAGAGAGATTTGTGTGTTTCAAAGTGAATGAAGACTATAGGTCAATCTCTCATATTATGGATAGTGACACATCATCAGAGTCTATGGACTAAACGACAAGGTTAATGATAATATCTTAGCTCAACTCTAGACACAATATCAATGATAATATATATACGAGCAGAAAGACCTAAGTAGAAGTATGACTGAAGGTCAGAAGCTCATATTCTAAAAGGTAACTCATAAATAGAAGATGTGGACTAAAGGAAGCTAAATGATCTCATTTGAATAAGATTTTGAAATAATAAATATTCATCAACCAGGTACAAATCTCCAAGTAACATATCACAAATAACTACTATTCAATAGTGGTATCAAACTCTCGGCCCACTAGGGCCCATTATCTATCTCTCTCTCTCATCTCTCCTCTCTCCTATATAGGAGACATGTATTCTATTTTGATGCTATATGGATTTCAAGTTTTTCCCCTCTCATGTCAACATGATATTAGAGCTCTAAGTATCCCTCATCGTCCTCCTCTCTAATGTGCCGTCTGTTTTCAATTCGCCGCTCTCCTCCTCGCCAGCCTCTTCCCTCCTCAAGCGGCTCTTCAACATCACCAGTCTTCCCTCTTCCAGTGTCGTCATCTCTGTTGTCACTCTCCTTCTCCTTTCAACATCACCCTCCTTGCCGCTATTGCCCCTCACCCGTGTTGTTGCTCTCCTCCTCTTCTCTGACATCTCCACCATTGCCATCACCATCGAGGGCCCTCCTCGCTGTCACACCCTCGCCATCGTGCCCTTGTTGTCATGCCCCAGCCCTTGTCGTCACCGTCATAGACGCCCTCACTGTCCAGCTGTGACAGCTAGGGTTTTGCCCATCTCCCGACAAGCCAGTCGATGGTTTTCTTCTGGACCGACTCAATTGGACCTACTGGCCCCATGTGGATCTGTAGGCCCAGCATGGCCCAGTCAGCCCTAGTCGGCCCTAGTCAGCTTTGCCTACCCCTCTAGACCAGCTTGTCCAGCCCCGACCTGCTCACCCCACCACCTGCCCCTCCGGCTTGGACCCGCCGGCCTCATGATGTCATCTCACTCCCCTTTATTGCCTACCTCTAAACCCTCTGAGCTTCTTCCAACTAGTGTTCTCCCTTCTCTAGTGGTTCCTTTGGCTCACCACTCTATCACGATGTAACTTACTCAACCGGTGTACATCTTCAACAGTCACAATTATGTGTCGTAGGCATCTCACTTCAAATTCTTCTTTAGATCTCACAGTCTTCTCCATCACCTCTTAGAGGACTCACCCACTTGGGACCCCTCATATGCAACATGGTCGCAACTTGACTTGACCGTCATCACAATGATGCTTCAAAGGATTAAGCCTAGTATTGTCGAGCCACTGGCGCATATCACCTCGACCCGTCTCCTATGACTTACTATGGAGACCATATACGTCAATCGGATGAACATTGGTCAAGTTGTAGAGATCTTCGAGTCTCTTCTCTCCTGCAAATAAGACGATCTCTCTTTTCTGACCCACTATGGTTGCCTCTAAGCCATCATCTAGGAGTCTGATATCTATCAGCCCCCTACTACGAACCTCTTGACCCTCCATCGTTATCACTATGAGTTTTATGTTGAGGTTTATCTCAATAGACTTTATATGTCCATCACATCTTAGATTCGGAAGGTAGTTCTCTTTAGAGATCGCATGCTTGATCTCAACTCCATCTTCTCGACAGCCCTTAAGGTTACCACTAGTACGTCCATCCACTCCTCTTCTTCTTCTCTAAGTGCCACCTATACTCTTTTAGCTCTTGCCATTGCTGCTCTACAGGCTCAAGATGATCCCTTCCTTCCTGCCCTGACGGTGGTCGTATTTCTCGCAGACATAGGCACAACACTTTTCCTCCATGTCCCTACTACGTGAAGTAGAATCATCCAGCTACTAAGTGTTGGAAGTAGTTCGGTAAGCTTACTTCCACATAGCCAGTAATAACTTCTCCAACTCTAGCGTCCCTCACTTCATCCCATGTTCTAGCTCCTACCTTCCACATGACCTTGACGCCTATGGAATATGACGCCCTTTCCCACACTAATGATATCGACGCTTCTACCTTTGCTAGTTTTGCCTCACTTCCGACCTCCTCCACACTAAATACACACGCTCTCTTTGCTTCCTTTTCAATGTCGTGAATTATTAATTCGGAGGCCTCCACCTATATGACCAGTATCCCCACTATTCTCTCCTCCTATCAGCCTACCCCGACCCATCCCCTTGTCACCATTGCCCATGGTCGGACCTATCCAGTCAAAGGTCATGGTACCACTTCAACTTCTCCCTCCCTTCACCTCACCCAAGTTCTTTACGTTCTCAATTTTCCTACTAACCTTTTTTCCATTAGTGATATTTTCTGTGCCATTTTTTGTACAATCACATTCTTTCCCTTTCACTATACTTTTCAAGATCTACATACCAGATGGAGGATTAGTTTGGGCTGTGAAAATGGGCAAGGTGTCTATGAACTTATTTTTTACGAATCCTCATCTAGCCTTCAAGCTCTTTTTGTCGCCTCTACTCTTCTTAGGGGGGTCATTCCTCTCCATTGCTTAATCTCTGATTCTCCTCTTTTTTCTCCTCCCTCAGGTCTTTGGATACATTACCTTCGTCCAAGATTCATCTCTTTCTCTTTCTAAACTCAACCCTTGTGCTTTTAAAAGAGTCTTTGTTGGCTACTCTCGCACATAAAAGGGTTATTGGGTCTACTTTCTTAATACCCATTGCTATGTGACCTCAACCGACATCACTTTCCATGAGGAGTCTCATTTCTTCTCTTCTATTTTGACTCTTCTTTCTCAGGCCACTACATCTTCTCTAACTAGATTTCTTCCTTTAATGGTTCTTGTAGACTCTCCCTCTTCTCTTCCCTCTTGTCTACTCTCTTTGGAGTCATTATCTGCACCCACTTCTCTTCAGCCCATATCTCTTGTGGCTCCTCTTGCTCCGGATGTAGTATCTTCCTCTTCCTCTCCTATGATCCCCTCCGCACCTTTGGTTGCTACTCCACCTAATAACCTTCATCTCCTTATTGCCCTCCACAAAGGTATGGCTGCACCCACTATCCCATCTCTTAGTTTGTCTCATATGACTGCCTTTCTCCCTCCTTTCATGCCTTTGTCCTTTCTCTGGCCTCCGAGTCACTTCCACGGTTGTATGTTGAGGTTGCACAGGTACTTGTGTGGAAGGCGGCCATGGATTTGAAGGTAACTGCATTGGTTGCTCAAAGGACTTGGGATTTGATTCCGCGCCAGACTAATACTACTATTGTGATGTGGAAATGGGTGTTTACCATCAAGTATCACCCGGATGGCTCCATTGCTCATCACAAAGCTCGTCTGGTTGCTTGAGGTTTCACGCAAGCATATGAGATCGACTACACTAAGACGTTCTCTCTTGTCATCTGCCTCAACTCCATTCGTGTGTTCCTCTCTCTCATCATCAATCAAACATAATTTCTCCATCAATTAGATGTTTCTAATACCTTTCTCTACGGTGATCTCACATAGTTAGTCTTTATGGAGCAACCTCTTAGGTATGTTGCTTAGGGAGAGTCATCAAAGGTGTCTCTTGTGATGTGTCATTTATGGGCTCAAGTAAAGTCTATGTGCTTAGTTCACAAAGTTTAATAGTTTATTCATCACCTTCGGCTTCACCTCTTGTACTACATACCTCATCATACTCACGACGAAGACAAATAATAGTCTTATCATCCTTACAGTTTATGTCAAGGATATTCTTGTGACTAGAAGTGATGAGGTCGACATCTCTACTACTAAAGTTTACTTGTAGCAGCACCTCAACATTCGTGACTTAGAGACTCCATGGTATTTTCTTGAGATTAAGTTTATGTATCAGGATAGGAAACTTATCCTCACTCAGCAAAAATATGCTCTCGACATGCTTCAGGAGATAGACCTCCTTGAGTGCAAGTCAGAAACTTCGCCCATGAAAGCTCGCCTGTAGTTTTGGGACACTCCATCTCCCTTACTCAAAAATGTTAATCAATATCGGCGATTGTTGGGCAAGTTGATATATCTCACCATCACTTGTCCTAACATCGTGTATACGATTAGTGTCTTGGGCCAGTTCATACAGGAGTCTCGATGAGTTCATTGGGAGAGAGCTCTACGAGTCTTCACTTACATCAAGTGATCCCTAGGAAAAGGGTTCATCTAACGGCGACACAACTATCTCCGCATTGTAGCCTACTTTGACATCGGGTATGTATGTGACAAGGGCGACCAAAAGTCTACTATGAGTTATTGCACATACATCGGCGGTATTCTATTTCAATGTGAAATCTGAGTATTGAGTCATGGTTGAGACAGCGTGGGAAATGATATGACTTCGATCACTTCTCGATAATTTCAACATTGTATTAAGCCGCCATCTTCATTGTTGACAATGTCACCTTTCATGAGCGTACGAAGCACATTGAGATCAACTGTCACTACATTCGAGATAAAGTTATGTCTAGACTTATCTCTACTCTTGATGTGGCATCATCTCATCAGCTTGCGGACGTCTTCACGAAGAGTCTAGTCAACGTCTCTTACGATGCCATGTGTACCAAGTTGGATATGTTCGACTTATATGCTCCAACTTGAGGGGGAGTGTTCGATAGTGATATTTGACTCTCAACCCACTAGGGCCCATTATCTATCTATCTCTCTCTCTCATCTCTCCTCTCTCATATATAAAAGACATATTCTATCTTGACGCTGCATGGATTCTAAGTTTTTCCCCTCTCATGTTGACAACTATCAATAGAGAAAATAGTTTAGAAATGAAAACAGTTGAAGGTCACTAAAATATTGATGGAGTAATTGTAATATATTCAAATTAAATGATCATTTTCTAATGCTAGTTTGAGATGAATCCATTAGAGTATAAATAAAAGGAGCTGAGAAGAAATAAAGCTAACACAATGAAAAAATATTCATCCACATCACTCACATTAGTAAGAGAAATAATCTTATTCAATCCTTTATAATAAAGCAATCATGTGCTTCAAAGAAAGAATCAAAGTGTCATTATTCTCAATCATCTATGGCAACGAATGAATCAATCTACTACATTAAAAGATTTCTTTCTCCATCATGTCTTAAGGTAACTTGAGTGGTGAGTAGAGAAAGGGTAATATTGAGGCATGAGGTGTTGAAAGTTGAAATCTACTTATGGAGGGTGCATCATTAATGAAGATTGTTGCTAATGAAGCAACAAAGGTAAGTCTCAAGTCTTTTATTAACCACCTTTGATTAGTAGTCAGTATGTGATATACACATGTGATAGGGTAGAACCGTACAACTTGAATAATTCTTACAAAAAAAATATTCATACATATACAATCTTGATTGATGAAAATTAAAGTTGAAACACCATACAACTGCACAATGTCACAAATGAAGATATAGATCTCTTTTATTGTAAATGGATGTTTGAGTAAAGAGAAATGTGCATACTTACTTAATTGATCGACCACCACTATAATCATCGACATATCTTCTTAAATTTTATCTCTAATAGATAGCAACTGAATAAGACCTATTGAATGTGATGTTAACTTATTTCTCTCATAGATAGGACATGACTTGTTGTATCTTCTAATGTTCTTCTTTGTACCATACCATTAGACATTCTATCTAACCATCTTATAGCTTCATAGAAACCCTAAGTCTCTCTCAACTATTGAGTCGTAAAATTGTCTAAGTATTTTTAGGTATCACTATTGAAGATCTACCTAGTATTCTCCTATGATTAGGTTTGCATCTAATAATTTTAGAGTATAAAAGTTCAAAGTTTAAATCATAGGCAGGTCTGGTCTCCTAGATAAGACAACATCAATCTTATTTGTTGCTCCTACTTTATATTTTATTTTGAATTCTAAGTTAATGATTTTGGAGAATGACACGACATAGTCATTGTATAATAAATCACGTAAATTTAAAATTTATAAAACTAGAAAATACCAATTTTCAGATATTTAGAAGTATTTTTAAACAAATATATCAATTATAATTCAATAAAACTTTCACATACCTTAGTTGGAAACATCGTCTTTTTCGTGATAATATTTAGAAAATACCTTATTTTCCAAGTCATGAAAAAGACAATGTGGTCATCCTGACGAGGCGGTGATGCGTCAGTGATGTGTCGGTGATGCACCAAAATTCTGAGCGTTTGGGAGGATTGTTGTGTAGTGTCCACAACCTCGAAGGCTTTCCTTGAACAAAGACGATGTGGTCAATCTCTAAATCTCATTGTGAAGTCTAGAGATCAATGAAATGAGTCGTTGAATTGTCTCTGGCAACTGTCACCTAGCAGAGTAAAAAAACGACGACTTTGCGACTCTCTAACGGTTGTCACCCGACAAAGAGGAACTAGATGAAGGTGGGGCATGTGTTAGGGAGCTTCATCCTCAAGTCCGCGCAGCAAGAGGAGGCTCTTCATCGCATCCATATGCTCTTAGGAGGTGGCAACTCGTCTCCCAATAGATCGTCCTCTTCCTGATGACGGCTTGTTAGTCGATCAATCGGAGATGATTTACTTAATGGATTCATGATCCTTTTATCTCAAATCATTCAGTAATTTTAGTAACAATGCTCTGCAAATCATGTTGACAAGATTTTCACCGATGATCCAGTAATTCTAGTGACTTAATCCTTCACTAATGATCTACAAGAAAGTCACGATAATCAGATAAAAATATGAGTTTTGGCTCTAGGAGGATTCGAACCCGCGCCGGTTGTCTACCTACATGAGAGAGATTGAAATAATACTCTAATATCCTTATCAAGTGACGTTATCATGATATATCTCTATTATAACTAAGGGGTAGTTTAGGTATTAAAATCTTTAAAGTCTTTCGAGAAAAGGTGTGATGCGAGTTTAGTCCCACATTACTTGTGCGTTGAAGTTTTGTGTGAATATATAGTAATATCACATTTACAAGTAACGAGTCTCTTTCTTTCGCGTGTACGACTACTCTTTGCCCCATAGTCGGCTGGCCACCAATGACGTAGAAGGGGAGTGGTGCACACATGCCCCCATCGGTCCTAACCACTTGAGCCCCCCCTACTTGTAGCTCCCCTTGACTGAACTTCCGACCCACTTGTGGACCCGACTGGTCGGCAGATCTCTCTTTTTTGCTATACTTTTATTTTAATTTCTTTTTCTTTATTTATCTCAAAAATAAGACTATAAAAATTATATAAATTTGTAAAAAATCACATAATTAGCCAAAAATTCATGTTAATCAACTAAAAATCACTTTTCAAAATTTAACACAAATATAAGTCTATTTATCATGAGTTAAGACTAAAACTATATTATTTACTAATTATTAACTCATGATAATGAAGACTTATTAGATAATTAATTTTTGATAATTTTGTAACACGGTATTTTTTCATGAGCACTAGCCTAACTCTCATATGAGAAGCATATGCTTCTAATTCAAAATTCAAAGAAAAATTTGGAAAGAAGAGTAAATGTTTAGACATGGGGACTACCTTGAGCTGTCTAAATGTCATTTGTACTTTAGAACCTTAGTTAAAAGTAATTTTTGTGTTACTTTATGAGAGGCCACAATAGGGTGTCATATTTGCGATGAAAAGCTGATAGTATCCAATCAACCCCAAAAACCTTCTTAGTTTTCCATGAATGGTGAGTGAGGGTCATCAAATGATTATGTTTTCCTTGTCTAGATCATCCATCATGCCTCATATCAATATCCAATGACTTAGGTAAGTGATCATTGACTATTTGAAGAAACATTTCTTTGGGTTATCTGGAGATGATGAGATTAGACAATGTTGAATGCTTGAGTCAAATGTTCCTCTGCATCACTCTATCTAAGCTCTAAATTAGGATGTCATAAAATAAAATAAAAAAAATATAAAAATTGCTAAAAATTTGACTGATCTATGCTTAGAATGCCATCGAAACATTAAGTCAAATGACATCACAAGAAACTTCAAAATACCTTATATGCTTGTGAAATGCTATTTTAGATGTCTTTTTTCCAAATTCAGATCTAGTGCTAATCAAATCTAATATCTAATTTCAATAATATAATCACTTTATCTAGTTCATCAAGGATTTTTTTGACAATCAAAATGAGGCAGTGATCTAAAATTCTGACTTTGTTGAATGCATGGTAATCTATGTAGAACCTTTGTGTATCTTTTTTCCTTCTAAATGGGGCCTCAATGTGGACTGATTTAATATTAGATCATTTTTTTTTCCAATAATACATAGACAAGTTTCTCAATCTTCATCTTGAGTCAAATATTAAGGAATGTGACCAAGTTTTCATTAATTTTCTCTCAAAACTTGAGGGTTCATGTTGGCAAGTCCTTGGCTAGGAATTATAGTGATATGTTGAGATTGACTAACACTTCTTCAATTTAGTTATCCATAATTTTCTAACCCCACTTTTTGGGAAGTATTTTTGTAGATGGCCAATAATCGTAGCTCCCTTCGACAATGATGACTCAAACATTACTTCTATTTGAAAGAGAAGCATAAGCCTTAGGCTCATTATGTTTATATCTCTGATGGTGCGAGTTAAATTCTTTTACTTCTTCTAGCTTATGAAATTTCTATGATGAGTGTTGTATTATCTCTATTGTCCCCTTGTCATAAAAGAGGTAAGTTAGGCCCTTATGTTGACGTTCTATCAAGACTTCATCTCCACCTTATGAGTTGTCTTTATGATTCCTCTTGGCATTCTATCATGGCGTCAAGTTACTTGATCTCCAACAGTTTATGAAAAAAAGAGCTTGCTTGATTAGTGTTAAAATATTTAAAAGTTGTTGTCAAAGGTCTTTCCCAATACTTAAAGGACTTGCATGCATTTATCCACTTATTTCATCTAAGAACTTTTCCTTCTAGATTGAGATTGATAGTAATTTTTTCAATGGTTGAAAGTCGGTACATAAAAAAAATTATTCTACATGAAAGATCCAACCTTTTGAAGCTTAGTTTCTGAATAAGGGAATTTCAAACTTCCAACCGCCCTTCCACAACTCTACGTAGTTATCAAGAGTTGGTTGTAACCCAAATTGGCATGTGTGGGTCACCATGATGAATATTGGACTATTTGTTAAGTTCTGAATCTATGACTTTTCCTTGAAGGTGAGTGGGCCAACCTTGAGTTAATTCACCTAGAGCTTAGTCATTTGGGCCATCCGTTTGAACTCTATCATGGTAGCCACAACCTAGAGAAGTGTTTGACTGTCGATATAGATCTTCGAGGGTGTGAATCAAATATTTCAAATAATGTTTGATTCTCGAGATCTCACTGCAAATCTCCTTGTCATTTGCTAATAATGTGATAACATATCATGGTGACATTTTCTTAGAGGATAGGAAACTCTTGACATAGTTCCTCCAACTCTTTCTTGAAGAGCTCTCTTTTCACATTGCTAGGATTTGGCAGCATGGCTTTGATAACAATTTGATATAATTCTTTTTGATTGACAAAAAGTGAAATAAAGAGGGTGGACTCTTGAGTACAATCAGTACAAGTGAAATTCCACTAACATTCAAATTTGAACAAAAAAGAAAAAAGGAATAAGAAGATTGGAAGGTTCAGAGGTCAGTATCGTAGTTGGCTCATGAAGGATTGAGCATCTGAGGACACTAATTTGAGGTATTTTGATGGTTGATCCTGTGAAAATCAATGTGTAATTCATGAAGAAATTAGTAAATACTAGAGGGAACTTTACTTTAAGACTGGACATAGCAAGGTGAAAGGTAAATCAGTATAAAAGCCTCAATTTACCCCCCTTCTTAACATTTCATCTAGCCCTATACTTCCAACACTCCCTTCACATTACGTCTTTTTTATAAGGCTAATAGGCCATTGGCCTAGTACCTCTATTTAAACAACACTCTTCGAAAACTACGAATAGGTGACTCCTCATCTGGTGTATTCTCCGAAGACGACAGTTCGTGCAACTATCAAGTTTGTTTCCACTATGGCTGGTCTTGGGTTGAGAGTTTCTCATCTCGTCCTTTGTAGCCATCGGTGACTGCCAGGATTCCCACCGACGATGAGGGCAGAAGCGTATGCCCTCTCCTGAGTAGCTTCTCCGCGCTGAACTTGTTGCGGAAATTAATGGCACAGATGAAGACGAGCAATGTCAGTGGCAGCGGCAACAGAAGAACAATCTTCATCCAAAAAGGAGGAGAAGAAGTGGAAGGAGAAGGCTTCATCTCCATCGACACTCTGAGCTACCCGCCAACAAAGAGCTGAAGAGATGGCTCCGCTCTCCGCAGCCACTCCTTCCTCGAGAAGATGACGAAGATCCTCTTCTTCTGCAGATTACGACTCTTGGTCGGAGAGCTTGCATCGAAGAAGAAGATGGAAACCCAAGGCTCACTTCCATGTGCGTCCCCATTAATACGTGAATCTCATGACAACCATAATACAGTGCTCTCTCTCTCTCTCTCTCTCTCTCTCTCTCTCTCGCGCTACTCGGTCATCCTTCAGGTTGGGAGCTGTTGGGATGATTAAAAAAGGGCAGCATCCTTCAATGGATGAAAACCAGGATAGGGTAACCATTTGACCCGCAGTTGAACTAACTCAGGCCCAGCTCGGCAAAGCCCAGATAACTGTGTCAAGAGAGGCCAGTCCAAGCGTTTTTATGTAGTTATTTTAGAGAGAGAGAGAGAGAGAGAGAGAGAGAGACGTTAATTCGAAAAAGTGAGAAAAAAAATTTACGACCGAAACGGTGATACTGTAAGTTCAGTTACTGTTCTACTGCTCTTTTTCCCCCAATAAAAGCTTCATCTTCAGCGTATCTGTGAAAATTTCCGCACTCAGAGGGCCGTACTTCTGCAGGCATCACATTTCAAGTTTCATAGCCTCTAGCAATCAGCCAGGTACTCATCGATCTTCTTTCATAGCTTCGAGAACAAGTGGAATGGCGGAGCCAAGAGCCCGTCAGCACAAGAATTGATGGCAGGAGATCTGCGCATCCCCAACAGCTCATAGGCCAAACAACGGCCACTGCAAGAAAGAAGTCAGATCTGCATGAGTGAACCCCATCGGCTTGTTCACTAACTTTTTCCATTTTCCGGTCGGATAAATTTCGATGCTGCAGATCTCATCAAACTATCTTAATGGCAGTTCTTCCTGATTCGATCTTAAGGACTCGTAGGATTCTTCTGGGAGGAGAAAGAAGTTCAAGAATCAGCAGTAGTTATTTACCAGGGAGCCAGAGATGTCAGTCGGCGTCCATCACCTCCGCCTCGATGTCGACGATCACTGCAGAAGAGCCCTTCCCTGAGGGAATCATTGGAAAATAGAGCAGACGGCATGAATTTTTGGGCTTTGTTCACCAGAGTAAATATCGCTCTAAGAGGGGAAAAGAAAAAGAAACCTTTCTCTGATCGGCGAGAGGAGCCACGGGAGGCCTCGCTGAATTTGGAAGATCTGTTGGAGGAGAACCGGGCAGATTCCATCACAAACTTATTGCCCTGAACTGAAAGTCAACGCATCATGATTCAAATGGGCAAGATCACAGAGGGGGGGCTTCCCCTTGAAAGAGAAACAAGTATTTTATCTGAGCATCAGTAAAGGTGAAAACTACAGGCCGGAAAATAAACACAAGTATTCGAATGGGCATCAAGAGCTCTGATTTTGGAGAGGCCGAGGTGGGCTGTACCGGAGATGGGTTGGGCACAGAAGGGGCAGAACTGCACGCCGTCCTTCAACGAAGATCTGCAGGTCAGCCACGAATGATGCACAGCATTAGGCCAATAAATAAATAAATAAATAAATATATGTGATGCATATAAATATATACAAAACGAATTGAACATGATAGCCGGAGGGCATGGGAAATTTCTGGGGCTTACTTGAAAATTTGGAACTCGTTTCCACAATTGGGGCACTGCCATAAGAGAGAAGATATCAAAATTAGGAGCGACCCACAGAAATAAAGAGGCTATCAGCTGTACCACTTGAACCAATGTTAAAAGGATACTACTACAAGTAGTTATTGGATCAATTAATTCTGATTTATCACAGTTTCCATCGCCTGATGTGGCCTTTCATGAGGCGGCGGTTGACCATTTTCTTACGTTTTTATTTTCTGACCGAAGATGTTGCCTCTGAAATTCTGATCGATTCCCTCATTTTTACACCCCCCCCCCCTTTTCTTTTTTTTTTTCAAGATCAGGAAGTGGGCATCTAAGAATAATAGGAAGGCGATTAACTAAGCAAAGAGAAGCTAAAAGGATACAAAAAAATGGTTATCGGAAATTCAAAATAATTCAATCATGATTATAGAGATCGGAATGCTTACACCGTCCTGAATTATATCCTGCCCGGCGAACCAGAAGAAGGCTCCGAGGCCCAAAATCGGCAGGAGCACTGCAAGAAGCTGAGCGAATTAATGTCAGAGGATTAACCAAGTGGGCAAATCTTTTTTCATCCAACTATGAGGAGCAGAGCCAGAAGGAGGCAAGAAGAAATATAAATTTCGATGAAGAAGAAGCTCGATACTTCGCAGAAATAATTAAACTCAATAAAGTTCATGCCCTGTCTGTTTACCAAGAGAAAGAAGGCCTGATTCTCATAAAAATGCAGTCCGAAATGCTAGAACCCTTTCACTCTTGATGAAGGAACTTGTTGCCACATAGATTACTCACAATAAGGTCTAATAATATCTTCATACTATTCGTTTATGAATTGAACAAGGTTTGACTTTAGTCTACTTACCAAGAACAAGGTAATTAACTGCATCATATCTTCTCATCCCACAATACAAACGTAGAATTTTCCGGAAAAAAAACCGGGCGCCACAAAGATTACCTAATCGAAATATTTTTATTTTTATTTTATTTTATTTTATTTATTAACAGCAACAAAACAGATTAAATTATGTCCAACTTCACTAGAAAAAAGTGAAGCAGGAAGAGGTTGCGGAGCTCACCCAAATCGAAACAATGGCATCGAGGAGCCAACCCAGCTGCCCTGTCACAGTAAGGTATGTCAACCCAATCGCCACAGCAAGATTCCCGAGAACCCTGGCGGTGTTGTTCTTATCCCAGCCGCCGCCGCCGCCGCCGCCGCCGCCATTGAAATTAAAGCCCTGGTTTGCCTGAGGCACCACCAAGCTCTCCTTCCTCCTACCCTTCGCCGCCGCCCATATCTTCTCCGACCCACTTCCGAAGAAGTACTGCGATTTGCTCCGGAACAACCGGGCCCTCCTGCAAGGGTTCGAGCAGAAGCTAGGCCCAGCGGGGAGCTGCCTGATGCTCGGCGGGCCCCCATGGAAGTCGCCGGAAACGGGGAGGGCGGCGGCAATCTGTTGGGCGATCATGTTCTTCAAGGAAGAAGAAGGGCCCCCACTTGCTGCGGCTAGCGGAGGTTGTTCATGGGCTCACCCGAGAGGATGATCTCGGCTCTGCAATTCGGCGCCGCCATGGATTTTTTCCGGAGCCTCTTCCGTATTTTTTTAGAGAGAAAAAACCCGGGAATATCAGAGGGAATGAATGGGACAAAGGGAAATCTCATCCGATCCTCGTCAGGTCCCGGTTGGGTAATTCCGGCCATCCTTATCGGTTGACTGGGAACTCCATGGAATACCTAAAAACGGGGTTTCCGGGTCTCATTGAGAAGAAGAAAAAATCTAAGAATATGAACATACGACGTGAAAATGAGCATTGACTCATTATCTCATGAAAAAGACAGAAAAAATCACCGTCTCCGATGTACATCCCCCCCCCCCCTTCTCTCTCTGACCTCAATACTTAATAATTTCTCCGGGGGGAGTTGTTGCGGAGAGAGAGAGATGGCAAATTGTGGTGCAAACGAGACGACAAAAACTAGGAGCGTGCTTGGGGTGGGTTCAGTATAGTTCTGCCCTGAACCCGAGGCAGATTTTTTACAAAAAATCCTCTCTCTCTCTCTCTCTCTCTCTCTCTCTCTCTCTCTCTCTCTCTCTCTCTCTCGCTCTCCGATGGCCGTTCCTTCGCCGGAGGGACACAAAATCGTACACTCCCGTGGGAACGAACCTAGAGAGAGAGAGAGAAGAGATCCTAACACGAAGAAGCCCTGGTGGTGCAACCCAAAAGATCTGTTTATTCGGGCTAATTAATTAATTTCGAGCCCCATATTTGGAAAAAAAATGGCTACCAAGAACATCAAGAAACATCCCCCACCCACAGAGACGGACCGAATGCCGTCTCCTGTCAAACTTTCAGACTTACAGACTTAGATTAGATGAACACCGCTCACTCGGCTGCTGCTCCGCCAATTGATTGCCTTCATCAGTGGACGTTGCACTGCTGCAGAAGCGGGTGGGAGAAGTCAACGTACCTGTCCCAGATGGCCTTGTACCTCTCATTCCCGATCTTTAGCCACGGCTTCTGGTTCCCATTCCAGTGCACGACGGCGCCCCGCCGCAGCTCGGCGGCCCCGACAGTGGCATAGCCCAGCCCCAGCACGTGCCATTCGGGCTCGAGCCGCTGCACCAGCCCGTAGAACGCCAGCAAGCCCGGCGGCAGCGATCCAAGCTTCCACAGCGTGTGATCCGCGTTGCGCTCCTGCCAGTAGTGGTACACACCGGTGACGTTGCGGCGCCGCCACGCCCGGAGATCAACGACGTTCATGCCAAAGGCCCAGCCGCAGGCGTCGGAGTCGAAGTGTGCGCGCACAAGAGGGTGGGAGAAGTTGAGGTACTTGTGGAAGCGGTGGAAGGTCTCCATGCAGGTCTCCACCGCGCCCATGACGTTGCCGCCGAGCTCGACGGAGAAGAGTGCTGCCAGGTCCCGCTGCACGATCACGTCGTCGTCGAGGAAGATCACCTTCTCCAGCGCCGGGAACACCTCCGGGAGGTAGAATCTGAGGTGGTTCAGCATCGACAGGTACTTTGGGTTCCTGAATTTCACCGGAATTTTTCCTCCGCCCCCGCCATTGCCGGAGCCACCGCCATCACCGCCTGAGAAGTAGAAGCTCTTGGTACCCGAGTCTTGGAGCTGGCGGAGGACGGGGACGTAGGAGGCATTGAGCCAGGAGAAGTCGTCCACGTTCTGCACCTCCACGGCGGCGCCCCGGAAGCTGTTCATGGTGAACCAGGACCTCATGGCGGCATAGTTGACCCCATCGGTGACCAGGTGGAAGACGACCTTCTCAGGGTGCTTGGAGTTGACCATCGTCGAGTTGACAACAGCCGAGGTCGCCAGCACGTTGTCGGAGAAGACGCAGTAGTGGTACAGGCTGTTGTCCGTCAGCTTCCTGGCTGTGGCCGCCTTCCTCCCTTCGCTGGCGGCGGCCACCTTCCTCCCCGAAGGGCCCGAGCTCCTGTACCACTCTCGGGTCAGCCGGACTCCCAGGCAGTACAGCCCCTTGGGGAGCTCCTCCGCCGCTATCTGCCCGTATCTTGTGCTTTTCTCCTTCTCGGCGGCGGCAGTTTCCTCCAGCGCCTGGACCTGGGCCTTGAGCCTCGCAATCATGGCGGCGCCATCGTAATGGAGCTGCTGGGCCGTCTGCAGAAGGAGGGCCATCTGGCGGACGGCCGCCTCGGACTCTGCCGAGTTCAGCACTGGCGGCTTGGCAGCGGCATTGGAGAGGAGAGATTGAGAGCGGCGGATCTGGGTGCTAAGCTCCCACGCTAACTGAAGATTGTTGTTTTCTTTGGCAACGACCACCAGGGTCTTGGCCAGGGATATCTGGATGACCAGCTGTTGGGAGATTGAATCCGGATCCATCATGTCTTCTGTGAGATTAAGCCCATGTCTGACAAATCTGTGGCTCGATAATCTCTGTAGTGAAAAAATGAATCGTTAGCTTTTTATTTTTCCTCTGAAAGGTAATGGAAATAAAGAACACGATAAAAGAAAATGGACCACATGTTATATTTTAAAATATCAAACGACAAGGATAGAAGCAGTGGATTTCAATGCAAACTCCAATCGGACTCCTCAATCATGGGCTGGAAACACATAGGATTTTGCTTGATATGAACAGGAAGGAAGCAGTGTGGGTTTTTTCTTCTGAGGTTCATGAGATGATCAGAAGCGGCCCTGATGATTTCTTCACCCACTTAATCTGTTGTGCGAAGCATGTGAAATGTCCACATTCGTCTCTAATGATTTCATTCCGCCACGCAGATCTCGGAATGGATGGTCCCCATCCAGGGGAGTAAGTACATAGAATTCTTTTTCGAGCACCAACAGCCTTCACTGAGAACAATGGAGAAAAAATGTGCATAAAGTCAAACAGACAATGATAAATTAACTGTTAGCTTCCCCTCTCCTTTCTCTCTATCTCTCTCTCTCTCTCCACTTCTCTCTAAAATTGTGCATAAGACAGAGAGGAGACATAACTGTCATCCTCTCTACCTCTCTGTCCCTCTCTCTCATTGTGTATAAAGTGATAGAGACAATGAGAAATTAACTATCCTCTCACTTTCTCTCTCCACAATTGTGCATAAGGATGAGAGAGACGCTCAGAAATCAACTATCATCCCTCCTCTCTCTAAAATTTTGAATAAAAGCAAGATATTCCTTGTAAACTCTCTCTCTCTCTCTCTCTCTCTCTCTCTCTCTCTCTCTCTCTCTCTCTCTCTCTCTCTCTCTCTCACACACACACACACACACACACACACACACATAACCTCCCTCACTTTTATGCACGATTATGTGAATGTATATATATGATGAAGCCTACAGGTCACAGTCAAATCAAGAAACCCAAGGCTGACTATGAAGCCACAAATATAATGCCCAATCCAAATCCGCAGAAACCCCAGGCTAACTGCAAGCAATATATGAGGGCGTTCAAGCAGCATCATTCCATTGATTGGGGGGTTGACTCCACAACCATCCCCAACAATTTCTCGTCTGGGAAATACAAAATAGCAGCAAAACCATTCTGCCCAGTCATGCCCCACAAGGCAGACTTCAGAACGCAATGCCTGACTTGGCATCGTCATTTGATCTTTCTGGAGAATTTGGAGAGAGAAAATGCGCAAAAGAGTGAGGAAGACAAAAGGGGAGGAATGGAAAGACAGACAGATGATAACAGCACATGTGCCCCTTAGCTGATCAAATACTTTAATCAAATTAAAAGTACACGTAACGCACTCCCATGGAAAACCCATAAAAAGAATTAAATCTTACAGTCATCATGCATCATGTATACCTTAAAAACGCAATATCCCAATGATGTACGTAGAAAACACAACAACAACAACAACAACAACAATAAATAATAATAATAATAATAATCGTTGATTAAACACAACAGAGAAGTCAAGGCAGGCAGGCAAATCAGTTATCTTCATAGTTTGCTCAGAAAAGTCCAGGTTGCATGAGCCTTAATTCAGATTTGAATGCCTTATTTGACTTCCCCTGCTCCCATGCGTTCATCTCATCATAGGCATGCACTATTACATCCTGAAGGACGACTATTATTTCCTATAGATGAGAAGAGGTAGAAGGTCATAATCAGGTCCAGAAGAAGACTAGCTCAATCCACAGACAATCATCAACAGTGGAAAGAAAAAATCTTCATTACTTGTCACCCTAATCATCAACAAGCTTTATTCGGTCGACACTGCTAGGGTTCATAATCCACGCAAGTAGGAGCATGGGGTCACCTTAAGTCATGAAAGTGTAACCCAGGCCCTTGCCTACTCCGCAGTCCATTATATTCAATCTTTTAAGTCTAGATGCTGGAGAACAGATCTCAAATTTGCCCAGTAAAATAGCTTTCTTATACTCTGAACCAACCCTTGATATTTAACGAATCAACCAAGGACCAGTTATTTCATACAACAAAACACAGTTCCCTGCATCAAAATTTACAGATTCTTCCAGTTCATCAGCCCTTATCACTTCCAATCTGAGATACAATCCAGTTCAACAGGTCTAAGTAACTTGAGACCAGACCCATATGTCTCAGCGTTCAGATCAACCACAGGACAAAGTCAATCTAGCCCAGTTGACCTACTGCCCGGATAAGGCAATCGGCAGCCAATCCTATCATTCGAGCCTAGTTCCATAACCTTCACCAAATTATGTGACTATGATATGTAAACGACAAAATGAGAAATCCTCATCAACAGTAGCAAACCTCCAACGTGGGCATACATTAGTAATTTCTGTGGACCAAAGAGACCACCCCTTCACACTCATTCCCTCCAGTACTTAATTTCTAGTTCCCGCCACGGTTCACAACAGTTCACTTTTTCCGGCATCTAAAATTGGGTACATAGAGAAAACTCGTTTCACTCGACATAAGCATCGATCAGATGGATTTACTGAACTCAATCATCATTCAAAAGAGACCCATATGACATTTTCTGAAGGCACATAGTAAATGAGGTCGTTAGAAAAAAGCTAGGCCTTGATAGAGAACGAATGCCACGGAAATCTTGGAAGGAGTTGAGACGACTAAGTAGTGTTCTGTAGAGTCTGGCTCTGCATATGGTAATCGGTAAACGGGTGAGGAAATCACATCAATAGTTCTGTAAAAAAATGTAACGGATTAAAATTGTGCGTCTCCTATCCCTAAGTTTTATCAGCAGGTTAGAATAGTGATCGACCCCTCATCATCATTGTCTTTGACTAATCCCACGTCAACAACCGTTGACTTCTACTGGAATCTCTCGATGTTTCTTTCCCGCCACATCACCCACGCAGGACGGGTGGTAGAAAAAACCTTACACGAATCAAGATCAGCTGAGAATGTGCATATGCTAAAACCATTTTATGAGCATCTCATCACTGTCTGAAGAGCTGGAAACCTGAATCATATCATAATCTAACAAATCGTGTCTATAACGCTGTGGTTTTCCCCTACGCAGGCCAGAGAGATTTTCATATGACGCCTGGTTGCACATATCTACAAAGCCTGGTTCATCAGCTCTCACCTGGTTGACTACTTGTGGCTCAAATCTAAGGAAAGTGTCCGCACACGCATCTGTCCTTTTCGTCTCGCACAATGGTTTATCACAAATCAGAATCAAGAGGAAACAACACGAGAATCCCAAGTTTAGTTGTGAAATGAAAGCTCTAGCAGAACTGAAACCAGAGTGATGCGTCAAAAGACTTCAAAACAGGTCGCAAAAGCCGATAATATTTATAGAATTAGTCTGCACAACTAGATCCAAACCTGCGGGCTCACAGACGACTCTGATCTCCGCCCCACTCCATGTCCGAACAGAAAGACGAGCAGGACGAGAGCCCCGAGGGCGCCGCACACCAGCCAGGGCCACCACACCGATCCCCACCTGGCAAACCACTTCCTCCTTCCCGGCCGCCGGAAGTCCCCCGCCCGCCGCCGCGCGCTATCCCTCATCACCGGCGAGCAGCCGAAGAGAGCACAGATAGCTTAGAATCCGAAAAACTCATTCAGGCTCCTCTCCAGACAACCATCGATCTCCAACTCTCCCGATGCCTCTCGGGTTCCAAAGAGCAACCAGATGAAACCAGCTGCAAGAAGAGATAGAGAGAGGTAGAGAGAGGTAGGGAGCGAGAGAGAGAGAGAGAGAGAGTCTCTCTCCTCCAAAAGAGATCCGCAGTGGGAAGCTCTTCTTCCTCCTCCCTACCGCCGCCGACTTCTCCCCGCCTGAGGAGAAGAACGACAGAACCAGGAGACGGACGGTCACGATCGACCCATCACGAGATCACAGACACCCCTCACGTGGGAAGATGCTCCTTGAGATGGGCCTCCAAAGCCCCGGCTCAAATAGGCCCAGTTCCAAGCTAGGGTTTGGGCCACTTGGCCATTGGGCTGATCTCTCTCTCTCTTCACCCCCCCCCCCCTCCCATCTCCTCCTCACCTTCAATCATAAGGCTCTATTATGCAGCGAGCAGTGGGAGGAGCTGTTCCTCGCGCATTACGTGTTCCCAAGACTAATATTTTTCATGTTGGACTCAACATAAACCGTGCCCATCGCCTTGAAATAATGCAAGAGGAGGATATGAAGATGGGCATTCCAGTGAGAGGAAGCAGTAGTAAGAGGAGACCTCCTACCTAGTTAGCTAGAGATAGAGAGAGATAGAGAGTGAGCGAGTGAGTGAGAGAGAGAGAGAGAGCTAGAGAGAGGGGGGGGATGGACGTAAACCGTGCCCGTCGTCTTTAAATAATGCAAGAAGGGACGGAAGTGGAGAGAGTATGAATATGGGCGTGAAGGCATTTAGTGAGAGGAAGCAGTAGGGAGACCTCTTAGAGAGAGAGAGAGAGAGAGAAGGGGGGAGGGGGGGGGGCGATGGAGGAGAAGAGGGTGGTGGTGAGGGCGAAGAATTTTCTGCCGATGATGCTGCTTGTGGCGGTGGCCTCGTCCGCCATTCCTTCTTCCTCGTCGCTGCGGGATCCGTTCCTGGGTCTCCCCATCGGAGGTAACGAGAAAGTGTATACTTTTTTGTATTAATATTATTGAACTTTTAGACTAATGAGACCGTTTCTCGCTCTTATTTTCTTTCTAAATAAAGAATATTATTTTTCTATATATATTTTGTGCTAAAATACTTTCCATCTGGGCTGATGAGACGACCCCCCTTTTTTCTCCTATTTTCTTTCCGAGTTTAGTGCATAGAAACAGAGGCCTCTTCGTCTCATTTACCTCCTAAAAGGGGTTTTATACGTATCAAAGAGATGTCAAAAAGAATGGTTTGGCTGCCAACTAGGCACCCACGATGGCATGCCACAGCGGCGAATCTGATTCCTCTTGCTGACCAGGCAGAAGTCACCCTCTATGGGGACTGACGTCCTTGATCTCTCGTCGAAGCAGTCACTCCTCATACTTGAGTGACTCCTCTGGTAAGGTGATATATTCTGAAAAAAAAGAAAAGGAAAGAAATCTTGTTTCTCATTGCAAAAAAGTCAAACTTTTCTTATTAAACCATCGGTCTTAAATGAGACGGCCAACTCGGCGCCCGTCATGGAATGCCACGTAAAAGCAAATCGCATGGCTTTCAATGACGTGGCAAGACTGAGTCAGTCACCCTTGCATGGCCAACCTCTTCAATCTGATGTCCCAATGATGACAAGCTCTGCACGCATTCATATAGAGTCTATTTTCAATAAAGGGTAATAAAATCCAAAAAAAAAAAACCCGTTCTAGGTTCATTTATTAGATGATAAATCTTGTAGCATGTATGACCTACAAAAAAAAAGAGGTCAAATTGTATGGAAACTTGAGGGGTTTATTTATTTATTTATTTATTTATGAGTTGCACTGCCAATTAGACACCTATTTTACATGTGGCATGCCACGTAGGCAAAATATCATATATTTCGGTGACATGGCAGGAATATGTCAGTCACTCTTTGGATGGCCAGCCTCTTCATCTCATGTCTCATTACTGACCCATGATAAAATATGGCTTCTAAAACCCTTTGCATTTTGAGTCTCCTTCTAAAGAGATGACAAATCCCAATAAAATAAAATAAAATAAAAACCTACTGGGTCTACTACCTTCAGATGATGACTCATTTATGTGCATGTGGTGATGGTCAACCGTAGACGGCGACGATGCGCTGGGCAGCGGCATGAATTGCTGCAACGAGTGCGTCTGCGTTGACCCGTGGTGCGTCTGCTCGGACCGCTCCCGTTTCGGCTGCTTCAAGGGCTGCGGCTTCTGCCAGTGCTACGACAAGCCGGAGAGGACCTGCTACTGCGTTGACGTCCTCAAGAAGTGTCCCCCGCCCTGCATCCTCACGCCCGATGGCCCCTCACCCCCGCCGGTGGGTGGCTGGTAGAGCGCTGACCTGAGAGTCAGCGAGCTAGTTTCAATAAGAAAATGGCTCCATCGGTGGTGTGGGTTTTATGGATGGATGCTGAGTTCGTTTATTACTGCACACAAATAAGGAGGAACTCTGCCTGCTGCCCATTCCAGTCGTTTATTATGCCCGCCCCAATGGAGAGACTTACTCTGCCGCCTTCTTTGTTTGTTTGTTCGATCACTGTTGGTTCCTTTGGGTGTTCGAGTGCTCTCTCTCTCTCTCTCTCTCTCTCTCCCCTTTACCTGTCTACTATGAGACGCCACGTGGGGTATCAAGAACTGGTGTGCATAGTTGGAGCTGCTTCGAAGAAGTGTAGGGCATGAAATAGATGCATCCGCCACCCCGGAAGCTTCCGCTCTCTTTCTTTACACATTGCTAAACGGGTCCAATTAGATAGAAAATTGAACACATGCAAAGGTTTACTTTAACATGAAAAATGTTAAATTTTCAGACTTCAGAATCGAAGCACGGAGTCTATTTTCTGATCACGGATTCACCATTTGTTTAATTTATAGGAACCAAAACCCAAAAACCATACAAGATCTTAGTCAAGAGGACGTCACGAAAACAAGATTGAGGGGAGAGAGAGAGAGAGAGAGAGAGAGAGAGAGTCCATTGGACCCTTGTCGCATACCACGACGGACTAATATTAGTGAAAAGGAATGATAACTAATTAAACAGACGCTTCGTTGGTGCAGTCAAACTCCGGCGAGCGCGAGAGGCCAAACTTGGAAGGCTCCATGACGGAGAACCTGTCTGCGTGTGTGTTATAAACAAGTCTCCCGAGCCGGAAGCTTACGCCGGCGGTAGGGAAGTCATGGCGGATGGGGTCTCCGGTCGGCAACCCGAGGTCATCTGCCACCCATTGCCAAACATCGTCTCCTCTGGCTTCGGAGGCCTCGCCCACCCCGTCTCCGCCACGGCCCCTCTCCTCATGTTTCAGGTCACCGTCATGTTCGTCGCCACCCGTCTCCTCCACCTCCTCCTCCGCCCCCTCAAGCAGCCCCGCGTCGTCTGCGACATCCTTGTGAGACTCTCTCTCTCCCCCTCTGTCTCTGTCTCTGTCTCTGTCTCTCTCTCTCTCTATCTATCTACTATCTATCTTATCTATATATATATATATATATATATATATCTATGTATCTAAATCTACCAATCTAATCTTGGGCGATGGGTGGCGGGCAGGCTTCGATCATCGTGGGGCCTTCGGGGCTGGGGCGGTGGGAGACATACAGCCGGGTGATGTTCCCCAAGGAGGCCTACAACCTGTCTCAGACCGTGGCGCAGTTGGCCGCCATCTACTACCTCTTCGAGACCTCGGTGCAGATGGAGCCGGCGATGCTCCTCCGTTCGGGGAAAAAGTGCCTCCTTATCGCCGCCGCTGGCATGGCCGCCCCCTTCCTCGCCGTTAACGCCATCTTCTTCCCCCTCGCCGGTTACATCGACGCCGGGATTGCCCACGGCACCTTCGGCGTGTTCGTCGGCGTTCTCGTCTCCATGTCCTCCTTCCCCGTCGTCTCCCAGCTCCTCGGAGAGCTCAACCTTCTCAACTCCGATCTCGGCCGCCTCGCCCTCTCCGCCTCCTTCGTCAACCAGACCGTCAGCTGGTTCAACGTAGCCCTCTTCGACATCGCTTGGGCGGCGAAGTCCCCCCCGCGGCTCCTGAAGGTCGTCGTCACCATCTCTTCCATGTTCCTGCTGGTCGCCGCCGCCGTCTTCCTCCTCCGGCCGTGGGCGCGGAGGATAATCCGGCGAACTCCCAAGGACGGGCGGGTCCGCGAAGGGGACGTCTTCATCGTCCTCCTCGGCGTGCTGCTGATGAGCTTCCTCTCCAACGTTATCTGCGGATCGCCCATGCAGGGGGCCCTGATAATGGGGCTGGTGATGCCGGACGGGCCGCCGCTGGGTGCGACGGTGGTGGCGAAGGTGGAGACGGTGGTGGCGGAGATTCTCATGCCGGTGGCGTACCTGAACTTTAGCTCGGTGGACCTAGCGGCGGTGGTGAACTGGCGGAGCTGGGGGATCATGGAGGGGGCGATGCTGGTGGGTTACCTCTGCAAATTCGCCGGCACCGCCGCCGCCGCCCTCTACACCGGGATGCCCTCCCGTAGCGCCGTCGTCCTGGGCACGATGATGAACTTCAAGGGCCTGCTGGACATCGTCTTCATCCAGATATTGAACACCATGGGGGTACGCGGCCATGACTCCCCCTGCATCCATCCATACATCCATCCACGAAAATCTTGCTTCGGTTTCTGTTTCCAGGAAAAAAGTATAACACATCGAATTTCTATGTCAGTGATATATTTGACATATAGCGGTTTGCTGATTAATTAACTTGACGGTGGGTGGGTCGTAGATTGATGATGATATTATTGTTATTTCTTAAAAAATACGATCTTTTTGGGGCTTGATTTATTAGCCTTGATTCTCTCTCTCTCTCTCCCTCGTTGCGCAGATCCTGGACCAGAAATCCTACACGGTGATGATGACGATGACCCTGCTGACGTCGATGGTGGTGGTCCCTCTGGTGGAGGTCTTGTACCGCCCGATGGCCGACGACCTCGGCGGTGGCGGCGGCGGCGCCACCGTGCAGCAGATCTTCTCCGCGGCGGCGGAGCTCCGCGTCCTCGCCTGCGTGCAGAGCGAGGCCCCTGTCCCTTCCATCCTCCCCTTCCTCGAGGCCTCCCACGCCGCCGCCAGGCCCCTCTGCGTCTACGTCCTCCACCTCGTCGAGCTCATCGGAAGCTACGCCCCCATCCTCGTCTGCCATCGCCGCCCCACCGGCGGCGCCGCCTCGTCGTCCTCCTCCCCCCACCGCGTCCACCCGACGCTCAACGCCTTCCTCAGCTACGACGAGCTCACCGGGAACCGTATGGCCGTGCAGCCCTACACCACCGTCTCCCCCTTCGCCACAATGCACCAAGACATCTGCCGCTTCGCCGACGAAAAGAGCATCGTCCTCATCCTCCTCCCATTCCGCCGCCACCCCGCCGGCGCCGGCGGTGGAGAGATCACCAGGGAGGAGAAGGCCGTCCGCACCATGATCCCGGAGATCCTCCGCCACGCGCCGTGCTCCGTGGGGATCCTCGTTCACGACGAGGCCGCCAGCTTCCTCCCCGTCGCCGCCGGCGAGCCGCCGGCGATTGCGTACAAGGTCGCCGTGCTGTTCTGGGGCGGCCCCGACGACCGGGAGGCACTCGCCTATGCCTCCCGTATGGAGAGTAACCCCCACGTCCGCCTCTTCGTCGCCCGCTTCCTTCTCCCCTCGGATGGCGATTCCGCCGCCATCGCTACCGCCGGGGAGGCAGAGGAGGAGCGGCGGCTCGACGAGCAGCTTCTCTCGGAGGTCCGGCGGCGCCCCCGCGCCGAGGTGGCGGAGATCGTCGTCGGCGACGCCGTGGAGACCAACGAGGCCATCTGCCTCGCCTGCGACGGGAAGATGCTCGTCGTCGTCGGCCGGCGGCAGGGGCCGAGCTTCCTGCTGAGTGCGTCGGAGTGGTCCCAGTTCCCGGAGCTCGGGGTGCTCGGGGACATGTTCGCCTCGTCGGAATTCAGGACAGCCGCCACCGTCCTGGTTCTGCAGCAGCACCAGCGCTGCTCCTCCCTCAAGGTTTCCACCTGCACCGCGACGATTTCGACGACGACGACGAAGGAAGTGTGGATTCACAATAAGTTCCTGCATGGGCAAGAAGAAAAGAAAGAAAACATAAGTTCCTGAATTTTTTGTATTTTCCCATAAATATAATTACCATCTGCTGAGCAGGTGCTTTCCTTGTCACCAAGTTTCCCGTCATGAAATATTATGACCTATCTTAAGGTCAACGTCTCTGCCAGCGCTAAAAACATGATTTGGGTTTGACCATAAGGAAGTATGGGTTCACTACATTCTTCAATTTAGAAGTCAATGATGTTTGACTTACACCATAAGACGACAATCTATAAGTTGAGTGCGGTATGGCATCGTTTTGAAGGATAAGCAGATATTTTCAAAATATTATCATAATTATTATTTTATCTCCGTGTGGAACTCACCGACATTGAGAGAGAGAGAGAAAGAGAGGGAGAGAGAGCGAGAGAGAGGATGAAGACTCTAACCAATGAATGGAGAGTACATTGCAGGTCCAATCCTACTGAACCCGAGAGGCTCAGGATTGTGGGGGCGCACCTGTCATAGTCAAAGTAAAAGAGTCGGCGGCCGCCGCCTTTGACTCTGGTGTTTCACACGGCGGCGCTACATTCCGCGTTCCGGCGGCTGCCAGTCCTACAGCGAGATTGAGAGATCGCAGCCGTCCATCTCATCCTAGTAGCTTCCCGATGAAGAAAGCGACGCGGCAAATACCGCCGCGTCAGCAAATCCGAACAGTTGCTCGAGAGCAGTTCTCAGCACGACACGGGACGTGGAGCAACGGCTACTTTTGGCCGCGCGAACGCGGAGTCCACCACGTGTCTTGCCGTAGAAGGATCCAGCAGCCACGCGGCGCTATCTGGGTGGATAAATGCGAGGCTGAGAAGGCGGGAAACCGCCTATAGTGGGGGAGGTTTCAATTTTTTTGGGTGGAATTATGACAATGATCGAGGGTATTTACGAAATATGATTTACATGATATTTTTTTAAAATGCTATTTACTTATTTTAATGGTTGTTGCGAAGGGCGTCGTCTATATAAGCTGCATGAGCGGGCGAAAGCGACCATTGAAGAAGAAAAAGACCGCGGGCTTAGCAGAATCGAAGGTACTCTCTCTTTCTCTCTTTCTCTCTCTCTCTCTCGCTCTCTCTATCTATCTATCTCGCTCTATCTATCCGGTGTATGGAGGCAGATTTGTTTGTGCATTGATTGGTAGATTTGTTTCTTCATTAGTGTTTGAATGCGGGGTTTATTTCTAGTGTTGAAGTAGGTTTGTGAGTTGTGGCTAGTCGGTAGTTCGAAGGATTTCTGCGGAACGTGGCCTCTGTTTGATGTCGGTGGCTGAATCGTAAAGGTAGAACGATTTAAGTGAGGACCATTTACTGGTATTTTTTATGTGAGTTCTCTCGCGCGATTGATGCCTTATTAGTTGCTTAATTTTCAGCAATCGATGGTTCTCCCCTGCCACTTCTCATATCTCCCTCCCTCCCTCCCTCCCTCACCCTCTTTCTGTCTCTATCTAGTTCAATGCAGCTTATGTAGACTCTACCTGACTACTCATTTCTTCCTTTCTGTCTCTATTATAATGATCTTGCTGACAGATCATTGCTGTTGTGAAATCATCGTTCCTTGAATATCGACGACTTAAAGAACGCCAAGGAAATCGAGAGTTAAGACTCAGTTGTGCTAGGGACGAAGTTCAGAGGTATTTTTCATGATTACTTAATTTTCCTTTAATAATCATTGTATCCTTCTTTTCGTAAAGAAGAACTCGTTTTCTTTTACTGAGAAAAAAGGATCACTGCCTGCTGTCATTTTTCCTCCTCTCTTCGAAAAAGACGTGATTAGATCGAAGTTAAAACTAATGATACGCAATCAACAATTACCTTCCTTTTTTTCCCCTGTTAGATCGAAGTTAATTGATCACGTGCCAAGATGGTCATCATTCGCTGAATTTTATTCACGCAACGTTTTTGGACTTGATGTTATGTTTATCGTCCGGATCAAAGTTAAGCTGCCTTCTGATTAGACACTTTGTTTTTCTTTATTATACTCGAGTTAAAGAAATAATTTTTGCGGACATATGTTCAATCTCTAACCTATAGAATTTTGGAACCTCAATTATATCCGATTCAAGAACTGACCGTGTGCGAATAATGTCATTTGCTCAATGTTATTAACGCAGGCCCTATCTGGTTTAATTTGCTGTTCTTCGTTCAGATCTTGATCAAGCTTTCCTTTGACCATCAGTTTGGTTCTTTTCTTTATATCCAGCGTTGAGATTTATAGTGTGTAGGTGTTGTTTTCCCGTTTCTTTGCATAGAGATTTAAATTTCTGTCCTTCATTCGGTTCGAGATTAAAGTTCTCCTTTAAGAAGAAAATTGGCCTGCTTTTTCAGGCACGAAACTTTGAACTACTGTTTATGCGTTTTCTGTATCAAATTAGCCATGTTCTTACTGCATTCAATCTTCTGGTTCTGCAGAAAGAAACAGTTTAGCCCAACAAGGGTGCTCGGTGTGTACTTCTGGAATGGGACTAGGCCTGGTTGACAGTGCCCAGCAGAGGAAGGTTTCTTTTCCAAGGTGTAACCCTTACACGAGGACAATAGGGAGGAAGCGGGTCTCCATTCCGCGTGCTGGAGATGAATTGCCGTTCAGCACCCCGCTAAGTACTCCATCCCGAAAGCAGCATAAGAGGATGCCCCCCCGTTCTACTAGTCCATCAAACCGCCTTGAATTACTACCGCAGGAGATTCTGGTAAGTTCTTAGCGCACAATATTAAAAATAGTCCTAGAATGAAGTTAGATTGAAAATCATGCGGTTGATTGCATCTTACTCTTTGTATTTCAATCAATTTTGAGTTGGGTGGATGTGTCCTCGACCCATGCCACTAAAAGTAGTTCTGAGCTGAAAATATCGCAAATCATGTGATTAAATGCATCTTTATTTTCTTGGCCCATTCGATCAAAAGCAGTCCTGCACCTAAATGCGCCTTAGACAGTGTGCACTTTTTATTCTAAGACAATTTTGAGCAGGGTGGGCAAAAATTCTGTGCATTATATATGTATATATATATGTATATTATAAAATATGGAATCTTATTAACTGTGATGTTATTGCTCTTTATTCACAAATGATTTTAAATTAGGCGGCTGCTCAAATTTATCACGGCATATAATCACCAAAATTATATGCGCGGTAGAATCATCCAGAAGCATATTATAAGAGTTCCACATCAGGAGCAACAATATTTAATGATTGATCTACCTCTTTCTCTCGCTCCGCAGATCCACGTGCTGTGCATGGTGAACCGCAGCAACCTCAAGGAGCTCATCTTCGTGTCAAAGACCGTCCACGACGCCGTAAGATTGACCTCACCTCCGCGCTCCAGTTGTCTGTAGATTCCTCCATCTCAAAGTAATTCTTTGATTTTCTCTTCTCCTCTCCAGGTTCTAATCGCCAAAGAGTCCCACTTCGACGTCAGCACCCCCATTTCCAAGCCGGCCTCCGGTGGGCCTGCCCACTCAGACGAAGCTCCAAATGCACCAAGGAGGGCCTCCAGGTCTCGGCAGACCCGCAAAGACCTCGGGAGCATCACCGTCGCCTTATTCACTTCTCCAGAGGAGAAATCTGCCTGAAGAAGAAGAAGAGGAGGAGGAAGAAGAAGAAGAAGAAGAAGAAGAGCGCATGAGGTCACGAAATTTCCCTCTTATAGTAATATATATATATATTTGTATAATTAGCAAGTTGTATATAGCCATTCTTCATTCAATTCCTCCATTGAAGAGCAGTATGGCTTGGTATATTTGTACGTATGATGAATGGATTGGCATGCTGACATGGAAATTCCTATAAAGTCCTTCAATTTTGTGACTGTTTATGTATTCCCTGTTGAATTATTAATTAAACGTCGCTTGCTCAAATGTCGGGCCCAGAGGAAAGCCGGACATGAAGCATGCAGCCCGGCCTGTCATCTCCCTCTCTCTTCTAAATATATATTATATATATATTTAATCATTCCATTTGGGCATGCAGATGAGGAAATTTCTTCAAAAGTCCAACAATGTTGCATCAGTGCCGCTGTGTTGGATTATTCATTGACTATGCCACATGTAGTCTACGTTTTCCACGTGGCATTCCGGCATGTGGGCCTCGGTCCGTTTTACTCTGCTGGGCTCGTTTTCTAGCCCTCCGGGTTCTTCCACGCGTTGGCGGACACGGAGTGGCACCCACCTGAGCGACCTTCCGCTCGAGAGGTGACCGGTCAAGAGCAGCCAGTCAGGGGGGGACATTCATAAAGATTGCGAATAAACCCAGAAATTTATTAGTTATTTGGACGATGAGAGAAAAAAGAGAGAGCACGAAAATTCCAAATTAAATAATATCAGAAACTCGAACGAGAGAATGGAAAGGGGGACGACAGGTGGCACCACAAATTGGTCCCACCCACATATCACAGATTAAGAGAGGGAAGGGGGGAGAGAGAGAGAGAGAGAGAGAGAGAGAGAGAGAGAGAGGGAGAGAGAGGGAGGTTGATTCCTGTCGTCGATCTGTCTCCGGTGGATACTTCTCGCTCGGGAAGTCTGAGATGTCGCGACCGGGGGGATTCTTCGACGTTGCGTCCAGAGTCGTGGGGCGGAGTCCCGTCTTCTCCAGGCTTCTAGTCGTCCTCGCTGTTGGGTGCGGACTTCACTCTCCTCTGTTTCGCTCCTCTGTCCTCGTGCTGATCTGTCTCCTTGATCGATACTCGCGCATGTTTTTGCATTCGCTGTTTCGCTGGTTTGCTCGCCGTTTTTGCGAATTATGTTCTTTTCTATGAAGTCGTGGCTCCGTGCTCTGGTGCGATCTTGGTGACGATTGTCGCACATTCACTTGCTGAGAAAACGTGTATCGTCAGAATTGTGCTCGCCAGTTGAGGAAACGTGTCTCGTCAGGACTCGATAATTTCAAACCTCACTTCTGTTTTCCTCTCTTCTTGACATGGTGCATTTGACCGATTTGTCATTTTGCAAGTTTTTGAATCGAAACGTGTTTCTATGTGATTCGAGGCCTCCTTTTCTTTTTTTGTGAAATTTCTTTGGACGTTCAAGCTTACAAGGTCTTTGGTAACGGATTGCATGATATCTCCTCTCACGATCTACCATTAGAAAAATATTTCTAGATTGCGAAAGGAGTATTAAATTTCAAATAAGTTGATGTTAGTTTTTGGGCAAATGTGTGGACTTATATGTCTCCCTGTTGTCTGGAGATGTTTCTAAGTATTCTTTTCCCTTGGAAAGCCGTCTGTCGGGCAGTTTTCCTAATTTTATCAGAGTTTTTCTGTAGATAAATTAAACTAGATTAAACCGTGAGAATTCATGTGAACGTTCAAGATCATTTTTTTGTCTTATCGTAAATCATCCCAGATGATGCTAAGTTCTGAAATCTTACGTTAGATTTAAACGTTGGCATCGGACTTTATTTTATTCTATGTTTTCTCCAGAACAAAAAGGAGAAAGTCAGTCACTTATCTCTCATTTTACAAAACCAATGGATTATATTATTTTATAAAACCTGTGGATTATGGTTTTATTCGAGAGAGAGTGTTAAGCCACGAGGCTAGTTTTAGTCGCTACTTTTATAAAAGATATGATTCTGTCAGAAAATACAGGCTAAAGATCTATATGATGAAACTAGTCTTACTGCATACTGCATAAGTTTTTAACGCTCATTATGCCCATCATTTTATTTATATCAGATACTCTATTTTGCTATTCTCATATATCTCCATCTATAATTGTATACACCTTTCCTGTGAAGTATCTTACATGTTTGATTTACGTCATCTGATTTTATTTCGGAAAATTGCTATAGTATATCTGCCTTCTTTTTTACATTTTTCACTGGTTCATACTGTGCCTTTGGACGGCTGGCTTATTTTCGATTTTGTTTTATTCCCACATTTGCCATTTTTTTATCCACCCAAGAGTCTTCCTTTTTGCAGTGGCGGAGGTGTTGTGGTGTATGCCGACTCCAGGACAGATCCCAGTGTTACTGGTGAGCAAAATCAAGCGCCCCCTAAGAAAAAGGTGGTGGTTCTTGGTACTGGATGGGCTGGCACGAGCTTTCTCAAGAACCTGGATAGCTCTATGTATGATGTCCATGTGGTGTCTCCTCGCAACTATTTTGCCTTCACTCCCTTGTTACCAAGTGTCACATGTGGAACTGTAGATGCACGAAGCATTGTTGAGCCAGTTCGTAATATCATAAGAAAGGTACGGCAATATAATACCTAAAGAGTCTCCATAAGGGGGTCGTCTTATTGTCTGAAGTGTTCCGTAGCTCAATTGTTGCAATGGTTCCAGTGGTGGCATATTGCTGACCGAAGAAAATTTCTTGAAACTCGTTCTTCCCAAAATTTCTTGGAATGAATGCATGTTGTGCAATGTCTACACCAAAGAAAAGGAAGGAAGGAGTTTGTATGAAATTAGCGCGTAAATTCATTTTTAGTATTGTAGCACTTGCATCCGTTGTATTTCATCATTGATGAACCTGGGCATTTTTTGGTCAAGCTGATGAGCCCTTGTAATTGTTTCTCTTCTTATGCGATGATGAAATGTTTGGTATTCACAAAGTAGACTTTTTCTGAGGCTGACGTATAATCTCCCTATAAATCCTTTTGCCCATGGACAGAAAGGTGGAGGGATCAAATTCTGGGAAGCTGAATGCTTTAAGATTGATCCCACAAACAAGAAAATTTACTGCCGGGCTAATGTTGGGACAAATTTAGAAGGAAATTCGGAATTTGTGGTGGATTATGATTATCTCGTTGTGGCAATGGGAGCTAAAGCAAACACATTCAACACTCCTGGTGTGATAGAGCATTGCCATTTTCTGAAGGTAAAATTGGAATTATTCCTCTCTCGCACCTATGAGCTTGTCAGGTTTTTAAGTTATCTGTTTCCGATAGAAGATATTCTAGAAATAAACTGCGTGAGATTATTTCTGAATTAACGTTCATGGTGTGATCACCAGTCCTGATTATATTTCAGAGTTTTTTTATCAAATTTACACAATGATAGCAGGGTTACTTGTTCTTCTGCACATCCTTGTTAATTTTTTATTATCCCATCTTTATTCACTCATCTTCTATGTGCAGGAAGTAGAGGATGCTCAGAGAATCCGTAGAAGCGTCATTGACTGTTTTGAAAGAGCCAGCCTTCCAAACCTTACTGATGAGGAGAGGAAGAAAAATCTTCACTTCGTTATTGTTGGTGGAGGCCCCACAGGTGTTGAGTTTGCTGCTGAATTGCATGACTTCGTAAATGAAGATTTAGTCAAAATATATCCTAGAGTCCAAGAATTGGCGAAGATCTCAGTGATTGAGGCTGGAGAACACATCTTGACCATGTAAGGACTCAATCCATTCCCCTGGTCTGTTTTTTCTTTCAATTGCTTTTAATTTTCTGTATAAATGGGGTCGGATATCCTTCTACTGAAGGACTTTCTATTCTCAACTTCTAATCAACATATTTTTTATGGTCTTTCTCTGTTGTATTTCTTGATGCGAGGTGAGTTATTTTGTTGAAGATACTAGATGATATCCTGGCTTCCGCCCTTCATCTTATTTCATTGAACGATAGCTGATATTGCAGTTTAATTGAAAATGTCTGAGACTTATCTAACACGGTTCTGTATCTACTGAGGGGAAGATGAAGCTTTGCCTTTAGCTTTGTACTTTTAAAAAAAAAAACTTACATGAGAATGGAAAGGTACTAAGTTTCCTTGGTCGGTCATAAAGTTTATTTTCATGTGCTACATAATGTACTGATTTTTTTTCTAAGCTTTAATATGAGTATAGGTCATAAGAACGACTTATCCCTTACACGAGAATGCGTTGCTTGAATTGTATTCAACTTGTCCATTTTGTGTTCCGACAAGCCAAATATTTTATATTGGTTTTTGAAATGCCAGTACCCTATCTCATTGATGCTTGAAACTGATAGCAAGACTCCATCCAAAATATCTAAGTTGTCACAAACTTTTATGGATGCAGTCCTAATTACATTATTCTGATACCAACTTTCATATTCCCAATATAATACTGTCAGAACTATTGGGTCATCCATCTCATAACCAATTTGCAATAAATAGCGGGCCATCTTTATAATCACAATAACTTGAGAAATGAAATATGCCGACGTTTATAGTCATCGATGTGGGACTATTCACCTGCCATGGGTCTTTTTTTAATTTCTCAGAGGGTGTCCTATCGACTATACTTTCTGTTTATGGTGTTAGGTTTGACAAGAGGATCACTGAGTTCGCCGAAGGAAAGTTCCAAAGAGATGGGATCAATGTGAAGACAGGATACAAGGTTGTCAATGTGTCTGACAGATCTATCACCATGGTGGGGAAAGGTGCTGGAGAAGTTGATGTCCCATACGGAATGGCCGTCTGGTCAACTGGCATCGGGACACGCCCAGTCATGCTTGACCTCATGAAACAAATCGGCCAGGTCTAATGCTGAACTGTAACATCTTCGGAAGATGTTCCCGCCCCACTAATGTACAGTCTCCTTTTGAGAACTAATTCTGCGTGTGATGACTCATGAACAGGGTGGTCGGCGTGCTCTAGCCACTGACGAGTGGTTGAGAGTGCGAGAATGTGACGGGATGTATGCACTCGGCGATTGTGCTACAATAAGCCAAAGGAAAGTCATGGTATGTATTGTTAGAGTGCTCAAACGTAGCGAATGCTGTGATGTTTTTGGTATTGATGGTTTTATATCACATCTCTAATTGGTTCGCATCGTTTTTCTTACTGCCTCCACGGATAACTTATGCACACAGACAGAGCTTGAGCCAGAGTGCTAATTCTTATTTTTTCGCTACATTTATTTTCACATTTATTGTATTGTGGAGAATAATTCAAAAGTTTGGGAAATCATATTCGGGCACCCTTTTTATATACGTCGACAAGAAATGAATCAAATGGGGGCCTCGTCATGGTGAAAGCCATGAGTAGGCTATTTTAGCGATTATTTCCTTCTCATAATGTCTTTAAATCTTTTCAAAACGCATTCCAGGAAGACATTTCCGCCATCTTTAGGGTGGCAGATGCGGACAACTCGGGGACGCTAACGGTCAAAGAGATCCAAGATGTTCTTGGAGACATCTGTGAGAGGTATCCCCAGGTGGAGCTCTACTTGAAGAGCAAGCAGATGAAGAGTCTGGTAGACCTGCTGGACGACTCAATGGGGAAAGCTGGGGGGGAGGACATGGAGCTGAACATCGAACAGTTTAAGAAGGCCCTTGAACACGTGGACTTCCAGGTGAAGAACCTCCCCGCAACGGCTCAGGTAAATGCCCTGATCAAGCGCCAGATTACATTTTTAGCAGTTAGATTCTGTTAATTTCTTTTTACAAGTGATGATTAGAATAGTTTTAAGCATATATTTTCGATATCAGCATTCGTTTTTTGCAGATAAAGTTATATTAGCTCATACGGATAACGATCACAAGAAAGTTATAATCTCTCCTTACATCAGCATTAATCCTATCAATTCATGCAGATAATAATTACCATCTTTTTTCGTATTTTCGATATCAACATCCATTTTTTGGCGATTAAATTACATATATTTATACAAATACTGCTCACAGAATGATAAAGTTTCATGGTTTTTGATGTCATCATTCATTAAATTATATAAAAATCATAAACGAGAATTTGATTAAAATAGTTATTTTATATTTGGATGGATTCCTAAAAATACTGATCATGAGATCTGTCATTTTTCACTTTTGGTATCCATTTTGGGAAGGAAATTATATTAAATCACGAAAATATTGATTAAAATATATGGTATCATTTTTGGATAGGTTGCTGCTCAGCAAGGGGCTTATCTGGCGAGGTGCTTCAATCTGATGCAAGATGTGGAAGGGAACCCTGAAGGTCCTCTCCGGATCAGGGAATCAGGCCGGCACCGGTTTCGCCCTTTTAGGTTCTCAATCCTGCCGTCTCATCCCTTCCAGTAAAGAAATATTGATCCTATCCTATGATAATTTGTTTGCTATAAGAGGGGAGAGAGAGAGAGAGAGAGAGAGAGAGAGAGAGATCAGTTTCCCCACCTAAAATGGTACACCCTTTTATTTTTATTTGCCATCTATTGAAGATGAGATTTCCGCCTCTACTTCCTACTGACTCTCTCAAGACGTGTAAACCTTCTTCAGGTACAGGCATCTGGGGCAGTTTGCTCCTTTGGGAGGGGAGCAGACCGCTGCGCAGCTGCCTGGGGACTGGATTTCTATAGGCTACGGCTCACAGTGGCTTTGGTACTCCATCTATGCCAGGCAAGTCTCTCTCCCTCTCTCTCTCTCTCTCTCTCTCTCTCTCTCTCTCTCTCTCTCTCTCTCTCTCTCTCTCTCTCTCTCTCTCTCTCTCTCTCTCTCTCCCTCCCTCCCTCACCGAGCCCCTCCTTCCGGTTTCTCTGTCCCTCTCTTCTCCTCTTTCGTCTTTCTTCCACGCGCATTCAAATAGAGAGAGAAACAAGAGAACAGAAACGAAAAGAAAATGCACCCTTCTGCACTGAACATCTCTCTCTCTCTCTCTCTCTCTCTCTCTCTCTCTCTATCGATCTCTCTTGTCCCCTTCACGTCTTTGACTCTCCTCACAGCAAACAAGTCAGCTGGCGGACGCGCGTGGCGGTGGTGTCCAACTGGGCCCGGCGCTTCATCTTCGGCAGGGACTCCAGCTGCATCTGAGCTCCACGCGTCATCCACGCGGCGGATGCCCAGCAGAATGTCGCTCCGGTCAGTGCAGAATCTCGCCGGCGCCGGAGAGGATTATTATTATATCATAGCTTCAATTACTTTATCCCTCAATGAGTACATCTTTTTGTATCATTATTTCCCCCTTAAATCTTATCGTATAATTGCCCGTCAAAATAGCGGGGGCTCATGGGGAGCTGAGTATCATCTGATTGATTCTACGGTGCTTCAATCGGGGCCGTTACATCGGGTACATGATCGCATCCCGACCAGATCGGGCGGCGGGAGTTTGGAGATTGGTCCCGTGCCTGTCCTTGGGATTTGCTGTGGGGAGAGAGGAGAGGGCTGGGGACCGTGGCTTTCTTCATCCGCCACAGCATTCTCTCTCTAACCGGAGATATTGGGACTGGAGATTTTTTCTTTTTCTTTTTTTGAAAAAAGAAAAAATAAGACAAGGGATTCGCCATCTCCGACAGACGGGTAAGGGGGGGGGGGGGGTCAGCTCTTGGTGTTCCCCCTGAAGAGCAGGATGGCCAAGCTGCCGATGCCGAAGTAGATGAAGCACCCGCACTGGTGCGTCACGAAGGAGCCGAAGTCCGTCCCCACGATGCACTGCCACCCCCCCCCGTACGACCTGTCGAACTCCTGAAGAAGAAGAAGCAGAAGATGATGATGGTGAAGAAGAGCACGAAGAAGAAGAAGAAGAAGAAGAAGAAGAAGAAGAAGAAGAAGGAGAACCTTCTTGATGAAGTGGGCGACGTCGGTGGACTGGGTGACGTCGAAGAGGTCGAGGGCTTCGCCGGCGAGGCGGAGGGCGTGGCGCTGCATGGCCTCGAGCATGTCGGTCTCGCCCACGACGGCCTTCCCCTCCAGCATGGCTCTCAGCTCTGGTTCAGAAGCAGGAGGACGGAGAAGGGGATGGAGGAGGCAGGAAAAGCCCGTTGATTTATGCTGCCCGGTGGAGGCTGCGCCGGTGGCCACGTCGGCCCCAGCCTGGATTCGTGGTTGCCGCCCCTCCTCCAGGAATATGCCATGTGGCAATTGAACTCTTCCATGCAGGGTCGAGCAGCGCGGGAGATCCGTGGTCGAGGGTTCTCTCTCTGTCTCTCTGTCTCTCTGTCTCTCTCTCTCTCTCGCTTTCTCTTTATATCTCGCTTTCTAGGTCGCTGTGGGAGGCGGTAGAAGTGACGGGTTTCTGAAAGGGTCGAGTGAAGTATTCGCGGTGTTGTACTCGGGCGTTACAGTTTCATCGAGTCGGGAGACAAGGGCCATCTGGCATCCTACGTCAGCGGCTAGTCAACTCTGTCCACGTCGGCTCCCCGGGTAGCTGAGGCCCCGGGAGTGATGACGTATCCCATGCTGGTTTCAATTGGGCTCGATCCGACCTGCACACTTGGCAAGCTGAAGGATCGATATTGGGTTTAATGGGCTCGCCAACAAGGCCCAACCGCGACTACGGGAGAGAGAGAAAGAGAGAGATAGAGAGAGAGAGAGAGAGATTTTTATAATAAGGAATACATTGAATCGTGGAGTTGTAATTTGTATAGTTGAGGCATTTCCATTTTTAGAGGAAAATGTCTTGAAAAATTGGGAGACGGGTTTGACTTAAAGTACCAGCTGTCCCCGACAGCGACCGCGCCGCGACCTCCCTCGAAGGCGGCGGCTCACCGCCTCTGTGGGCCCCACATGAAAAATTTGCCAGCTCACGGGCGCCGTGGACCAGCAGCACGACGGGACGGCTCAACTGCTCCTCCCTCCCTCGCTGTCCGCGCCGAGATCTGGCGAAGAGATAAAACCCGGTGCTTCACCCGAGAAGAACGTTAATTACGTTTTCATCCTCATCATTACGGACATGCCCCCGCCATTACTCTACTTATTATTAATGGAGATAAATTAGAGAAAATGGCACGAGACTTTAAGGGCTTATATAGAAAGGAATCATGGCCAAACTCAGATAAGGGTCAGCCTCTATAGCCCTGAAATAAATAAATAAATAAATAAAACATAATTAAAAGCCATGTATTGGGCTTTAAATTGGATAAAGCAAGACTGGGCTCTAATTACTTAGACTCATGCGGTGGTATAAATTCTAAAACTAATAAGAAATAAATCGATTAAATATTAAACGTGTCTAGAAAGATCTGATACTTGAGAGTGCCCCGAAGTAACGGTGTGAGGGTATAATAGCAATTATGTTTTCTTTGAGAGTTATAAGACCTGTTTTAAAAATAGTAGAGGGATGGGTCAAGAGGACTATAAAAAAGCCTGGGCAGGATAGAATGCGGGGACTAGAGTTATTTGCACTTCTAGAGGGAGGAGGAAGAAGGAAATCCAGAGGAACGCCGTGACTTACGGCGTCATCCTCTCCCCTCCACCCACCCTCCTTCGCTCCTCCTCCTCCGTATACCCTCTTCCTCTCTTTCTCAGATTTCCATCCCCCTCTCTTCCTCACACCTCCCCGCCGTCGGCGATGGCGCCGCCCCGACTCTTCTCCTGCTTCGGCCGGGGCGGCGGGCCGTCGGCTTCCTCTTCGGCCGCCGCCGCCAAGTCATCCACCGACGGCGCGACGGCGGACCAGTCGGCGGAGGAGCAGCGGCGCGGGGGCTCCGTGGTCGTGGAGCTGTTCTCGTCTCAAGGTTGCGCCACCTCCCCGCAGGCGGAGCTGCTGCTCTCCCGCCTTGGCCGCGGAGACTTCCACGCCGCCGGCGACCAGGACGGCGGCGGGGGAGAGGGCCTGCCGGCGGTGGTGGTGCTGGCGTTCCACGTCGACTACTGGGATCACATGGGCTGGAAGGACCCCTTCGCTTCCAGCATGTGGACTGTTCGCCAAAAGGCCTACGTGGAGTCACTGCGGCTCGACGCCCTCTACACGCCGCAGGTGGTCGTCCAGGGCCGCGCTCAGGCAGTGGGCACCGACGAAGCCGAGATCCTCTCCGCCGTCCGCTCCGCCGCTCGTTTCCCCTCCCCAACCTTCCAGGTGAGTGACGGGGGGGTTGCTTTTGCGTTTGCGTTTGCGTTTGAGTTTATAAACACTCTCTCATCAGCTCGCTCACGCACCAACAAAATAAAGCAGTGAATGTCAAGAGGGCTCAACAATCTGGTCTGCCATGGGATTTTCTTGCTGCAGGCGAGCTTCCAGAAGCCGACGGCGGAGACGCTGCGCGTCTCCTTATCCGGGCAGCTGAGGACGAAGGTGGACGGCGGCGGGGCGGACGTTCAGGTGGCGCTGTACGAGAACGGGCTCATCACGGACTGCGGGAAGGGAGAGAACAGAGGTCGCGTCCTCTCCAATGACTTCGTCGTCCGCAAGCTCGAGAAGCTCTGCCGTGTGAAGGACGTCTCCGCCAAGAAGACCGTCTCGGGGGCCGTCACCTTCCCTCTCTGGAAGGGCTTCAACAGCGCCAAATGCGGCATCGTCGTCTTCGTCCAGGGTGGCTCTCAGCAGATCTCCGGCGCCCAGCATTTCGATTTGCCCGACGTTCTGTGATCGGTGATGAGTTTCCATGCATATGAAGGGCTCACACGGCCAACCTTATTCCTCGATAATGATTCTTGTACGTAGGAGGAAGGGGGGCAGAGAGAGAGAGAGAGAGAGAGGGAAGGGAGGGAGAGAGAGAGAGAGAGAGAGAGAGAGAGAGAGAGAGAGAGAGAGAGAGAGAGAGGATCAATCTGGGTTCTCATGGCCGGTGACCAGGGGTGTGATTACTATGCTGCGTGACCTGTATCATTCATTCATTGGATTTGGGATTGGTTACTTGCCGGAGATCCTCAGCGGGCCTTGGTCCGCGGGATTTTTAGTAAATACTATTTTCAACTGTTTTTACTAATCTTTTTCATAAAAACTATGGACAGTCCTCCGTATAAACATCATGAAGTATTTCCTTTGAAGGAAATTTATCATCTGATATCATCTCCACAAGCAGTCACCCTCGTAGTTCTATGGGGGAAGTTTGCATTCTGCCGCACACTCCTCTTTTTTGCCATTGCCATTGTCATCCTTGTTACCAACATGGCTTTTGCCATCTATGTGGTGTGATGTTTCTTACGCAAGTTACACCCACCCAGATTAGCATCGGAGGGTGCCTAGTATTCTCTCCCTCCTTTGAGCCATAATGAATATGAATGATTTGTTGATGGAGACAGGCGACTCATACAAGACTAGTTAGCGACCCTCAGCAGAAGGACCAATTCACCTTCTTCTTGGCTCTGATTATGACCCATTTATGACTGACATACAACAATCTCATAATTCATATTGCTCATGATAGTTAAGTTGCATAACCTTCCAATACAAAATGTGGCATTGCTGAAGAACAAACCTATATTATTTCAACGTCCACTCTCAGATGTAGTTAAAAACACAACTAAAAAATCTATAATTAATGGAAAATAAGAACAAAAAAAATTACATAGTGGCCAAAATGGTGCATCCTATAGTCATGGATAAAGAGCAATATGAAAGTCTCAAAGGGAAGCCTATGAGACCATGGGAAGAGTTCTCCCACAAGCCTCTCTTGGGCAAGGATAAGTGATTAATACTCTTTAGGGATTATATGTTGATTGCTCTAAATTTTCGCCAATAAAGAACATCAAGAATATTATTTATAATCTTCAGAATGATTTATAAAGATACTAAAAGAGTATAGCTATTGAGAATATCTGGGTCGAACCAGAGAGAGTTAACTAAACTATGGAGGATTACGAATGGACTATAGTTGAGTTTTCAACGAAGAGTAAAATGAGACACACTAAATTGATGACTTTTCAATCAATAATAGAAGAGAAATTAGGGAGACGACACAATCAATAGATACATATATATTATTATTTAATGATTGTGCATTGGTTTCTCTTAGAGGATATTTGATCCCTTAAAATTATATCATATTAGTTTTCAACAATTCAAACTTTTGACTAATTTTAGGATTTAAATATAGATAGATATCATAAAAAGAAGAAGTTTTCAAAAAATATTGAACAAGCTTGAGAGTCTTGTTATATAAATATTTAACAATCATCTTTGAGCACTTTGCCATCTAGATAGCTGATACATGTGAATTCCACAAGTTAAGCATGGCATAATTTAGACAATTAATGGCTAATTTCATGTAAAATAATATTTAATTATGCATAAAATAAGTGAAGTATAGTTTATGATCAACGTTCTAAATACATGCTGAATTTCATAAAATTTCCATATTTTTTATAGCATGTATATTTATTTATTTATATACTTCACTTGAATATTAATTATAAAATAAATGAAATTTATTTTCTCAATTATGATTATTTTTTTAGCATGAATTACTATGTTCAAAGTATTTTCCCTGATTTTTGAGGATTTTTCCGGATTTTTCTAAAATGTTTGGGTTTTATTTCAGATTTAAATGAATTTTAAAGGGTTTTTTTATGATTTTTTTTCCTGAAATTTTCTATATCCTAGGCAACGGTTGAATTTCAACCATTGCATCCCCTCTCTCTCTCTCTCTCTCTCCCATGATTCTCTCTCTCTCTTCCACAACCAACCTATTAACCACTTAATTTTCTTTCTCTCTCTCTCTCTCTCTCTCTCTCTCTCCCATCTCTTAGTCTTCCAAGGGGTGGGTGGGAGATCCTACAGTTGTGCATGCTTGAAGATATATTAAAGCTTAGAGGAGGTGTATAAAAGCTTAGAGAGAAGATACATTCTTTGCTTGGGAGATGAGCCGGCTAAAAGAGAAGAAAGAGCAAGTCCAAGAACTTCACCAATGGAGGCAAGTCCAAGAACTCTTGAAGAAGGATCCCCTTGAAGCACTCCAAGGGTTAAAAAAGAAGGCATTATACTTTAGTTTTTGTGGTTAATTTATTAACTTTTATATTTTATTTCAATGAAATCATGTTTCTTTTCTTGTATCCCCTTTTCTACTGATCATCTCGGTGAAAGAGAGTTGGATCTTCTCAAAGGTTATGTAAGAGTTGGATATAGAAATCTTCTAGAGTGACATTAGGATTGAGCCTTAGGTCTGATTCATCTCCATCCATTCTCTCTCATTCTCTCAAGTCTTGTGGATTTCTTAACTTGTTAAGTTTGATCCCACTTGAGATTGAGTGAGAGAAGAATTAGATATAGAGTAGAGTAGATTCTAATTTCATCCCTTTCCCTTTTTTATTTAGTGCTTTCTTGATTTATCAAGATTGAGCATAATTTTAGGGTTGAGAGGAATTGAGAGAGGATTAAGATAATATATAGGAGTAGATTAAGATTCTCTTTGACTTATCTATCAATCTTCTAAGTGACATAGGGTGATCTAGAGTGCTTAAGGATTTTCTTTCATGCACATTAAGGTTTAGATAATCCATCACTCTCAACCATTCATTGATTGTGTCATCTCCCTAATTTCTCCTATATTGTTAATTAAAGAGTCATCAATTTAAGTTTCATTTATTCCCTCTGTGCCTAAGTCAACTATCTTCTAGTTTCTCATCTTACCCTTCATTAAAAAATCAATTATGTCAACTCATGATCTTCCTTAGTTTAGTCAATTCTCTGTGGTTCAACTTAGATATTCTAAATAAGTCTATTCTTTTAGCATCCTTATGAATCATTTTCAAAGATTATAAATAGTACTTTTGACATTTCTTATTAGCGACGATTGAGAATAATAAAAAATTAGTGTTGTTGCTAGGGAGTTGTGTAGCCAAACTAGGTTGAGTGATCCTTGTGATTTGTAGAGGGAGTTGAGCACGAACCAAGGTACATCTTCAAGTTGGATTAAAGTGATATCTAACTTTGAATTTACTTTGTTCCTTACCACATTCTTTTTATTTCTGTTATTATTGCTTCTTGAAGACATCATGAAAACATCATTGTTGAAGAAATTATTTTATTTTTTTTAAATATTTGAAGATTTGTTGATTTGTATGTGTGGTAGAAGTCTCAAAGACCTATCTTAATTGCCCCTTTAGAGTCACCTAGATCTAATTCTAGAGTAAGAGAGGAAAAAATTAATATGGAGTGATAAGTCTTCATTATCATGAGTTAATAATTAGTAAATAATATAGTTTTAGTCTTAACTCATGATAAATAGACTTTTATTTGTGTTAAAGTGTGAAGAGTGGTTTTCAGTTAATTAGCATGAATTTTTGGGTAATTATGTGATTTTATACGAATTTATATAATTTTTAAAGTTTTACTTTTGAGATAAATGAAGAAAAAGAAATAAAAATAAAAATATAGCAAAATAGGGGGGACTTGCCAACCAACCGGGGCTGCAAGCGGGTCGGAAGCGTAGTTGGGGAGGAGCCGCAAGTAGGGGCTCGAGCGACTAGGACTGATAGGGGCACGTATGCGTCACTCCCCTTTCACGTCACTAGTGGTCAATCGGCTATGGGGCAAGAAGTGGTTGTACACGTAGGAGAAAGGGACTTGATTGAAAATGTAATATTACTTAGGACAGATTATTTGAATTAAATTAAGGGTTAAGAGGCTTTCTAATATTGTCAATAAGTAAATTAAGTTTTTTTAATATTTGACTAATCCGATTAACCTCATTTCTTAAATTAGAATAATTTTGATGATGCAATTGATAAATTCTTCTTTTCTTATCCTTATCATATAACTCAAAAGAGGCTTGATCTCTAGAATTTTTACTTAAATTCTCATAAAAGCTGTAAATCTCAGAAGAGGTTTTCTGCATAAAAGTTACTTTACATATAGAATCAACCATATTTTTATGTTATTCTAATAATCTATTATAAAAAAATTCTATTGAGTTGCCACTTGGGTATAACATGATGAAGAAAATTTCTAAGAAAATCTTTGAATTTTTCTCATGTCTCATGCAAAGTTTCTCTTGGCCTTTGAGAAAAACTCAATATATGTTTTCTCATATTTTGAGTTTTTTTTAAGGGGTAAAATTTTCGAAGAAAGGCTTGTTCTATGTCGTTCCAATTAGTTAATTCTCTATATAATGTGGATAGCCAATAACTAAGTTTGTCCCTAAGTATATGAAAAAATAATTTTATCTTAATAATTTCTGGTGTAACTTAAGGGAGATTAACTAAATCAAAGATCATATAAAATTTTTCTAAATGTTGATGAGGTTTCTCTAAAGACAATTCATGAAAATTAGAGAGCATTTGAAAAATTTATGAATTTATTTCGAATTTAATGGGTGCTAATGGGACTCTAATATTGTATGTTCTTTGAAATGAATCAAAGATATAATGATTTTTCATGACTATAGGATTATTCTCAATTTGACTTGTACTTCATTTTGGGATCCATCAAAATTAATTTTTCTTTCAGATTTTTAGTTTTGAATGAAATAATAAAAGGATTTTCTAACTTAAGATGTAAGGATCTTCTACCATGCATAAAAATCAATAAATTCAAGAAAAAAGTTTAATAACTATTATCCTCCTTCAATATGCTCCAGTCCTTGCCTTGCTGCTCTTTGTTCTCTTTTTTTTTTAAAGTTTTTCTACAAGAAGAAAATAAAATTAGAA